AAAAAGACAACAAGGAATGATATAATGGTAGCAATGGAGGATGACGATGATTGTGAAAGAATCGTACTACTGACTGGTAGACATTGGTCATGTTAGTCACAACAGCCTCAAAAACAGCTCACAAACTATTAATAAATGTGAGGGTAGTATTTTACATGCCGCATCCATAGAGCTTTCCCCAAGATGAGGGGTTGTGCGACTTTGAATGACGACGTCGTATGAACAGTGGCGAAGGCTGGCACACCACAGTGCAGTCCCAGATAGAGCCGCTCTGCGCAGCCTGGTTGGCTGGCTGCACTGAACCTGCTCGAAAAGAGACAGAAGTGAAACTGTTTGCTGGGAATCACATGAGGAATAATCCACGAGAAAGTAAGTGAAAATAGCCAATTCCATAATTTTAAGCTGACAGTGTACAATTGTAGGTACCACCGAGACAATCAGATCTATTATCTATTGTAGGCAGCCGGCAGCCGGACCCTCTGGCTCCGATCTCCACCCAACGCCCGTGGCCTCAGCGTCACATAGCTCCCCTCCGTCATCAACGCAGCCCCCCGCTCCCGGCCACCATGTACGAGGATGCATGGTACAGCTTTGTACCAGAGGCTACCGGGAAGCATGCCGCGAGCAAAGGTGCCTCCCATGGGCACAAACGAAACGAATCGCTCCTACAGCAGCCCAATGTCAGTCCAGTCTCGCCGCGGGGTTCACGAGCGTGCACTTACTCTCTATTAGGGCGTAGGGAAAGACCAGCAGGTATCGCAATCCGTACCAAGAGCTGTCAGCACTGAAGAGGGAAATGGACCCCCAGAAGCATCCGTGCTGAGGCGAGCAGTGTCATGTGCGGATTGTCGCCAAGCACACAACGCTGGCCAGCTCGCGGCCACGCCAAAGAAGCAGAGCACACGTCGAAATAGGAACTGGGAGGCATTGACGCTCAACACAGACGCGAACCATACTCCGAAACCATACAAGGCCGATCTACAGACAAACGATACATATAACGAGCAGCTTCTCAACGCTAGTCAGCAGGAATACCTGTACGTGTAGTCCAGGTCCTTGCAGTAGTCGAATACTCATCATGTGCGCCAGATTATACCGAGATCAACTCTCCCTTACGGAAAGACACCTCGACGGCTTGATAACCGATGCCAACGCAACCCTCGAGCTGTTGTCCAAACTGTCCAACTCGTTCCAATCGGTCGAAGCGCAGACGTCCACGTTTCAAGCACAATGCGAAGAGGTCCTTACAGAGCAGACGCGACTGGAGAAACTCGCAGATGAGGTTGGAACTGATTATTACTACTACTCATACCTCGAGAATGCGACGAGAAGACTAAATGCGCCGGGCGCCGGCCGACTGGTGGACGACGAGTCTTTTGGCGACATGGTGGAAAATATTGACGCCTGCGTCGCATTCATGGAAGACCACGTACGAAGCTTGCCGTCGCGCGATATAATACATGGCTGACCGGTCTCTAGGAAACATATCGGGAGCGGGATGCGTACCTCGCGCGCTACAATGCGCTGCTGACCAAGTGTCTGCATCTGCTGGACCATGGCTTCACCACCCGACTGGAAAAGGCTTCCTCAGATATTGCGCGTCAACTATCGGCGACAAAATCCGAGTCTACACGACATGCGCTTGTATACGGACGGTTTGAAGAGATGCTCAGCGACTCGTACGCTTTACTGCCGAATATCCATAAAGTGACCAGACGCGTCTATGACCAATACGGCCGCTTCGACAGCGGCATTCGCAATTCGTCCATCTTTTCCAGCTCGACCCTCAGCATGTTGCGTACCTACATCACCACGCGCGACCGCGATACCAAGACGCTGACGCTGCGCGACGTGGAGGAGTACCAAAGAGAGATCAAGGACTTGTCTTTGGAGACGGCCTCGCGCAATTACATCAAGCAAACGCTAGAACGCGTGCACAATGAAAACAGCCTGTTTGTCAAGGTGTTCAACATTGAGCCGACGTGGAATACGGCGCAGGATTCCGTTTTTCAGTCCATCAAGACGGTGCACACGACAATGGTCCATCCGGGCAACCTGCAACCCATGGCTGCACAGCTGCAAGCCGTATTCGCGACAGCCGATATCCAGTCTGTGTGCAATGTTGTTGGGTGGATTGCCAACGAATACGGCATATCGGAGAATGACGAAGAGGAAGATGCAATTGCGCCAAAGCAGTATAGAGAATACGCCGCTCGCTTGCTTGTGGATCATTTATGGCCATTTGTGGATAATGCGTTTGAGGCGGAAATCAGCAAGTCCATTACCAAAGGTACCGTGACGGATGATGCGCTCAAGATTGGGCCCGTGGTGGACGGTGTGTCTTCCTCCAATGCATACCCGTTGGTGCAGAAAGCGGTCGAGCTTTTGCGAATGTTTGACCACGCCATGCCGAAAGAGAGATCTGTACGTTGTACGCCATCCAGAGAAGATGTTGTACGCTAACTACGTGTTTAGTCTCAAAACAGCCAGGTAGTATTCCGCGTCGTGCGCGAAACGATTCAAGTACTACAGCAGGCTTCCTCGCGGATCCAAGCCCAGAAGCTCCCGACGGACGCGGAGCTGTTCTTGGTCAAAAACCTGCTCATCATCAAGAACGAGCTGCTGTCGCTCGAGATTGGCGACATTCGCAGTCGGCCGGCCGCGATGCAGCACTTTGGCCAGATGTGGGAGACGCTGAGCCCGCAGAACCTCGTTGGCTTCGTGGGCACCTTTTTAGGCGGACACTTGTGGTCGCGCAGCGGCGGCACGGTGACGGCCAAGACGCTGACGGTGGAGGACATGAATGAACAGCTGGATGAGCTGCTGCGGCAGTCCATCTACGGCCTCGCACGGCGGTGGGCGGGCCGGGTGCGGGACGCGTCGCAGGGTGGCGGGAGCGCGAAGAAGACGCTGGCGCAGGTCGAGGACGAGTTGGAAAAGGCGCTGCAGACGGCGTTTAGCAACCAGCCAGAGGTGGTGGGCAAGCTCAAGGAGGCGATTGCATTTTATGAGGAAGATGCGGCGGCGCGATCAGGGAAGCGGTAGATGGGAATACAAGAGCATGGGCGAATGTAGACAATCTATCTGTGCAAAGAAGTGTATTGTCTTTGACAGCTTGAGTGCAGGGCAATATCGTCCTTTTGTGAGTTTGCACTGACAGGCCACGGCGTGTGGCGGCTGTCGGCGGCGGTCCGCGGAAGTGTTGGACGGGAGATGGATGGACAAAGAAAGCTCAAGCTCACTCCGAGAAGCGGCTCAACTTGGCCCCCTGTAGCTGAGGCCGTGGGGAGGCCTGGAGGGCGCTCGTTCAGCGGGCAGCTGGCAGAAAACAAGCGCTGTGGGCTGGCAGGATAGCGGGGTCCATGACAAACGAAATTGTCCAGCCCGCTGGAAACTGTTTGTCATGGACAGCTTCGAGCACGACATCGGCTGTTGACGCCCATCGGCCCGTCGCCCGGCCCCTCCAACATCTTTTTCTCTACGAATAGTGCACCACACCTTTTCCCTCCTCCTCGTCCTCCTTCTCGCATCATCTCTGCCGTGCTTTTGACTTCTTTTTTACCTATCCAGTATACCCCCGTCGCGTTGCCCTTCTCAACCCTCGTCAATTGATCCGCCCAATTGCCCTTGCTGCCCCCCTCCCACCGGGGCCAACGCCGACACCAACCGCCCACCCACTCACCAACCACCAACCACCATGCCCGCGCCCGTCGTCGACGTCGAACCCCCCCAAGGGCCCTCCCAAGCCGTCAAGGACCTCTTATCCGGCGCGGCCGGCGGTGTCGCCCAGGTGCTCATTGGACAGCCCTTTGATATCGTCAAGGTGCGGCTGCAGACGACGACGCAGTACGCCGGCGCGCTCGACGCCGCGCGCTCCATCTACCGGCACGAGGGCGCGCTCGCCTTCTACAAGGGCACGCTGACGCCGCTCATCGGCATCGGCGCCTGCGTCTCGGTGCAGTTTGCCGCCTTCCACGCCGCCCGCCGCTGGTTCGAGCAGCGCAACAACCGCCCCGGCGAGCGCCTCGGCTACGCCCAGTACTACGCCGCCGGCGCCTTTGCCGGCGTCGCCAACACGGCCCTCTCCAGCCCCATTGAGCACATCCGCATCCGTCTGCAGAGCCAGCCCCACGGCGCCGCCCGCCTGTACGCGGGGCCCGTCGACTGCGTGCGCAAGCTCGTCGCGCAGGGCGGCGGCGTCGCCCGCGGCCTGTACCGCGGCACCTCGGTCACGCTCCTGCGCGAGGCCGCCGCGTACGGCGCCTGGTTCACGGCCTTTGAGTGGATGATGAACACCGACGCCCGCCGCACCGGCGTCGACCGCTCCGCCATTGCCGCCTGGAAGGTCGCCCTCTACGGCGGGCTCGCCGGCGAGGTCCTCTGGCTCGCTTCGTACCCGCTCGACGTCGTCAAGAGCAGGATGCAGACCGACGGCTTCGGCACTGCGCAAAAGTACCCCTCCATGCGCAGCTGCTTCGCCGCCACCTGGAGGGCCGACGGCCTCGCCGGCTTCTGGAAGGGCATCGGACCGACCCTGCTGCGTGCCATGCCCGTCAGCGCCGGCACCTTTGCCGTCGTCGAGTTCACCATGCGCGCTCTCGGGTAAACGCGGCCATCCTCTCGGATCATGCTTGGTTTTCTTTTTTCTTTTTTTGGGGTCGTCTGCTTGGGCTTTTTATATTCTCTTGGGGGTTTCTTTTCCGCAATAGAACTTTTGGCATTTTCACCTCGGCGCAACACAAGGCTTAAACAAAAAACACCATAAAAGTTGCCATAAAGCTACCATTACATCGGGCTGTTCTCCTTTTTCGTCCAATTTATGCAAGATTGCGTTGGGTCTTATATAGAGAACTCAAATCTTGTGTACATCTCCCACTCAGTGCTTCTTCATAAAACTTGCCGCTTCTCATGTCTATTTTTTGGTCTTCTTTGCTTACCACCCGGTATTCTCGTTATTTTCTACCCGTCGTTGCAGCACATGGCGCGCGTTCGTCGGCGTCAGGCTCTGCAGCTGCATCTCCTCCAGCAACGCTCGCGCCGCGTCATTGTCCGTAAAGGCACGTTCGCTGGCCTGCTTCAGCGTTATTCCGCCGCCGCCGGCTACCGCCGCCTCCTCCTCCGACAGCGTGATGGGCAGGCGCAGCAGCTCCATGGCTTCGCGGAGCTCCTCCAGCGTGGCCGATGCTCCCGGCAGATGCCTCTCAATGACCGCGGCAAGGGCTTGGCCATCGTGCGCAAACTGGATCGCGCCGAGGGTCGTGAACTGGTGCTTCATGAGGACATTGTTCCACAAAAAGTCTTGTAGCTTGCCCAGAGCGCCGTACCACACGCGGCGGTACGAGGCGCCGGAGAGCGCGCGGTATAGAGAATTGAAATTTTCCTTGAGGACGGACAGCGGCAGGTCGAGTTCTGCGGTAATGGATAATGGCGATGAATCTTTTCACGAGTCAGTACTTCATGTGGTGAGGTGCGTGCGGCAACGTACCTAGCGCGTCGCCATCGCCAATTGTCGTCCATTGCGGTCGTTGTGTATAGGCGCGGAACGCCTTGGAATGCGCATCCACCAGTGTCGACACCAGAATGTCTTCGGCGGCTTTGCGGCGACTGCTATACGCCGCAATGGTCTCGTCAAAGATGGCGCCGTTTCGGCTGCTGGAGCTCGTAATATCTTGTTCGCCTTCCAGTTCGCTCGTGTTGCCCGACCCGGACGCGGTCTGCAGCTCATCCCAGAGCTCGGTGAAGATCTAGAATTGTCAGTACCCAAACATGCCGTTGCACAACCGCCACGCACCTCTTCGTCACCCCATTCCGTCAGCGCATTGGCAATATGATCCGCGCTACCAATGACCTTGCACAGCGTTTCCAGAGCACCGAGGCCCTCGAGAGCAGCGAGCTGCTCCTTGGTCGCCCCATGCAGCGTGCGACCCAGCGCCGACGTCATGGACTGGTATGCCTCGAGCGACCCCTTAAGCCGCTCGTGGTAGCCGTCCAGGATATCCAGCTGGATGCGCGTCAAGAAGCGCACCTTGTACTTTAACGAGCGAAGTCCTTCGTATTTGGTCGTGATCGTGCGCAGCAGATCTGCCACGCGAACCGCCGCAAAAGTCGGCTTCATCTTGCCCGCCACGGCGTAGTCGTAGTCCATCTTTCGTGCGTCTGGTGCGTCTAGAATCGTTTCGAACCTCTCCAGCGCAAACTTGCGCTCGGCTTCAAACCACAGCTCAAAGTGGTCGGCGAGAACCTCGGCCGTGAGCCCCGTCCATCCAGTCTCGGCGTCGCCGCCATCGTAGTTGAACCGCGACCGAATCGTCTCGTCAAAGTTGACGAGCTGGGCAATGAATGTGCTCAGAAAGGGTGTGTTGGCAACAGCCTCCTGTGCCACCGCATGTACCTTTTCGCGCATCACGGTCAGCATGGACATGACCAACGCGCAAACGGGATCGGCGTAGACTGTCTTTTCCGCCGCGGACGTGTCGTGAAATTTGGCGGCCAGGACCGGGGCCAGGTTGTCGCGGAAAAAGTCTTGCCATTTCTCGACAATCGACAGAAACCAGGGGAAGCAGTGGCTGCCCATGGATTGCGCCTTGCTCGTCGGCTTGTCGCTCAAAAAGTGAAATCGGAATTCCGCCACAAAAATACGCGTCATGACATCTACAGGGAGAAGCGGCACCGCATCTGGGCTGTGCAGAATCTCAGGCATCTGAATGTCGACCAGCTTCTCAATGCACGCGATCCACTCGTCGTCCATGACCGACTGCGGGTCGACCCGCGGCCAGCCACGCCTTTTGAGCATCTCGTCCAGCTCGTCCGACATGATCTTCTTCATTTCCGCCCACAGGCTCTCAGTGACGGCCTCGACGTAGTCCACCAGGTGCAGCTCCTCGCTACCGGGTAGGCCGCGAAGCGTCAAGGCCAGCTCCTTGAGCTGCGCGTACGGCTCCAGCGCGGCCTTGGGGCTGCCCGGGAGGTGGACGCGGGTCTCGGCGCGCAGCCGCTCGACGTCCTGCAGAAGCACGAGGTATTTCCTGGCCAGCTCGGCGGCCTTGAGCTTCTGCATCGGCCGCTGAAGGCGAGCTATGGCCTCGGCCGGGGCGTCCGACGCCACGGTTGCGCGTACGCGACCGTCGATGGTGACTTGCAGGGCGCGGAACTCGTCTATGCGCTCCTGCAGCAGGCCATGGCGGTCGTCGGCCGTGCGGCGTGCCGTGTCGAGCTCCCGTACCGCAGCGTCGAGCTGCGTTTGGAGTTGCGTGCGCTGCAGCTCGACCGTCTCTCGCAGCGCATCCAGAGTGTCGATGTCGGCGGCGGACTGCAGCTTGTCCTCGAGATAGTCTTCAACCCGCGCATCCAGGGCGCTTTCGGGCGGTTGCGGTTCGATGGTGGCCATGTTGTCATCACCTGGCGGCGGTTGATGATGGTGGGTTGCAGGTGGCAGATGTCACTGCTGAGTTGGCCGAAGCTAATCGATAGTGCGCCAAGTGCAAGCTCCCCACCACGCGGTATAAGTGACATATTTTCAACATGGAAAGTTATAAGTACTAATAGATTTAAAACCATTTTACGTAATACCCTTTGTCGGAATACAGGTCGATGTAAAGGGTCATAACAAGCGTCTTATTCGGGTTCTAGTTGCTGGTTCTTGTCTATTGAAGCCCAGCTGCGCAGGCTTTCAACACTCGCAGTTCCCAGTTCCCTCTCTGTGGCTCACAGGCATATATAATAATGTTCTAGTAAAAGCCAAAAGCTAGTTAACATTTAGTCTTAGAGTAGACAAACGCTTCGTACCTTCATTTTTAGGAGCTGGCTCTGAACCCCACAATCACCAGCCTAGCCAGATTATCCCCTCCGCCGTACTACATTATGTTTCGGCAACCTGCACTCGCCATCCATCCAACAACCACTCTTGACCAAACAATGTCCACTCTGATGCAGTACACTCCAGACCTAATAGTACTATCAACAATGCGCGCAAAGCGTTGCTGGTTACGAGCCATTCGTCGCCCGACTCGCATCGGGTGAAGCGCGTTCCTACTCGCTTAATCATTTTTTACCTCTACGCGCCGGCCGTTCCAAGCCGTGTTCACGTCAACTCTCGCCAAATGGCTTCCCCTTCTCCTATCTCTAAGCAGCAATCTGTGTCCAACGTCGGGAACCGCAAACGACGGAATACATACAATGCCGCACACAGCAGTCCTCCTACCAAGAGGATCAAATCGATCTCTGCAGCACGCATAACCTCGAATTTCCCACCCCAATTCTGGGACAACCTGTCAAAAGTTTGGCTTACGCCTCGTGCGCTACGTGAAAAAGACAGGCGAAACGACATTCAGCCTCCTGCTATAAACCCTGCAATTGTACGCGCAACGCCGACAAGTCTTGCTCGATTTGCAAGACGTGGTGGACCAGATCTTCGCCATCTCAGAGGCGTAAGTCCGAGATTGGATCAGCCAACCTACAGATGGCTAACTAATGTCTTGCTAGTATCCTGAACCGAAACACGCCGCATCAATGAGCTCCAATCGTTCCTCGAACCGTCGGACTCTGTCCACAAAGGCAACAAGCATTTCCTCGAGAGCTAAACGATCCTCTGCCTATGATAAAGATTTCGAGCAGAATCTAATTGATCATAATATTTACCCCGAGGGGTTCAAACACACCCATGGGCGCACAACGCCTGAACCGAATAATTTGGATAGCATTGTTGAAAGCCTAGCCTACCCGCGAGCATCACTTTCACCATCTCAATTCTCTATTTCGGCTTTTAAGAGCTTTAGGGCGGCTAATAGCCGAGTCGTCTCTGAAGGCAAGGTTATGGCTGATATACTTCCAACGATACGTGGCAATAGCGAGATTCTAAACGAGGGGAACCTTTGTTTCGCCAACCTTGAGTCAATAACCAACGGAACCACAGTTGACGCAGTGCCTAACTGGTACGATGGATCATACACAAAAGAGATTAGCAAGACGGTACGGCAAGGACCTACAAGCCACGCACAAGCCCCAGTAGTGCCTAACTTCTTTATCGAGGCTAAGGCGCCGAGGGGCGGTGCTGATGTGGCGAAGCGACAGGCATGCTTAGACGGGGCGGTTGGGGCTCGAGCTATGCATAGCTTGCAGAACTATGGCGAAGATGTGCCTGTCTGTGATGGCAATGCATACACATTCACTTCAACCTACCATGCTGGAACCGGCACACTTCAGTTGTACGCCCACCACGCCACTGGTCCGACAGCAGAGGAAGAGCAGCCGGAGTACCATATGACCCAGATTGACAGCTGGGGAATGACTGGTAACGTTGACACTTTCAGACGTGGTGCAACTGCATTCAGAAATGCCAGAGATTTGGCTCGGCAACAACGGGAGACCTTTTTCAAGGCAGCCAACGCTAGAGTGTCACAAGAAGCTGCTCCAGCGGAGAAGATGGAACAGACATACAAAAAGCTTATGCTCTTACCTCTAACAGAGAGGCTTTTGTACACAGGGAGCTGCCTTCACAAATGCTAGATATTTGGCTCGTCGACAACTTATCGAAGTCAACATTTGGTGGTAGAGGTTCTTATTGTCGCTAACTTTCTCGAAACTGAAAAGCAAACAATCTACCCATTTTTTGAATTGTGACCTGTTGCAGCACAAACACCTGGAGCCGGTTACGAATTCCTCGCACAACCGCTAAGCTGTGCGTAGATGCTCGAAACCATCAGGCTAAGTGAGCATCATCCAAGTCCCCCCTTCAGTGCAGCGAGGGACACAGTCAAGTCCTTTAGTTCTGGCAAGTTCCCTTCCAGTTGTTGCAGGAGCACGAGCCGCATTCCTTTTCTCGTTTGTCAGTCCAGTTCTGTCTCCCATATTGCAAAACTCTCTTACGCGATCAGTCTTGCAGGCCTTGCCAACAGGGCAGAAGCGAGCCTCGAGGTCCGGGCCGGTACCGGCAGAGTCGGCAGCAGCGGCAAGGCCAACGAGGGCCATGGCGAAAACGAAAGCAGCCTTCATTTTGTTTGAGTTGGAAGAGAAGAGGAGTAAAGTGGTTGTGAGTGTTGTTCGATTGATGGTGAGTGATAGTCCTCGGTTCATCTTCTCGAGGACATGCGGCCCTTATATACCATTTCCCCAGCCGGGGGTGTGAACAACAAGCAATTTTCGGTTGCTACTAATTCGTATTGCGCTCAGGCTTAGCTGCGTCAATATAGAATGTTGCTCGAAACAGATGGTGCAAGGAGCCCCATTGAGAGATGCCCTCGGCACATGAGCTTGGCCACATATACGACGAATCCAGTGCCGGCACGCTTGAGCACACGAAAGAATTCCGGATTCCGAACTCGCAATCATCTTGCTGCTGGCTAACTGTTGCAGCTGGCCCTTCGGGTAGCAACCCGTCCGTTGCCCGATGCCCTTGTCGGCTATTGAGTTCCAAAAGCCTTCGTCGGCATCTCTTCTCGGGCCATGACACGATAAATATCGTATAGAGTCGATAATAGTGAAAAAGCGGCTTCATCTGCTAGGCAAGTGGTGTAACTACGACTATACAGTCGGCATGTACTCAGGACGGGAGACTCGGAATGCCCCTTTGGTCCCGGTTGACGACACAGCCACCCGTAGATCTGCGATGGGGCGTTTTCTTTTCTGACCCCATCTGATATCCTAAAAACGGGGAACCAGATGTTTTCGGCCCGGACCGAGTCTAAGGTATCTTCATGCGGCTCTGCTGGCAGGAGGCACAGCTGACACAAAACCCGGCTGGCCTGTTTATAACCAAAGGGCGAAATAAAAATGAAAAGACGATACAGCTGACTCTATTGACATATAGAGCTCAAGTTCAGTTCTGCCATGATTCGTCGGTCGTCTCAAAGACCACTGTGGACGTGGGTTTGCCAAAAGTCAAACGCATTTGACCTCCGCGGGGCGAGCGGCGGGATGGAGCAGGGTTGAGTGCTCCGCACCGACGATCGTAAGACAAGCATTCAATCCTCATCACGCGGTCTGGTGTTTTCCTCTGGCATGGTGTGTTCGGCAACTGCCGTCATCCCCCAGATGCAGGCGGCGACAGGTAAGACATGCTGGCGACAAGCTTGAGAACATCCTTCAGAGTCCGTAATCGTGGATGAAGATTCCCCGTGGCCGCTCGCACGTGTCATCAAATTGTTATCGAGAAAATAATATCATGAAACAGCTTAGCTCCCCCATTGTCGGCGAGGAAAAGGGTCCGAAGCAGGTTCTTTGTCTCTTCCTCGGTCTCGTTGCTCTGCACAACAATCGTGCGATTAAGACGGTACAGGCTTAGTGCCAAGCACAGAGAACCGACGGGAACATCAAGCCTCGTCCCATCACGCCTCTATCGTGTCGGCAAACATGTCCGCATAATGCGCCTTCTGCAGGGGCCGGCTGTCGTATTCCATAGATGGTCGGGCTATCGGTCGCCGATGTGCCCCTCGACCAGAAAGTTTAATTCGACTAACAACTGACAGCAACAATGGGGAAGCTCCGCTGCGGCAATTGAGAAATCCCAGAAATAACAGCTGTGGACCTTGTGGAGAGGTGAGAGGCTCCGTAGAGCGACGAGGGCTTGAAGGTATCCGGGGATCGGTCTGTCGGCTGTCGGTGGCCGTGTAGGGCTTTGTAGAGTGGAGTTAGATTTTTGCGTCAAAGATGGCGCAGCAGACAATCTCCATTGATTCGTATCATATACATCAGTTTAACCGCCCGGCTCACGGGACAAGGACTTGCGCAGATGGCTCGATACTGGCAAGTGACTGGTACAAAGCCGAGGAATTGCGCAGTTGCGTTGAGTAACTGCTAGCAGCTGAGTTATGATAAGAGAGGCGATTAAGTCCATGTTGCTCGTACCATATATCAAAGCTCTCGGAATACATCCGTCGGGTAACGGGTGACCGGCAAGCAGGAACCGTCCCGTTCGGATGAGTTTTATAGTTACTAAGAAAGGGGCCTTTACAAACCTCACCAACCCTGAATGAAATAAGAGGATTATTTTTCATATATTTAGAGTTACGCTGCGAGCTATCCCTGACTTTGCGTGAGGTAAGGCTCTTGCTCACACCTTTACTAGGCTATGCTCGACTCAAACAGAGCGATGATGGCACACCATCGAATCCAGTACCTGGCTATCTGTGTTCTCCTCCTTGGGGAGATTTTGTAAGAACACACTGGAAAAAGTACATCTAGAAAACAAGGTATGCGGTAGTATTGTATCCACATCGTCCCTTCGGGATGCTGTTGGGATAGTGATTTACACTGTTATGACCAACTTTGTGCCAGGTCGCTAATCTATATTCGCTGACCAGAATAGATTATGGAATGCATAAACTTTAGGCAGAATAACTCGGCTGTGAATTCTCCAGATTTTCATCCCAACAGAGCTGGCCCGATTCACGAACAGGAACTCGTGGCACGGATAGGGGACTCGACACAGATAGGCTTATATGCCTGGGTCAGGTAAAATTCAGACCTGAGTTCAAGAAATTGAGCAAGAAGAAACGAGCAAATAAGTCGAATCTATATGAACAGAGGCTGAAAAGCGTCTTCATGACGTAGCGCTGGCCAATGAAGCGTCGCGGATTTCTGCTGAGGTCGGAGACCCACTGTAGCTTCAAGTCGAGCAACATTTTTGCCACCATCTTTCTACTCAACTCATGGCATCACGCGCATTCGCCTAGTCCAATCGTCCTCTAATTGCGCCCCGGTACGCACCTGGCCGACCTACTATGATGATGAATTCCTCGAGGCTCGCCCTGAAGCGAGGCACATGCCAGTCCCTTCGCGCCACGACGAAGCACCAGAGTGCTCCTTACTCGAGTGCGCGATTCACGCAGCCGCCCCGTCGCCGGGGGGGCAAGCTCCTCGGCTTCGCCGCCGTGTTCGGCATCGCGGGCGCCGGTGCCTACTACTACCCGCGCCTCATGGCCGGCGACAACCCCGACGAGAAGGCGCGCCCCAAGGTCGAGCTGGAGTTTGAGCAGCCCCGACAGAGGGCGGCCTCGGCCGAGGAGTACCGCGATCTCCTGAGCTCGCAGCACGTGCAGATCAAACAAAGTCTCGAACACCCTGGCGTCTACGCGTGGGGCTCCAACGCCGGCAAGGTCATTGACCCCGACGCCGACGACAAGTACATTAAGCGCCCGCGACGCATCGCCTACTTTGACGACAAGCTGCTGCGCGACCTGAAGCTCACGGCGGGCTTTGGCGCGGCCGTCACTGAGAACGGCGACCTGGTGCAGTGGGGCGCCGGCTTCTCGCAGGCCGATCCCACGCCCTGCCTCACGCTGCGCGGCAAGGACCTGGCCAAGATTGAGGTGTCGGCCGACCGCATCATGGCGCTGTCGCGGAGCGGCCGTGTGTACTCGGTACCGGCGTCTCGAAACGACGTCGAGGGCGGCGTTGACGAGCGCAAGAACTGCTGGTCGCTGTGGAGCACCTCGGGCAAGGCGGCGGTCAACTTTCGAGATGTCACGCCTAGTGGCCTGGGCTGGGGCGAGCACGTTACAGACGTCCGGAGTGGTCTCGAGCATGCGCTGATTCTGACATCCAAGGGTCGCGTTTTCGCGGCGGCGTCCTCGGTCGCCTCGTACCCTTCCAAGGGCCAGATGGGAATCCCTGGCCTGTCGTGGGAGACTCGGCCTGCAGGACCGTACGACCAGCCGCAGGAAATCAAGGAGCTCTCTGGATTTCAGATCACACACATTGCCGCTGGCGACTACCACTCGGCTGTTCTTGACAAGACTGGGCGCATCTTTGCATTTGGCGACAACACGTTTGGCCAGCTGGGCTTTGAGTCAGATGGGGTGCCCGTCAGCTACGCGCCCAACATGGTGGCCGTGAGTCAGCTCTACGCCAAGAGCGGGCTGGTGGCTACTGTGACCTCTATCGCTGCGGGCGGCGTCAATACGTATTTTACAGTCGACGCCGAAGCACCAAAGACGCAAGACAGTGGCAGCGCTGCCCCGTCAAAGAGAATGCCACGTACGACGTCGGACCTTTGGGCCACTGGTCAAGGCACCTACGGCACGTTGGGTACCGGACGATGGACGCATGTTTCCACGGCCCCCACAAAGGTCAAGGCGCTCTCGGGTCTGTTCGAGTTTGACGAAGGCAAGAATGCGATGCGGCCGATCCGGCTCAAGGGCTTGCAGGTGGGCACGACGCACTGCGCGGCCGTCATGGACAATGTGACAAAGACGAGCGCCTCGAGCAAGTCGTCGTCGGCCAACGAGACCAACTGGGGCTCGGATGTGCTGTTTTGGGGCGGCAACGAGCACTACCAGCTGGGCACGGGCAAGCGCACGAATCTGAACGCGCCGGCCTACATTGGCCCTCTGGACGGCGGCGACGCGGACGCTGCCAAGGGCCGGAAAGGCGAGATGCACCGCCTGTGTCTCACGCCAAAACAGACGGCTCGTCTGGGGGAGGATGGCAAGGGCAGGAAGGCGACGCTGGAGCAAAAGGTCGAGTGTGGGCGTTATGTAACGGGCGTGTATTCGGCTGTTTGAGCGAGTCGATCGAGCCATCTGGTCGCTTGTCTGTTTTTGAGCGAGTCGATCGAGCCAAGCATTGGTCGCTTGTGTGTTGTATTATCTTGTACAAGACGAATGATGCCTACGGCAGACACAGATTACAGGTCTCTACTCTGTATGTATTTTTATTCACGAATGTATACCCAGCCTTGTTTGAAACACAGCTCGCTCTCGCGCAGATGAAGGAACAATCATTTATGCGCATATCGCAGACGACCAGTGTCTCGTATCGGGCGGCTTGTCTCAGTCTGGGGCGAGAAGACGGAGCGAGGGGCAGGCACGCGACTTGTCTGTCGCTTTGTGGTCAGTGGTCAGTGGTCAAGTGGCTCTGTCAGTGGTCAAAGTGGCGAGACAGGGCTTCAATCTCATGTGCACCCACATATCTGAAATGATCAGCGTCGGTGCAGATTATTCGCTGACATGTCGTGCATGGAGCCGAGCCCAATAAGTGGTGATGGGGTCCAGGGGCATGAGACGCTGCCCAGCGCCGCAAAGAGCGCTAACGTGAACTGCAGCAAGCGCTAACATGAACTTTACAGAGCGTCATCACGTCACGTCACCTCTTTAGGTATTCACCTGGATTTTCTTATTAGGCTCAACAAAGCCGCCTCCACCCATATTTTCTGGTGACCCGAGCGTGTGGTAACAACCAACTGATACCACATCGTCTTTCCTTACTATATCCACTCCTATTCTACTCGTCCTCGTTTCGGGCCATTTCTGCTTTCTCCTTTCTCCTTTCTCCTACATCAACTCTCCCGCCAAAGTCCTTTGCCGTCTTCATCGCCCTTCCGAGCCGCCCGTTGCCCACTCGAGCCGTGTATGCGCCTGTCGGGTACCGGCCATCTCATCGCCAGGACGCTCCCTGACTCTCCATCGACCCAGAGACTCCATATTTCCCCCAACCATGGACTTGATCCCTATACACAAACTGCGGCGCAAACCGAAACCCCCAGCCCTCGAGACCTCGATCGATCGCATCGCGACAGCACGGCTCGCCGCCGACGACGCCAGGCTCAGCAAGTCACCCAGCTTCCCGTCGCGAATGTCGCCCTTTCGACGACTGCGCGGCGGGAAGCGTGCCAGAAGCTGCTCCCCGGCGGCCAGCCTCGTCGGCGAGCCCGTCGCCGCGATTGTCAGCAACAGCGCCAAGTCCGCAAACGACGCCGGCGACGAACCAAGCTTGAAAATACCGGCGTTTCTCACACAAAGCGACAACGGTAAGCTTGACGGAATCAGCATTCGTGCGGATATGTCGTGGCAGCAAATCTAACGAGAAGGTAGAGTTGCAGCGTCGATTTCAGGATATCCAGGAAAAAGAAGCCGAGCGAACAAAACCAGCCACAGACCCCGACGACGACGACGACAACGACACAACAACGTGGACATTCCACCAAAATGAAAATGAGCAAGGGAAAAGTCTTATGGATCGCTACTTTAATATAAAACCGTGGAGCCATAATCGCGTCAAGCTAAACGTCCCGGATGGCGCACCCGACTACGTCAACGCATCGCCCATTGCCGTGCCAGCTTCCGACGACGACACACCAGCACTCCACTACATTGCCATGCAAGGGCCGACAGTACCGTCCTTTGACTCTGTGTGGCGCATGGTTGCCGAGAATACAACGTCAACCGCCGTCATTGTCCAGCTGACCACCATGATGGAAGGGCTGCAGGTCAAATGCTCGCAATACTTTCCCTTTAGCGACGAGGACAAGACGTGGGCGCTCAACGCCGACGACGCCTGGGGCGACGGCTGGACGGCGACGCTCACGTACGAGTCGACCGAGGCGCTCTGCGACGGCGCCATTGAGCGGCGCAAGCTGCTGCTGCACGTCGGCGGGGAGCCGGCGCCGCGCACCGTCTGGCATTTTTTATACCTGCGGTGGCCCGACTTTGGCACGCCCGCGCTCACCGACGTGCCCAACTTCTTTGAGCTCATGAAGATGTCGCGCGAGCACGCGCCGGCCGTCGACGAGCCGCGCTTCGTCCACTGCAGCGCCGGCGTCGGCCGCACCGGCACCTTTATCTGCCTCGAGCACCTCGTGCGCGAGCTCGAGACGGGCGCCTTTGACGCCGTCGACCCCAACGACCCCGACGCCGCCGACCTCGTGTACGAGACCGTCGACGCCCTCCGCCGCCAGCGCCGCTGCATGGTCCAGAGCGCCCCCCAGTACACCTTTGTCTACCAGGTCATGCGCCAGCTCTGGGCCGAGCGCTACGGCCTGTCCGACGACGACGTGCGCGCAGCCGCTGGCGCGAGCAGCCAGCAGCCCGCGTCCAAGCGCTTCGAAATGGCCACGGACCCGGCGTCCGACGACGACGCCGCGAGCATCGTCTCCGACGGCGGGGGTGTCAGCTTGGCCCAGACGGCGGAGTAGCGGGCCTCTCCATCGCCGGTGAATTTGAGCCTTTTTTCTTTCTTGTGCTCGAATATACGGTACCAAGGATTAAACCAGCTCTTTTGGTGCTCGAGTTTATGGTACCAAGGATTAAACCTGCCCCAGTTGTATGACTAGCCAGAAAGCTTGCTCCAAGTTGATGTTGTTACTGAAAGCCGTACATTGTTTCACATTTTTGGCATTTTATTAGAATAAGCAAGCCCCCGAAAGGGCCGTATTTGGTTAATATCCGCTACGTTGGCCAGAATTTCTCTTCTGCCATGATGGCGCAGCAGAGTCTTTAATAGGCTGAATTATTTATACCACGGTACATACATGCTATGTACGAAAATACTTATCAAACAGAAAGATACATTGTCCCACTCTGGAACAAAACAGAAAAAAACTGTCATGCTTGCTTTTGCCCCGATTCATGCAGTGTGCGTAATGATCAGCGTCACCGTCTCGCGACTCGTCACCGTCTCACGGCTCGTCACCGTCTCGCGCTGCGTCACCGTCGCCGTCCGCGTCACCGTATACACGACCGTGGCCAGCCCGCCCACGACCTTTGTAGTGAGCGGCGGCGGCGGCGCCTCCTCTGCCTGGGAGACGGCCGGCTTGCTGCCACCGTCCACGACGGGCACGATGACGTTGCTGGTCATGGGCGGCGACGGCGGCGGACGGGACGCTGACGGTCTCAGCTCCGCTGGGTACGTCTGCGTGACAATGAGTCGGTCGCTGGAGCTCCACGAGGGGCCGGGCGAGCTGGAGACGGGCGCTGCTGCCTCGGGCTGCTGGGAAGAAGACGGCGGTGGTGGCGCCGTGGAAGACGCTGGTGGATAAGTGGATGGTGGCTGTGTCGGGGGAGAGGATGGCGGCGCGGATGTGCTTGGTGCCGCAGGCGTCACGGTTATGTACGATGTCCGGATGCTCGTCATCGTGATCACTTTTGTCTTTTCCGGCTCCGAAGAGGCCGGGGGCTGCGTCGAGGGCGTGACCACCGGCTGGGACGAGGTCGTAGGCGCCGGTGCTGGCGAAGCAGGTGGCGAGCTCGGCGGCGAGACGCTCGACAGCGACTGCGTCACTGTAAGCGTCGACGACTGTGCATCCGAGGACGACGACGCCGATGCCGACGGTGGCGCATTGCCATTCAGAATGGCCAGAGCCGCGTTCGGCTCGCTGCAGCCAATGGTGACGCCGTCGACACGGGCCATGGGCAGCGCGACGCAAATCTGCTTGTCGACGCACGCGACGGGCGCGTAGGTGCCGTCGGGGCGGCAGACGCCCTGCGTGCGGGGCCCGAGGCAGGCGGCCTTGCCGGGCATACAGGGCGACGCAGGGGTGAGCGCGGCAAAGGCACTGTTGAGCTGCCGCGCGTAGGCGAGGTTGTTCTGGTACACGGCGGGCGGCACGGGCGCGCTCCCAGTGGGCAGCGGGCCGATGGTCACACTAGGCAGGCGGGTATCAAGGCCGGCGGTGGGGACTAGGGAGGCGCGGGTTGGCGCGGTCGTTGTGGGGAGAGGCGACGACGTGGTCGAGCTGGTTGAGCTGGTTGAGCTTGTGCTGGTGGTGACGAGGGTGCTGGAGGAGAGTGACGACGAGGTTACGCTAGTCGAGGTCGTGCTGGTCATGACGAGTGTGCTAGATGAGGATAAGAGTGATGAGATGGTGCCAGTCGAGGTTGTGCTCGTCATGACGAGTGTGCTAGAGGGCGGCGAGGGAGTGGTCGCATCTATGGCACTTGTGCTGGCTGTGACGAATGTGCTGGGCAGGATTGATGTGGCAATCAAGCTGGGAGAGCCCACGCTGCTTGTGAGAAGCGTGCTGGAGGATGGCGCGGATATGATGGCATCGGTGGAACCTGTACTAGTCGTGATAATTGTGCTAGGTAGAAGTGGCAAAGTTGTGACAGGTGTGTCACTGCTAGCTGTCCCAGACAATGCCGAAGTCGCACTGAAGGAGGGTGATAAAGTCGCATCCGAGCTTGTGCCCGACTGCCCTGTGGTCGTCGATCTCTGGAGAGGAGTTCCGGAGGTAGACGTTTCAAGAGTAGACGTTCCAGAAGTAGACGTTCCGGGAGTGGACGCCCCAGGAGTGGACTTGGTACTGGCGCCCGGGCTTGCGCTCGTCGAAGTCGTAGAAGACAGTGGCACCGAAGCGGCACTTGTCGTCGCGGTGGCGGGCGAAGTTGGCGTTGAACTTGGCTCCGATGATATGACGGGGCTGGGACTCTGAGACGACGCTAGAGGGCTGCTACTAGACAAAGTTCCAGAAGTCGCAGACGTACGAGACGAGTCAGTGGCAGAGGTTGGCGCTGAAGATGTTGCAGCTATCGAGCTAGATTCCGAGGATGGCCCGGAGCTGGTGGCCGGAGTCGAGGTTGGTTTCGACGAAGAGGGGACAACTGGCGATGGCGAAGAGGATGTCACATAGGACAAGGCGGTGGAAGGTGTACCGGCCGAGCTTGGCGTGCGAATTGGATCCGGGCTGGGCTCGGAAGCACTGGAAATGGCTGTGGAAGCGGGACTAGAGCTGACCGGCGTCGAGGTTCCTAGCGGCGAGGAGGCAGCCGGAGAAGATGGGGTCTGGGACGTCGGCGATGCGCTGGTGGCCGGCGTCGAGGTCGATTCCGACGAAGAGGGGACAGCTGACGCTGGCAAAGTGTCGGGCGAAGAGGAAGAGCCGGTGGTTGACGTCGAGGCCGATTGCGGAAAAGAGGAAACAGATGGTGAGGAGGACAGGACCTGGGATGAAGCGGGCGCGCTTTGCGCAGACGTGGCGACAGGCGTAGAAACGGGCGCCGGCGACGTTTCTGATGCGACAGAGGAGCCCGGTGGTGTCGCAGGAGACGTCCTCTCGGCGGTGGAAGACGATGGCGGCGGCGCCGAAGAAGGCGAGCTTGGTGCTGACGTACCGGGGTTGGGCATCGGCACGACTGAGTTTAATGGCGCAGAAGACGGCGCAGCCGACGTAGTCGGGGGGCGTAGCAACGAGCTCGGGATGACGATGCTGGTCCCGGTCAACGTCTCATAGATGGGTCGTGGCGTGGATGCAGAGGAGCTATTCGAGAGCATATTAGATGAGCTGTATCTTCGTTTTTTTTGCCTTTTCATGGGAGGTAATTTCCATACAGAGAGGGCTCGTCGGCCGCCGAGAGGGCACCGGAGCGCAACAGCCTACAATCTTTCGTGTTAGCCGTCGTCGAACCAGGTTGGTCTTGCGCGACATTGCACCACCAAACCACACAAAGTCACACGTACAATTCGTTGAACCGGCCAAGCGGGCCAGCCACGGCCGGTTCAACAGCGCCCATCAAGTACAGGGCCGATACCGCCACATGGAATCGCATCATGGATCAATCGCGCGCAGCGTTTTCCTAGCTGGCCCAATCCCAAGTTTTCGATCCGTCGTTCGGGGGGCCAAGTATACCGCCAGGGTGCAGAGCGAGAGAAGAAATGAGGGAGCAGCAAAGTTCTGTTTGCCCAAGGTGAATGATGCTTCTGTTTCTGCTGCTGAAAAAAGATCAAGAACGGACAGGAAGCAAAGGCGTGCGGTGGAATGAAGGCACGCAAACAAGAGACTGGTAAGCTGGCCGGCTCACGCCAGAGCAGCTATTGGAAAAATAATGAAAAGTAGCAATAGGCAAGCAGAACCAAAAAGCAACGAGCAAATAAAACCAACAATATCGTACTAAAAACGTGAAAAAGGACGAGACCAAGACAAAGGGAAAAAAAGAAGTCAAACAGCGTGTTAGCGGGGGGGGAGAGGAACGAGGGAAGGCGAGAGCTGGGGACAGAGAGACGGAGTCTGCAGGACGAGCTATCTATCTATAACTCGTCGCGTCTTGAGCAGACCATCCCCAAGCCACCAGCCCATTCCTGGGTGTGTCTGCCGCATGCAGCATGCATCATGGTACAAAACGACAGGTTGAAGATGGTGGTGCTGCCCCCCCCCTCCCTTCCATGTCCCATCGCCGTCCGCCGGCCCGGGTATTTCGACCACGCCAGAAAGGCCAAGAAGAGCGTGCCTCCCAATCCGAACCAGACCTGACAAGAAGAGACGAATCAATGGGCGAAAATCTAGTCCATGAAAAAAAAAGAAAACCACCTGGCACTTTTTTGTTTGGGCAAACGCCCCCGTCCAATGAACCTGTCTGTGGTGGCCAAGATGTTTGCCCCACTCACCAGCTCCGGCGGCTACTGGGGTTGTCGCAGATTTGGCGCCGTCCTGGCCAATCGCCGGTCAACTCCACTCGCCCTCCGATTGAACGAGGCGCGTATGCTTCACGGTTGACCACAAGTTGGAAACAAGGCTAAAATCTTTTTTGCTTCCTCAAGAAAATTAAGTGTGTTGCTCTGTTTCTGGTTGAAGGTGTGGATACCAGCAGACTAGCCTTCGTTTTCGTTTCGTTGCGTATTGCGAGACTTCACTGGCTGTTGGCATCTTGCTTCGTCTTGCTCCGACGGGACCCCCCCCTCTTAGTCAAAACGTCATCCGTAGCTAGTACCTCCTTCCTGTAGTTTCGCACGCGTCGTGGTCTAGAACAAGTCTGCCTATTTACATGCAACCTCGAGTGGCCATGTCGACGCCGTCACACAAGAGGCACCGCCGAATCGATTCAACGTCCCACCACATGATGCGCCCGTCCCGAAGTCACAATCATATGTACATATCACATACAAAAAAGTTACTGTACAAGTATCCCATCCCATCTAAATTACATTCCATATGTCTTGGGTATCAGAGTGCACGCAAAAACAATAAACCTCTAACCGCTCTTCACGCACACCTGGAGAGCGCGCGCCACGCAACTGTGACGCACCGTCAAGCCACACACCATAGCTATGGCCGCGGCCAGCCATGTACCTTAATCTCCATGATCGCTTCGCCTGAAACAGAAATCTCTCTCTTCCTCATTTCCTCCAGCCGCATGGCCAGCACGGCCAATGATGACACGGCCGCATCATGGCAGCTGGTACAGAGGCATGTGAAAGCCGAACCCGTATTCGCTTACGCCTAGCGCCTAGCTCTTCTTCTCAACAGTTGGGCCCCAAAGGGTGCATCCGTGTCTGTGCTGCCGTCCTCTTCTGGGCCTGGATATAAGCCAAGACACCCCGGACGTGGCGAATCGAATCATGTTGGTGCATCTGCATATAGGCATCCACGGCCGCGGTGTCCGGCCATGTCCACGGCAGCCCAGTCTCAACAATCGCGTCTTGCGCCTCCTCTGCCACGACGGGCCCGCCCAGCATCGGCTCGCCGAGAAGTCGAAACACGCACAAGAGCTCAGAAAAGTCGGTAGACGGCGGTAACTCGTCAAGTGCCACCAGGTCCTGCACCAAATCTGCTTGGCCCCATTCGTGTATAAGAAACAAGAGCAGCTTCTTCATCTCGTCAAATTCACCAGCATATCCCAGCGTCATCATGTACTCCAACGCATGCTCGCTTCGAACCACGTCATTGCGAGAGAGCATGCGGTCCAGTGGCGATATGTAATTGTCGCGTGCCGCCGCCTGGTACGACCTTTCTCGTGCCTGCATCTTGGCAAATTCGGATTTGATGTACTCCATGAGCGACTTTAGTGTTCCTGGCATAGGCGGCGCTCGCTCGCCATATTCGTCAGCTGCCTTGACTCTGCCTTCGTTGTCAAAAGCCGCCTCGTAAAGGGCTCGTAAAGGCTGTTTCGATGAAGACATCAACGTCGAATTCTCGCTTTGTTGTAGATCGCTGACTAGGCTACGCAGATCGTACCGTATCAGTTTTCGAAGAGATTTATTTAATTCCGCAAAGTTGGCCAGGTTGAGTCTGTTGCCCCGGTCTATCCGTTTTGCAATGGCCATGATTAGCTCAACTTGGTCAGACTGGGACATTCGCAGAGCCGAGTGGTGCCTCGAGGCGCCCTTCAGGATGGCTCCCCAGATCAACGAGGCCCAGCGGGAGCGCTTATTGCCCAGACGCGCCTCTGCCAAGGAAATAGCTCGTTGCAAGTTCTCCCAGCCAGACAGGTCATCTCGCCTCGCGAGCATGTTGATGTAAGCGGAGAAGAGCCCCATGCCGACGCGCCGCAGTGCAGATCGTTCAATCTTGGGAGATATAAGGCTAGAAATATCCGGGTCGAGCTCGGCAGCTGTTTCAAGATAGCGATGCGCGGTATTCAAGTCTGGTGCATTGGACACTAGAATAAATAGACAGTGCCCGCTGGGTATGATGTCAGCTTGGCGCATCTGGCTGTAGAGTTCCTCGACACTCGGAGGTCGAGACTTTGCCCATTCGATATCTGCAAGATTGGCAGCCCGGTAGGCAGGAAAGTTTTGTGCCTTGTCTCCAGGAAGTAGCTTGCTGGTGGGGGCGACTTCTCTGAGTGTGAGTTTCTCAAACATGGCCGCATATTCGTTTACTCCGGCTGTCGCACCCTGGCTCGGATCATCATTAAATCGTGCCCACGCCTCATGGGCGTCCCGCGTTGCGCGAATAGACGCCTCCCACGTGCTTATAGTTCGATGGCTGCCCGCAAGCGTGCGCTGCTGTATCGTCGGAGTTCCATTGGGTGCCATTCCTTTTAGAATGTCCAGGCTGTCATCAGCTTCAGACTTTGCAAAGCCAGCCTCCTGCATGAGCATGCCTGCCTCGACGGTCCGGCTCCAGTTGGCCTCGGGGTCTGTTATTTCGTCCATTCCATCCCCGGGCGTTAGATATGGCGGCCAAGAGGGGGCATGCAGCAAAGCGCTGTGCTTTTCTGCTTCATTCTTTGGCATACCTGCCAGAGTATTTCGGATTGTGCGGAACCCATCCCCATTGACCTGCAGCGGCCGCTCAAAAGTTTCGGACATTGTCAGCAGAATGCGTTGGCATTCCCAGAAGTAGGCATTAGCCACAGGCAGCTGCTTCACTAGCGAGTTCGATTCGGGTTGGAATATCTGGAGTATATTGTTGAAAAGTCGGCAGCACTTGACATATCTCTTTGCGGAATCTCCTGTCTCAACGTATTGTGTCATATGGGAAGAGACTGCTTCAGCAAGGTTGACTAGTAGTCTTGGCTCTGTCCGAGCTATGTGTTTCTCAAGCAGGGATAAAATCTTCAAATAATTTGGCCCTCGCGCGACAGATCCTGGATAGGGGCTTTTGAGTAATAATATGCCGTCGACTTTATACCGTTCGATAAGGCTTCGGAGCGTAGAGATGTCACGTAGTGCCGAATCTCGTCGTAGAAGAAATAGCAGCACATGGACTGGGACCTGGCCGTCATACTCCAACAGCCGTTGACAACGTTGATCGTCGTTTTTCCCGGATAGTATATGTGCGCATGACCTCAGAGTGTCCTGTTCCAGTTGACGCTTTTGATTGATGGCCTCAATCCTTTGTCCCATCTCCGTTTCAGACGGGAGCAGCTCTGACAGCTGCTTGCCGTCCGCAGTTTCTTCCGCCGCGCGGTTCTTCAATATCAAGTGTGCCAAAATGATTGGGATCGAATTGTCGCGTGACTGCGCAGCAGCAAGTTCCCAAGGCTCGACACTCTTCTCGCGCTCCAAGATTTTCGTCAGGAACTGCATGTGGCTGTACTCTTGCCCATCCGCATGCCGCAGTTTCACGAGGACCTTGTTGCGAATCTTCGGACGTCGTGTATCTTCCTTTGTCACGGTTGTGGCATTGCGTATCCGCGTGCTGTCATAGTCGTTCAAGGCAATCGCGTTTCGGGCGGGAGCAGCGGCTGATGACCAAGCCCTTGCAGTCCGGTGGTCTGCGGTATGTCTCGTATCGTCATACCATCGTATCGAAGTGTGCATATGCCGGTTTAAAAGATATTCGACACGCAATGCGCAAACGTGGCCCTGTGTCGCAACGATAGCACGGTGCAGCTGCCCCGGAGTCGCAAGAATGCCCACCGTCCCCCGGTGTGTGAGGATCAGGTCGGGCGCATGCGGCAGCCTTCCGCTGACCTTCCATGCCGCCCTGCAGAACATTCCTCTTCATTTCGCCATGCAGGTATATTTACATGTGGTATGAAACGTTGCGAGTATTGGCGGTAATACTGCGAAATGCGATGCGCTGACTGTGCGATTCTTCCATTGGAAACGTCGATGGAGCAGGAATTGAGCTCCGAAATAAAGCGGGGCCTGTCTGGTCACTGCAAAACGCTCTCGTGCCAATAGTTAGCACTACTCTCTAATACTACGACGCAAAGCAGAGGGGGGATATCATAGATTATATTTTTGCAAAGGCTTATAAATGGTGATTAGATTGCATAAGATTAGCTTGCATTACGGTTTGTGCACAGCTTCACCACTGAGGATATGAGTAACGGATGCTTTAGTACAGACATGCGATTTGGGGTTCTCGACTCAAGTCTTATTCTCATCCGCTTTTTGATTTTTCTTCCGGCTTTGTCGCAACTTTTGACTGTTCCTCGTCGTTTTTTTCTTTTCGCTTCTGAACGACTTCCCAGTTGTATACGCGCGCCGTAGCGACCTCCATAGTCTGCGCGCCGAAACAAAGTTAGGTCCTGCTTCAGTTCCAAAGAGGTTACGGTAATCTTGTCTTACCGTAATTTGTTCACGAATAAAGTCTAAATCTTCTTCGCAATGTGACAGGCTGGTCTTTGCTGACTTGAGCTTTGATTCGAGCAGGTCCTGGGCCTCATTGATGGGGTATGAGAGCATGACATTGGCCTTGAACATGGATTAGTACTGGTCCGCTGGCCGATCAACTTCTTCTGTTATCATACTCCAAGCCAAATGTAAACTTCTTCGGTGGGGGGGATATTCGCGCGCGCATATAGTGTGTCGTTGAGCTCGAATGTGGTTTCGATCGGTTCGCTCTCGTCCTTTGACCGTTAGCAAATGTTGTGCCCCTGACCCGCATACTCGGCATACCTTGCGCAGCTTCATAAACTGCACCGTATCCAACGTTTTCTGAATATCTGGTATCTTATCCTTGAGGCCAGCCATGCGCCTTTGGAGGTTCATTTCCATAAATTGGTACTTGCTGGTCATATTGTTAGCGCCGATGTTGCTCCAAGCTGAGCTCGTCCTCTTTGTCGATGGAAAACAGTCGCATTCGGTTGCTGCATGCTAGGTGTCGCGTTCACTTACGATATCAGCTCCTGGAAGCGTTGCAGTGTGCCTTCGACCTCGCCGCGCGACGTGACATAGTCCTCAACCTTGTCGACGAACGGGGCTGTGGGAATTCCTCGAGGGTTCGCCAGTGTCTCCTCCTTGCCGCTGCGTCAAAGTTCAGTATACGAAGCTTCATCATACAATATTGAGATAACATTGCTTACCCGGCGGCAATCTGCTTTCCTTGGCTTGCCATGGCTGCTGTTTTCTTGTGCAAGGCCCAAGTCGAGAGCTCCAGGAAAGCAATCAGTGCTACATTTGCGGCAAAGTGGGCTGGCTGCCTACGACACTGAGGGGTGGGTGGGGTGGCTTCACCGAGCTTCTACAATGTCAGATATGAACTTCATCAAGGTTTCTCGTCATCGCCTCTGGAGTGACGGAGAGGTTACGAAGATTTTTCTGCGCTCTAAATCCGGCTCCAAATTTGTGATTTTCTTGCCAGCACGTTTGAATGTTTTCTACAACGTGGCACTGGCTGTATTCGTTTTGATTCTGGAACATCGTAGCTCAATGCATCGTTCTGTGTATAACTTGGTTGAATTTGCACGCTATTTCATTCTCATTTCTCATACACATAACACAGCAAGACAAATCTCGCATACCCCAGTTGCTAGGTGCAACGAGTATCAACACAGGACATACAGGACCGCATGAGAGCTGTACACGCCCCCTCACTCGTCGAATGCTATAGTGGCACACGGCACACGACCAACTTGGAGCCGAATCACTTGCCCTTGTCGACGGCCTCGGCGGCCGTAATGTCTGCGCCCTCTGCATTTCCGTCTTCCTCCCAGTCATCCGGCGCATTTTCGTCCCAGTTGTCAACCTCATCTTCCAGCGTCTGCGGCGCAGCATCCACAACACCCGTCTCGTGGCCCACGCCAAGCTCAAGATCCTCGGCGTCTTCTCCCGGCACCGCATTGTACGTCTTCTGCTGGCGCCTGCGCTCGAGCATCCGTCTGTGGTACCACGAGCAGAGCCCGAGCCCGAGCAGGCTGCCAACAATGTTGGCGGCAATGTCGTACATGTCAAATTCGCGGTCGTTGGGCAGGAAGCTCTGCAGAAACTCGGAGCCCACGCCGAGTATCAAGGTGCATATTATCAATGTCATGTTGATCGTCCGGCGGCGGTTCGTGTCGACGACCCAGTAGAAGACGACGGTGAGCAGGAAAAAGGTAAGAAAGTGCAGTAGCTTGTCGTTGACCATGTGGCTGAGCTGCAGCTTCGTCAGGCCAGCATACGCCGCGAGGAGGAGCAGGAGCAGGAATACGCCTGCAAAGATCGTTGGCATCAGTACCAGGCATTCGCGGCGAACCGCCAGCGGAACATACCTGCAAACGTGAAACGGATGCGCATCTTGACTTGACCTCCAAAACGCCGCCGACTTTCCAGTGTAGTATTTCGAAACTGCTTCGCATTTATCGAATCAGCAGCAGACAGGTTTGCGACGTTTAACGGCCAATCGGCTGTCGAGGCAGAATGTCATTGTGATGGCAGAGTCAAGGTCCAGCTTGCGACGACCCGCTGAAGCTCCTAAAGAACCAGGCTCCGACGAGCGCCACTACCTTCCACCGCGCCACGCGGCGCAGGTGGCTGGGCTATCATGCATTCATCACAGCAATATTATCTCTCGGCAGACATCATTCGGCGCCTTCAACTGGGATGTGCTGATATATGGATTAGTTCGCTCAAGTTTTTTACTTGCGCGTTTCCCGTCACAATCAGGCGCTTTTCAACCCTGACACGCCCCATGTACACCAATTAGCAAGGAACAGATCATTGCAAAAGGTACAAAATTTGGGATAACTCTAGAATCTTGTCTACTTAATATCAACTCAATGCTCTCGTCTCTTTCGCGTATCTTAGGTAATAACCGCAACTAGAAGTAGTCGCTGCACTTTCGAGTCGATAGCGACAGGTTCGGGAATTTGCGTCTGAAGCTAGAGACAGCGACATTGCAGGGAAATAGAGCAGATACTGTCCATCGCCATATTATTGCTTCATTTACTTAGCGAGGTAATAGAAACCCCGCTTGTCGATCGTAGAGCTGGGTTTCGTAGGAGGCAGGTCCTGGTCTTCATCAAGTATGGCGCCAGATAGAAAGGAGATTCGCACAGATTAGCATTCGCACTGCACTTGATTCGCTTTTCTTCTTATCTATAATGCGCAGTGAGTTCTTACAGATAAACACTGTTGCCTCCCTCGAAATACTCCGCTGACGAGTCCCCGCCACGATTCGCGGCACTGTTCGATAATCCCTGAGGCGTACCTGTTCTATACGCTGCTTCTTGCAACGTCCCGCGGGGAAAACAGCGAGGCGTCACTTTCTGAGCGCGAGTTGATGCCTCGTACATTTTTCATAGCGTACATACAAAGCTAAATGTTCGCATATCGCAATACACAGAAATGGGTCTGCAACTGGTCTGTTCAAAGCACTTTCTAGGTGTCGAGCTGTCCTTGGAGTGGCTAGCTCGTGCAGAACAACGATTCCGGGGACACTTCTCAGTTTTCCGAAAAGTTGGGGGAAATAATGGCTACATGCCAATATTGGCCATGAAAAATGGTCCAAGGTAGTCAAGCTTGCCCAGTTCTACACCCGCATTCCGGAGAATTGCAAACGCAATTATCGCGTGAAAGTACATGTTCGGGATCCCCGCACCCGCGCAAAAAGCCGCGCCAGTGAGTTCCTTCTTTCCCACCGCTCGTTTGAAGTCAATGATCGTAGTCTTTGTCGCGGCCTCGACGGCTGCGTCGCGATCGACTGTGTCCAGAAAGGCCAGCACCTGCTCAATCCGCGCACGCATCGTGGCATAGGTAGGCAGGGGATCCTCCTCGTACTCCTTTCTTGCCGCCTCTTTTTGCTGCAGCGTCAGGGCCTGCGCCTCGGCGACGGCGCAGACGGACCAGATCTGGAAGGAGAGCGGCAGCATGTCCGGGGCGAGGCGGCGATCGGGGAATGAGGCGGCCTCTGGGTGTGCCTCGGCCTTGGTGATGATACCTTGGAGGGCGGTGAGAAGGTGCTTGGCAGCAACGATGGATGCGTCGTAGATGGTGTAGGACATGATGGCGGCGTGTCGATGTCTGAGGTTGAGAAGTGTACCTGCTGGTCAGCGACGCAGGACTGCGAGACGAGGAGGGCGGGGTGCTTTTAAGCTGGGCCACCATTGCAGCCGAATAATACTTCCAACGAACCGGGCCGGTAATAAGGCTGTCAGATTTTCCCCGCGGACGACGACCTTCCGGATCCTGGGTGTGGTGAGATCAAACAGCCCGACTGGCCGATTGCCATTATAGGCTCACCGAATGGAGTCTCCATACGACTTACAACCCATGGATTGGTGCATCGAGCGTATTGTACAAGTCGTACTGGTCTAGTGAGATTGGCCGCTGAGGAAGTAATGCGCTACTTGGAAAACCGCTTGCCGCCATGCTCAAGGTACGTCAATTATGGGACATCTTCAAAATCCAACCGACTTCCACTACATCCGATTTATACGGATCCGTGGCAACCAAAAAGAAAGAAGAAATGGTAGAGAATGAGGCTGTGGTATGTAAGTCGGGGTCCAAATGCCCAACAGAGGATTGCAAATCTTGGAAGAGGAACTTATTCAATTCAGTGTGGGGGGGTGAGAAACCAATATACACAATGGGTGCAAAACTGGTGAGAAATTTGTATCATGATGTTTGCCGGTCGCTGTCTGAGCCCACGACGATTGAAGCAAACGTACGTGGTATGTAATCGTGTGTGTGGTACTCGTTCGCTGTTTGGTCTCGTCTTGTACGAGTGATGACTGGTGGGCGTCATGAAGCGTTCCTCTCCCGTTGCCTTTGCCCGAGGAACAGAGGCATGGTTCTAAGTAGACGGCGTTCTACTCTGGAAGCGAGTTGAGATGGTCCAATAATTGTGGCGCTCCATTTTGCGGAATAGACCGGTAAGTCAGTTCACAATTCGGAGCACACAACCAGTTAGCCTTAAATGTAGTGCGACGGCGCTGGCCGCAAATCCGAAATGTACTGATAACAAATCTCAAAAATCAAGCTACACCTGCTGGAACGTGTTTTTGATGGAGTAGCTGGAGTAGTCAGGGACCCTCTCCAGAACACTACTCCGGTACGCCGGGTAAGCCGGGGGACCACGCCGAGAACGAGGACTGAATCTGACGCAGTGGCGGCTCACAATCCCGAAGTCTGCGGGGTTACGATTCTTGTATCGCCTAGCCGACATCGGGTATTCAGTTTGAATCAAAGCCATTATTTATAAGTGGCTTGACCGTGACGCTATTCCGTTCCTCCAACACACACCACACGCGTTCTCGTCCTTGCCAAAATACCACACCAACCCGCACCCCAATACACAGCACAGATGGAGACGGCTCAACAAAAAATCGAGAGAGCTCGAGCAAGGCGCGAGACTGGCCTGGCCAAACTCGAGCCCAAGCTCGCAGGACTGCCCGCCCAGCTACCCCGCAACAGTCTGGGGCTGCCAAGTACGACTCTCACGGCCCGAGAGATTGAGCTCACCGAGAAGTACGACGTTCTCGAGCTTCTGGCCATTCTGAAATCAAGAGAGGTGTCTGTCGAGGAAGTCACGAGGGCCTTTCTACGTCGTGCCGCAGTTGCGCACGCAGCGGCAAGTCGCCAATTCAATTCCTTGTCCAAGCTGGCGCTGACTAACAAGAAAACAGACAAACTGTCTGGTGGAGTTGATGTGGGATCAGGCCATTGCCAGGGCCAAGCACCTCGATGCGCTACCTGAGCCGCAGGGAGCCTTCTTTGGCCTACCTATTTCCACAAAGGAGCACCATGGCATGGTTGGTGAAAACATCATCACTACGGCCTCTGTCATCGCATGGGTCGACCGCAAGCATGGCTCTAATCTGCTGTACGATGACCTCTGGGAGGAGGGATGTGTCTTTTACGCGCGGACGACTCAGCCACAAACCATTATGCATTTGGAGACTGTCAGCAATCTCTGGGGGAGAACAGACAACCCATACAACCGTGACCTGACCGCAGGCGGAAGCAGTGGAGGCGAATCCGCGCTGATAGCCATGCGTGGTAGTCTACTGGTAAGTGATTTGCAGCTGGAATCAATACATTACCATGTAGTGAGGCAGAATACTAACAGAAACAGGGTATTGGTGGCGACATTGGTGGCAGTATTCGCTGCCCTTCCGCCTTTGTTGGCATCTATGGATTCAAGTAAGAAAGGACCCCCCACTGTGCGCATCCAGTCTGTATAAGCTAATCCAGGCTCGTCAAAGACCCTCGACGAAGCGCATCACAGTCGCAGGCCAGATTGGCCACATGGCAGGGCGAGAGACTATCTTCAGTACGCCTGGGCCCATGACGGTGGACCGCAAGGCGATGGAGCTTCTCATGCGCGTGATTCTCTCCAAGCAGCCATGGCGCAAGGACCCTTCCATTGTCCCCATGCCCTGGACGCCTCACAAATTCAGCAAGCCTCTCAAGATCGCCGTGCAGTGGTGGGACGGTGTTGTCAAGCCCCATCCCCCCATCACCCGCGCTCTCAAGGAGGTGGTCGCCGCCTGCCAAAGGGCGGGTATGCGCGTCGTGGACTGGGACTGCGAGAAGTTGGACCACAAGAAAAGCTGGGAAATAATTTCCGCGTTGTATTGGCCCGATGGCGGACTCGAGACACTGGACTGTCTTGAGAGTGTCGGGGACACTGTGCTTCCACTCACCAAATGGGTCATCCAGGAGCAACCCAGTGTGAAGAACATGACACAGGCGGAGCTTTGGCAAGTAAGTTGAATACTCGGTTGCTGAAGTCGTCACAAGCGGTTGCTTGTTGACTAGCGTGCGCAGTCCATGAGCTGACAATAGCTAGTTATGCTACACCCGCGATGCGTATCGTGTATCCTATGCGCAAGCCTGGAACGCGACCGCCAACGACGACGGCGATGAAGTCGACGTGATTCTTTGCCCTGCTAGCTTCGGTGCGGCCACCCCGCATCAGCAATCCAAGTACTGGGGATACACCTCCCACTGGAATACGCTCGACTACCCGGGTGCTGTTTTCCCCGTCACTACCGTCGACGCCTCCAAGGATGCCAAGGATCTTACATACAAGCCTATCAACGAGCAGGATCAGTTCATTTATGACTTGTATGATCCTGAACTGTTTTCTGGAGCTCCTGTAGGTCTCCAGATTGTTGGGCGAAGGCTCCAAGAAGAAAAGGTCCTTGCTGCGCTGGAGCTGGTTGAGCAGGCCATGGGTCGCCCGTAGTAGAGAACCGTATCATTCTGCAGAAATATAAGATGAAGCGATGTCGCATCCCTCTTCCATGGGTAGCCACGTCCTATTCAACAGCAGTTTTGTCTCTGGCCTTACAATTAAAGCTCAAAAGCAGACAAGCTTGCCCGTCTTGGGGGATCTGTAATACTCGACTTTGAGTTCGGAAGTGAGTTTCTTTTACAAGACGCATACCAAGCCCTAGCTCCTGCCCTGCCGCTCTTTCGTCACCCAGACATGCAGAGGCCAACAGACACACTTCGAGGAGCCGTGCACAGAACAATATCCCGCCAATATGGGACACGAAGCAAGACTCGCCTTGTGCCTCAGCAGACCGATGACTCAAAAACATCGTCTGCGGCTTGCACGTGGCCACCCACCAGGAAGACCTGCAATCATGACACTGGTCGGCTTGGAGGAGCGCGTCGCGGTCCAGTGCAGGAAGAGCGACATGAGGTAGTTAACGCGGGGGTTGACGGCAGGGAGCTTCTGCTTGTACTCGATCGCCATCTCGACTGTGGTCACTGGAGGAACCTGCCCTCATTAGCATAGACACATACACACGCGGCCTCGACCAGCTCCTAAGCAACAGCACCGTTGCCCGCACGGGAGCAAGACGTGCTAGGTTAGGCATAACAAAGGCCGTGTCAACGCCGCCGGCGGGTCAGGGTCGAGCGACTAGGTCCATCATGTCACCCTGACGCAGGTGGACGTGCATGTCCGCGGTAGCGGGCAGCTCGATCCGCTGGATGTTTCGTAGATCCATTCTATCGAGATGGATTATTGATTGCGGCTATTATTAACCCCTACGTTGTCTTCTTCAAAATTAAGGGAAAAAAATGCGGTTGAGGAGAGAGTGATGGCTTCCGTAATGAATCGATCACACGTTATTTAGGCTGCATCACGTGACTCGGTCGATCACCTCGTCCCTCCCAAGTACCTGAACCCGCCCGCAACAAGCGAGGTAGCGTAAACGCAACAGACCAATGCAGCTGCATGGCTTCCATCTGCTGTGGTCCTTTGATAGCATAGCGTAACTTCTATAATGGATGAGACTCGATTAAATACATATTTGTATCCAAGATAAAGACTTATTTCGGTCGCAAAGCCAGTTCGCGGCGCCACCCCCTCCGGCGCCGAAAAGTACCAGGTACGCCGAGGCGCTCCGCGAAGAGGCGCTGCCCGCAACCAAAGTCCCGCTCCGGGGCGCTACAGCACGCAGCCCCAAATCCTCAACCTCAAGCGTAGAATCGCCGATACAAGACGCCAGTCGCAATCCATCAACACCCAACCCGCGCATCGAATTTTGCCTCGAAAATTGGTCACCCATCTTGGTGAACACGCCGCTTTCGACCGATGCCCTCTTGAGCCCTCGCAGCGCCTTGGGTCGAACGCTACGCGAGCGCATTTCGTCGCGCATGGCGCCAGGGGCCTCGCCGTCGCTTCCATCGCCCGGGGCCGAAAATGTCATTTTCTAATGGCCAGCCTGCTTGGCCATCGCCGGCCTTGCATTACTCGAACAGCAGCAGGTCGCTCCAGCATCTTGATGATGCCTCGGCGCGTACTTCGACCCCTGTTGATAACTCCATCGCGCCGGTACCTGAGCTCACGCTAGATACCGAGGAAGAATCCCGTCGCGCTCATTTCGCCGATCTGTATCGAAAAACTGAAAGCAGGGTCGCGCTACTCTTCTCGGAAAACGGTGCATATAATCGTGCTGCGATCGAGTCGTTGCGTCGCCTACCTGTCGCGTCGGCAGTTACCTTGCCGCCCACCACCGACCACGAACCGATAAAAGAACCGCCCATGAAGAAATTGAAGCGGGCAATTGATGAAGATAATTACGACGATGATGACGACGAAGACGATGATAGCGCGCCTGCTGCTATACCCGAAACGCAGGCTACCATAGCCGCCAACCCCTTCATATCACCATCAAAATCTGGTAGCTCGCCGGTTAACTCGCCAGCCAAAACTCTTGATAAGTCGAAATCTCAAGGAATGTCTCTAGGTAAAGATGCTACCGAGGAAAGCGAAATAAAAAATCTCGAAGAAGCGCGAAAAGCGACGGAAGCGGCCGCCCGCCAAAGTTTCCATACAATCATGTACACATTGGAGAATGATCGCACTGCTATGCTCGAACAACAACAATTGGAAGACTCGGAAAAGCAGCTCCAAGCTGAAATGGATCACAATGGCCAGGGAGGAGGCAGCGGACACCAGAACGCCAACCAAGGGACACTCAGTAGTGCCAATCTAGGCGCCTCTAGCCTGACGCTGAAGCATCTCATTGCGCGAATCGACATGAAGAGGGATCAGGTCCAGGCCACGGATGCGGAACTGCGAATTCTTATGAATGAAGTGCGCAAGAATCGAAGCAAGTGGGCAAGCGAAGAAAACGTCAACCAGGAGGACCTATACGAAGCCCTGGAAAAAGTCTTGACAGAGCTGAAGGCACACACGGAATACTCCACGCCATTCCTTACCCGCGTCAACAAACGAGATGCGCCAGATTATTATACTAGTAAGCGACAACTCTTCTGCAGGTCAACTTATAACGGTGGTATCTAACACCAAACAGTGATAAAGAATCCAATGGATCTCGGGACGATGACGAAAAAGTTGAAGTCATTAACGTTCAAGTCGAAGAACGATTTTGTCGCTGATCTCAACTTAATATGGGACAATTGCTTAAAATATAATCACGACATGAATCACCCGCTCCGCCGCATGGCTAATGGTATGCGTAAAGAGGCGGAGAAACTAATACCTCTGATCCCGAATCTCGCCATCCGGTCACGAGCCGACGTTGAAGCTGAAGAAAGACGAAAGCAAAATGGCGGAGAGGATGACGGAGGCGAGGACTCGGACGACGAGCCTATCATGTCATCCCGAGGAGGGCGCAAAGCCGGCACCAAGGGCACTGGCAACAAATCCCGGACTGCACCATCTGATGAGCCGAAAGAAGATACACCAGTTGTTGATCAGAAGCCTATAATCCAGTTAAATGGTCTTCTTGGGAAACATGGGCGTGAAGATTCCGAGTTCGACGGAAGCAATGGCTTTTCAACGCCACCCATTGGGCATCTGACGCCGAATGGCGCGAATGGGCACTCCGGTATGGGTAGCAATGCCGATGCCATGGAGATTGACGGGCCGAGCTTGAATGGGATGACGCTCAACCAGACATTTGGTGAAGTAAACGAACAAGTTTATGAGGATGAGGAATATAAGATCTGGAAGCAAGCGACAAAGAAGCATCGAGCCTTGGCCGCCAAAGAACGCTTTCAAATATTCAAAGAGAACAGGTTGAATGCCGATGCGCCAGCTCTACTTCGAAGCAAGGCCGGTATGCGTCGATTTTTGAAGCATCAGAAAGAGGCGGAAGCACTTGGCTTTGGGCAAGATTATTCAGATGCGTCAGCGGTGGCAGCAAAGGAAGCCGGCGCAAAGGCTTCGGAAACACTCGCCGAAGGAATTGATGAGGAAACGGACAAAATCATGCCCGACTACTACGACTCACTATCGAACCTTCCCGATGTTCCTGTAAAGCTGCAATGGATTGAGGATGGGGAAGGGCATGTCATCAATCAGCACGAGGACTTCTTGCGTCTAGTGCCGCCCGGCTTATTTACTGCACCTCACAGCCGATTCACAAAGAGGATGGACGATAACATTCGTCAAATACAAGAGACTCGGAAGCTTGCAACCAAGATTTCTGTCATCAAGCAGATGCAGGTTCAGTCGCAAGTGTATACGAATCAGTTCCCCAAGTCGAATAACGAGCCATTTATAGAGCAGGATATCGAACCGCACTTCATCTCCGACGACGGTCCAGTCATGGCTGCAGACGCTTGCCAAAACGCGCTGAAGCGGTCTGTTGGCAAAATTCTATACAACTGCGGATTCGAAGAATTCCAGCCTTCAGCAGTGGATGCTCTCACAGGTATCGCTGCAGATTATTTTCAAAAGCTTATCAGGACCTTGAATACCTATCGTGAGGCGGAGAAGAAGACTGTCAAGACGAGTGGGGGGATGGCAGTACAGCCACGATTCACAGCGGAAGAAGTTATTCTGCACACGCTCGACGAGAACGGCCATGATATCGCTTCGCTCGAACTATACGCCAAGGATGACGTTGAAAGGCTCAGCACAAGACTTGGCACATTGCATGAGCGAATGAAGATGCATCTGACAGACCTGCTTCGCCCAGCATTATCTGCCGACGCGGGCAATGATGGAGTGGGTGCTTTCAGGGATGGCAGCGACCAGTTCACGAGCGGCGACTTTGCCGACGAGCTCGGTGAGGACTTTTTCGGCTTCAAGGCTCTCGGGCTGGACAAGGAGATGGGTCTGGACTCGTTCTCCGTGCCATTTCACCTACTGCAGAGCCGTGTCCGCAGTCAGTACCAGATGCAGACGCAAAACGCGGGCTCGACCAGCCTCGACATGTTTGAGACGCTGCCGCCGTCGGAGCCTATCACGGCGGAATCGATACAGCAGCACGTGGGCCTCGTGCGCAACTTCTTCCTGGCCAAGCTGCACGCCAGCGGCGACCAGGCGCTCGTCGAAGACGAGGACCTGCCCACGAAGCAGCGCAAGCCGCGGCCCCGCCTCGGCGCCAGCGGCAAGATCATGTCGGCCCAGAAGCGCCCGCCGCGCGAGCAAATCGCCCTGGCGAAGAAGAAGAAGAAACTCGAGGCCCAGGCGGCCGAGGCCCGACTCAATGCGGAAAAGGCCGGCGGCCCCGGCAGCGGCGGCAGCATCGCCACCACCGCCCTGTCCAAGAAGAAGCCGAGCATCTCCACGGCAAACGGTACTGGGGCCGTGGGGCCGCCGCCGCCGCCGCCGCCGCCTAACCCGGCCGTCATGGCGCTGGCGCCCGCCATGGAACGAAACGACAGCTTGCAGAGCGCGACGGACAAGGACGACACGACGGGGATGATGAGCCCAGAGAGCATTGCGCAGTAGACTGGGGAGGGGGGAGAGAGCTCAGTATCAAGACGTCATGTACATTATACGTTGGGAAGGCCTCTATGTTTTTTGTTTCCCCTTTGGTTGCGCTGGTTCTTATTTTTGCCCATTCATTGCTTGTTAGGTGTTGCCCGTCTGATATGGCTACGGAACCGCGTCTTGGTTTATCCACAACACATACCCATTGTTACAAGTTACTAGATATTTTACCGTCTTTTTTTTTTCTCGTTTTTCTGATACGGCCTGGTTCTGCCTTTGCCGTGACTTTTTTTTCTTCTTTGTTTTCAGGAGGCTGGGGCGGGCGATTTTTTGTGTTTTATTCCAGCACCACTCTTCCATGATGAGGGTCGTGTTTTTGTATCGTTTTTTGTTGTTGTTTTTTTACGGCCCGCTTCGTTCGTCATGACGAAGCCCAGCGGCGTTGGCGTTTTGGACGCGAAATGCGAAATGCAAAATACAAAAATCTGGGAGGGCGGGATATGGGTTTCAAAGAGAGCAAAGACGCAAGACACTCGGGTCAGGGGCCAGGAGAATTTCGAGCTGGTCATGTATTACTGCATTCTTACTTGTGTTGAGCCTTTTCTTGGTTTCCTCATTCTATGACATTCGCAGACGTTTTTCTTGCTGTACCCATCACGCGACATAGTTGGACAGCATTTGGATGTTTTATTTGGATTTAGCAGTATACAGAGTAGGATCCAACGAATTGCAAATTACTGATTTCCGGAGTGAAGATGCCAGTTCATATCGATGTTGAAGTTGGGTATATTTTATTGTAGCTCGCGGGTGACGTTGAGCACCAAGCCACGGCCTCCACCGAGAGGCCAAAAAACAAAGTACAAAAAGTTAATTAAACAAAATTCAAGTACGCCGAATCCATTATCGGAATGCATGTTGTTGAACATTCGTCCCTTCCGAATCTCGTTTTCCATGTTAAATGCGTTTTCCCATGCTCATCATTTGCTCCAAGAGAGCACTTCCCTTCCTTCAAGCCAGTGCGATATGCAAAAAGCGCAGCTGTAGCAAGTATCAGACTCGGCTGCAGCAGAACACTTTGATTAGAATATGTACACTATATAGTATAGCTTGACCCGGGTTTTTTTTGGCTATTTAGGCAGCTGGTTTAGATACCAGCCTCGAGGCGCCAACCTTCAACGGGCAGAGGGAATGTGCAGCACCACTCGGCAATCTCCTTGCGAAGCTCATTAATGCGAGCAACCTCACCGCTCGTGACCTTGGCCTTGAAGTCCTTGAGCTTGTTGGCCTCCTTGGGGAGAGCTGCCTGGGTCTCCTTGCAGATCTTGATGGCCTCATCAATGTACTTGGCGACACGCTCAAACTCCTTCTCGCCGAAACCACGCGAGGTCATGGCAGGGGTGCCGATGCGGATACCGAAGGGGGTGAGGGCGCTCTTGTCGCCGGGGATGGCGTTCTTGTTGCAGGCAATGTTGATCAGCTCGAGGACCGTCTCGAGACGGGCGCCATCGAGCTTGTGCTCGCGGAGGTCGACAAGGATCATGTGGCTATCGGTGCCGTCAGCGACGAGCTTGTGGCCGAGAGCCTTGAAGGTGGTCTCAAGGGTCTTGGCGTTGGTGACAACCTTCTCCTGGTAGGCTTTGAAGTCGGGGCTCTGGGCCTGCTTCAGGGCGACGGACAGGGCGGTGATGGTGTGGTTGTGAGGGCCACCCTGGTGGCCGGGGAAGACGGAAAAGTTGATGGCGTCCTCGAGCTCGTAGAGGGTCTCCTTGCCGGTCTTGGGGTTGACAGAGCGAACACCCTTGCGGAAGAAGATCATGGCACCGCGGGGACCACGGAGAGACTTGTGGGTGGTGGTGGTGACAATGTCGGCGTACTTGAAGGGTGTGGGGATGACTTCGGCGGCGATGAGACCGGAGATGTGAGCCATGTCGACCATGAGGTAGGCACCAACCGAGTCGGCAATCTGGCGCATGCGCTCATAGTCGATGAGACGGCAGTAAGCAGAAGTACCGGCGACGAGGACCTTGGGGCGGTAGAGGATGGCATTCTTCTGGAGGGTGTCGTAGTCGATGATGCCAGTCTCCTCGTCAACGCGGTAGGGCATGGTCTCGAAGTAGGTAGAGACGGCAGAGATCCTGAAAGTAGGGGTGGTTAGGGGCTAACCTCGACGTGGGGTGGTGGGACTGGTCAACATACTTGCGCTGAGGGGTCTGGTAACCGTGGGACAAGTGACCACCGTGGGGGAGGTCAAGGCCCATGAGGCGGCCGCCAGGAGCCATGACGGCCTGGTAGACCTGGAGGTTGGCAGGAGAGCCACTGAGGCACTGAACATTGACGCCCCACTTGTCGCTGTCGAGGTGGAAGGCCTCGAGGGCACGCTTCTGGCAAAGAAGCTCGATTCTGTCGATGTGCTGGTTGCCACCATAGTAACGGGCACCGGGGAGACCCTCGGAGTACTTGTTGCTCATGGGAGAGCCGAGAGCATCGAATACGGCACGAGAAGTAATGTTCTCGGAGGCGATCAGGACAATGGACTCGCGCTGGCGCTGGACCTCATCTTTCTGCAGAGAAGGAGGGGTATTAGCGGGGTTACAGAGAGGGGAAGAGGCGAATGAAAGGAGGTAAGCATACCATGATACCGGCGACCTCGGGATCAGACTCGAGAAGAGACTTCTCAAGCATCTGTAAAAAAATCATCAGCAAGCTGTCAATCATGGTGGGTGGCGACGATACTGACGTCTCGGTGGGAGGCGGGGAGAGCGTAGTCGGGGGTGAGGGCAGCCATGGTAGCGATGGTATGTCTGATTGCGGGAGATTGAAAACGCAATGGGGTGGTTTGAGGGGAGGGAGGAAGAATGTCGTCAATGAGCAGGAGGAAAACAACCACGAGACAGAAGAAGAAATCTGGGGGCACGCGGTGAGGGCTTTATTAGCAAACGCTTGCCTTCGTCTTTGGACCAGAAAAATTTCATTCTGGGGACCAGGTCAAGGCGGGGCAGCTTTGGCAGGCACGGCAGAGCCGATAAAATAGGGCTTCCTGCGTACTATTAGCACTATTAGCACTATTAGCGCCCGCGTGCCGGCTCCAGTAGCCCGGTGTGCGGGCGACGTCGGATGCAGTTAGCATCAGCGGGTGCTGAGCTGATTCATGTTGCAGCAGCAGGTCGTGATTTCATAAGAGTAAAGAATAAAGCAACATGGCCTGTTTATCTCTATTTTTCCAATACATGGCGCACGATGACGGCGCAGGCAACAGTACCGAAGTACCTGGCTGGCCAACTGGGTTGCTCCCTCAAGGTTCCAACAAACACCAAGTCCTTTCCTTTCGCCCAGCGGCCACCGATACCGGTCACCTGACCGGCAACACCTCGCCATGCCTTCATCCAGTGGGAGGTTCGTGCAATTCAATGGAGATACTTCCCCTGACGTCGAATCGATGGCATGAGCAGATCTCGGCTTGAGAAGCTGGTGATCCGGGGCCACTTGGAAACACCCGCCCACGTGCGCGGAACATCTTGTCATGCTCAATATACGAATCAACAAAAACTCCAACGCAGCAAATTCGAATCGCGCGCGCCAAGTCCTCTGCAAGATCCTTCGTTCATCACCTCCAACTTCGCGCCAGAAGCGTCAGTCGTATGTCACAGATTTGAGCCAATGTGTACCCTGTAGCGATGATGACAGCAGCCAACCATGTTTCTGCAACGTCTTTCCGGCTAGCAGACGCATAAACAGCCGCTGTCGTTGAGCCAGATGGCCGACTTCTATGCCTAGTAAGAGTATGTAAAACCCAATATTGACCTCGAGCCGAAAATAAGATGCAGTTAAAGCATCACCGAAATATATCAGTCCCCAAAAAGGTTCGACACGAGTATGTACAACCCTGCAGCCCCCACTGCTCCGCTGTGCAGCGAGCCATTTAGCGGGCGCGTATTGACCAGCGCCGCGCAATCTATCGGCATCCTCGACAACGCTCCTTTCTATCGAATGCGTCGACCATCAGCCCATGCCCAGCGACCATGGGATGGCCATATGAGTTTGTCAGCCTGACGCCCGAGCAGAAGCACGCACGGCGCGAGGTGCTCGATCGGTATGGCTTCCTCGCGCACTGCTCGGCGCTGGCCCCGGTCCTCGTCTTTGGCCTCGTCCACCTCGCCCGGCTGGCGTACGCCTACGCCACGGGCACGCTGCGCGGCGTCGACGGCCAGGGCACTTACGCCGAGATCCCCAACTCGCCAGCCATCAAGGCCAGGGAGACGACGGCGACCAGGAAGCTGCACACGACGTGGGCCAAACTCTGGTGGTGGATGGGCGATGAGGTTCGCGTCGCGGGCACCAGCTGGGGCCGCAGAGAGGAATGGGTTCTAGGGCTGTCTTGGACAGCGTGGTTGCTGCTTCTCTGCACTCTAGAGACCGGAAAAGGTGCATACTGACCCCGTCATTTGTTCAACGCCAGCGACCAGCTAGCTGACTTGCGCGGCAGACTACTTTCACGTTACGAAGCGCTTTGGCATCGTTGCCGTATCGCAGCTGCCCATTCAATACCTCTTATCCCTCAAGGCTATGAATCCATTTGCATGGGCCTTAACATCATCGCATGAAGAAGTCAACAAGTACCACCGCATCCTCGGCCGCATCAGCTACGGCCTCGTCCTCGTCCACCTCATTCTATACAATGTATACTACATCATAGCCGGGAAGTGGGTGGCCCGATTCTTCGCGCCCGTCATCTTTTGCGGAGTATTGGCCTCGCTGCTATTCCACGCTATTGCCATTACGTCCATGAGAAGGATTCGCGAGGTTGCCTACCGTCTCTTCTTCATTACCCACCTGGTCGGCGCCTTCTTTGCGCCGACGCTGCTCATCTTCCACGCCAAGTCTGCGCGGTGGTACGCCATTGAATGCTGCATCATCTTCCTGTTCGACCTCGCGGTGCGAAAACGCTACTCAACCGTGGCGCTGGCCACAATCGAGGCCATCCCCGGCACTACCCTCGTAAAGGTCACCGCGCCACTTCCACCCGGACACCTGGATGCCTTTCGCGGCGCCCCGGGATCCCACGTCTATGTGAGCCTGCCCACAGAAGGCCGCAAGGACTCAGTCCCCTCCTCACAGTCCGCGCTCTTTGACTACTCGTACAACCCATACTCGGTCGCCTCTCTTGTCGAAGACGCTGATGCCATTGGCTTCGTGGTGCGCAAACGGCGCGGCGCCATGAGCCGCGTGCTCGCAGATTACGCCGCGGCCACACCCCTCGCCGACACCCCCGACAACGCCAAGGTGCGCCTCTGCATCGAAGGGCCCTACGGCGCGATGGCGCACAGGTACCGCGCCCTTCTCACCAGCGGCGCCAGCCGCGTACTCTTCATCGCCGGCGGTGTCGGTGCGACCTTTATCCTGCCCATCTACCAGGCCGTGCAGGCCGATCTGCCGCTCGCGCGGCTGCAGATGGTCTGGGCCATCCGCACCGCCGGCGACGCGACGTGGGCCGTACCTCCCAGCGCCGTCGGCGGCAAGACGGTGCTGAGCGACGAGCGCATCCAGCTCTTCCTGACGGGCGACGTAGCCGCAGTGGCGGCCGCCGAAGGAGACAGCCACGGCGAAGGCGGCTCCGCGGTGGAAATGCGCCCGCTGCCACCCTCGCGTCGCGCGCTGGGCGGTCGCGCACGCATGCACAAGGCGCAGCAGAACAGGCGGCGGCCCGACTTTACAAATATTGTCGACGAGGCGTTTAGGCTCAGCGCGCAGGGCGTCGTCGCCGTCGTGGTCTGCGGGCCCAAGGAGATGGCGGACGAGGTCCGACGCTGCGTGCGCCCGTGGGTGATGAAGGGCCGCAAAGTTTGGTATCACAACGAGAGCTTCGGATGGTAGAACCGACGCGACCAAGAGCAATGTAACAGTGAGGAAATCGTATATATGTATATCATGCTGGAGAGAACCGCAAGTTTCAGATGTTGCCCCATCATCTCCCAAATCCCGTAAGCCATCATAAAGTGTCTTGTGGATAAAAAGGCAAGTAGTCGTGATATTATCTGACAACTAGACGGGTAGAGTTTCGATTATTCTGACCCTAATAGTAATAAAAATGCCCTTCTCAAATCGCTACCACGCTTTCTTTCCGTCTATGCTAAATCACATTCAGCGCCAAGTATAATCTGCAAGAAAGACAAAAGCAAAACACACGCCTCAAGATATCTTCAGCAAGCAAGTTGATGTTAAAAGTAGAGAGCATAAAAACGCCACGCATGTTAGTCGTATAAGAGTAAAAGCAGAGACAATGACTACGACATGATGATCGACGATCTTCTGGGGTCCATTTTCTACTGTCGGTATCGAGAGAGATTGGCCATGATATTCTGCACAGCGGCCGAGTCGCCGTTGGCTGTGCCGCTAGGTCTGGAAGGTCCGTGATGGGGGGGAACCTGGCCGCCACCACCGTAAGCGCCACCAAAGTGGGCAGCAGCTGGTGCAGCAGGAGGCGTGTGTGCGACGGGACCGCTGAGAGCACTGAGGAGGGCGTTGATGTCGACAGACGGATTGCCTACCGGAGGTGTGGCCGCCGCTGGCATGGCGTTTGGTACAGGCCCGGCCATGGCAGTGAGCACGCGTTGCAGGGTGCCGTTGTCGACGTGGCCCACGAGCCTGGCGATGTCGCCTATGTTTGTAATAGCAGGAGCGGCAGGAGCGGCAGGAGCAGCCGAGACATACGCAACGGGAGGTGGCGCAGCGCCGCCGTAGCCTCCGCGTTGAGGATGTTGTTGGGCGGGAGGCTGGTACTGGTAGCCGGCGTACGACTGCTGAGTGTATGCAGCGGCAGCGGCGGCGGTAGCGGCGGCAGCGTTCTTGGCACGGATGACAATATCACCCGCCATCGATGGCAATAGATCCACGTACTGGTCGAAGCGAACATTGTTTGAGCCGCCAGAACGGTCAAACACCTGCACAGGGATCATGCCGGAGTCCTGGGCGCGCATATCGAGCTCTACCACGGCGTGGACGCCCTCGGCTGCTTGGCGCTGAATGACTTGGTCCTTAGGAAACTGGGAATGCAAGATCATGACCTCTGTTCGCAGTCCCTTGGTGTTAAATATGTGCTCGACCCATTTGGTGAACTCGCGGTTGACTTCTTGCGGGGTGATGATTTGGACGTCGGGGACTTCGGCACCATATCTTCTAGGTAGGTCGATTTGCTTGTCTTGATATCGTGAGCGCCCGCCATAAGGACTGTTGCTCCGCTTCCGGTACCGGCTCTTGTCGGATCTACCGTAGCCAGGAGATCTGGAGCGATCGCGCCCGCGGCCAGAGTCGTGGAATTTATCACGACCGCTGTAGGAAGAGTCGCGTCCATGGTGTCCTTGTCGACGGGGCGAGTGATGGCGACCACCACGACGCTCATCCCTGTCGTAGTACTTGTCGCCTTTTCGTGCACCGTCACGGCCACGGCTGCCTCTCTCTGGGCTCTTGTTTCGCTCCTTTTTAGACTTATCTTGGAGTTTTGACACCTCGAGATCTAACTTGGGGTCAGCGGATATGAAACAGCGGCATTGATGGCAGCACTTACGAATACGTCGGCCCTTGATCTCGATACCTTCGAGGCTTTGAACTGCACGGCTGCCTTCTTCAACAGTATGGTATTGGACGAAGCCGTATGCAGATTTCAGAGAGATTTGGGCCAATCTGCCGTATTTGTGGAATATTTCAAAGACGTCTTTCTTTGAGACCTTGTCGCTGGACAGGTTTCCTGGCACGTGTTAGTAGCCAATCTATCAGATGGTCGTCATGATTATCGAGGCATACCAATAAAGAGGCGTGAGCCTTCAGGGAAGCGGTCCCACTTGGCTTCAGACATGTATAGTCTCTCATCCACCATGAATTGATCCCATAAGCGCTGATATTCGTCGGGGGCTTGGTCGGCTGGTGCAGTGGTGGCACGTGCGACACTTGGCGCAGATGTGCCATGAACGGGTTGGGGTGGCAGCGGGACGGTGCTACCAGCTTCCCTCGTCGGTCCAGCCGCGATTTGAGAGGCTTGTACTGATCCTGTCACAGAGGTCTGGCTATACGAATGGGCTGCTGGTTGTGGAAGAGGCGGGCGAGGCGGAAGTGATGATGTAGAGGCTAGGGTTGTTGGGTTGGCATCGCTGCTGGCCGTGGCCTGCAGGTTGTCGGTTTGGGTGGTGGCCGGGTTGGCAAAACCATGCGAATCATCGGCATGTGGATTCAAGTTGGAGATGGGCTCGTATTGCGAGAACAGCTGTTGGTCTGGATGGGCATCCGCTGGAGGAGCATCGGTAGTTTTGGCAGCTTCAAGGGGTGGTGGGACAGGGGCATCATGGCCTGCGTGTGGCTGGGCGGCAGGTTGGGAGGCTGGAGCATCGGGCGTACTTGGTGAAGAATTGCTGTTAGAAGCGGAAACTGAGGAGCTTGCTGCGTTATTGCGCGCTTGAATGGGCTGGGCTTGGCAGAGTGTCGAGTCTAGCGCAGCTGATACGTCTACGGAGGCATCCTCCTCCTCCTCCTCTTGGTCTGAGCCGACGGGAGAGTCAAACATCCTGGCATAGTCGTCGTTTGGGTCTTGATCCCCGGCATCTGTTGAGGATAGTAGTTGGAGCTTGGAGTCCTCGGCATAGGCTGCGTCAAAGCTGTCGTCGTCGTCTACAAAGCCGTCCTTCGCGGCTTCGATGGTGGGGTTGGCCTCGACGGCCGCATTTGGCGCGTCTGCGACTGCGGCAACCATGGCCTCGATGGTATCGACGGTGTCTTGCAGCGCGGGAACGACAACAGGCGCAATGGTATGTACGGGATAAGGGGAGACAGGTGAAAGACTGGCCGCTGTTGCGTGGAATTCAGGTTCTTGTTGGCTTGTCATGTGTGGCTCCGCTGCGTAGCAGTTCAAAACACGGTGGTGGAGTTATGTGGGAGGGCGTAGGTTGAAGCGATGCTTGAGACTATTCCATGCAGTCGAATAATCACCAAGAGTGACCGCTAGGCGGGAAATGGCGGCCAGGGTCAAGATGAAGGAGAGGGAAGAGAGCTGGGTGAAATCTTGTTGGGTTAACGTTGTGTTGGCGCAGGCTGGCAACCAGTGCAATCAGTGGCGGGCTGTTGAGTGGTTTCGTCAGCCAGAGAGCACTGAGCTCCTTGGGTATACTTCCAGCACGAAGGAGACGAGAAAAATGGATGGTGGCGGGGGATTTGGAGATGGGAGCTGTTGAAGAGCAGAGGTCTAAGGAGAGAAAAATTCGGTTGGGTGAGAAGAAAGACGGGACGAATGTGTGAAGATTAAAGATGGTGGCTGAGAGCCTGAAGCTGTGAACATGAAAAAATTCAGGCCCCAAAGCCGTCTGCGCTAGGCGATTTTGGGCGCTGCAGCCGGCCGCTAGGGGCGGTCTGGAGGGGTATCTGGGTAGGTAGTACTACCTAGGGGCGCAGGGTAGGCAGCCATTTCTGATTGTAATTACTATATATTTTTGGGCTGGCGCTATTTTAGATTTTTTAATATATAATTGTACGGGCTAACATCTTTATACGAAGCCTAAAAATAATATATGTCAAGGCAGCAGGTCGTTCTAGGTAGGTAGGCATCGCAGAAAACACGCTCGCGTAGGTACCTGCCTACCTAGGTCCACAGGTACTTCAGTATGCAGCCACGGTGCCTGCAGGTAATTCCGATCAGCAATATGAGGCAGTTGGGTGGTGATTTGCTTGGGAGTACTGGACGTGCGAAGAGAATACTTGCATACCTACGAGCGCGAGCGCGAGGCTTTTTTTAACAGGGCACTGGACAAATCCCCTAGTTATTTGACATTATTTTCCCCTGTCACGACACTGTCAGGCTGGGAAGTACGTGTTAAATCTTTAGTCTTTTTGTAAGCCGTGTTAGCCACCTGACAGCGTCGCTGTAGGGGAAAAGTACCTATGGAAACGTGTCCAGTGGGCTATCAAAAAACAACCCTCCCGCGCGGAGGTAGGTCCTAGTTGGTAATACTATCTACCTGTGGAGGCAAATTCTAGAGCATGCCATCAGGCACCTAGTTGTTCCAGAGGAGTATGAATGATTGTATGATTATGGGTTCATGTCAACCCAAATTTGACTCTTGAGTCCTACCTACGGTAGGTACTTAGGGTTGTATTAACCTATTAACCTACCTGTTTGTTGTCCAGGCGTCCTGGGCACAACCTGATAGCATGAATCCACCAACAGGACGAGTCTCACTACAACCGCTGTGGGGCATCGCTGTAACCAACCATCAACAGGCCATGTCGGCTATCGGAGGACCACCATGACACCATCCTGTTCTCTCCGTCATCATACTTTTGCGGCGGCCAACCTCCGGTGCTATCCGAAAACTAATACTAGGCAATCTCCTCAGCTCATCACCATACATTGCGCCGGCCCTATCAGTTGGGCTAGAGCCGTCTTTTCATGGCCACCTGCATACGATTCGTGCTGTTTCTTTCGCCTTGTTGCCTTCGGAAATGCGCCCAATTCCAATCGTGCCTCGCGTCGCCAGTGGCGCTCTTTTTCCAGCGTCGATGACGTTGGCATCATCCACAGTAGGATCTCGGATAGGATCTATAAGGTACAAACGTTACAGTGCCTTTGATGCGGACCTCGACAAAGATGCCCTCGCCGTGGCCCGGAGATGGCACGCGGCCTTTGACCCATCTCAGCTACCAAGCGGCACCACAACCTATGCTCGATCCAGCGGCCCAGGCGGCCAGCATGTCAACAAGTGTGTCTCAACCTTGTAGAGCTGTTGCCCAATACAATATTAACAGACTAAGAACCGAGACAAAAGCCATATCTGTGTTCCCTGTCAAGGATATCCTGGCTGTCATCCCACCCATCCTTCACCCTACCGTTCGCATGTCACCATACTACACGGCTGGCAGCGATGCTCTCACATTTCAGGCCCAGAGCCATAGATCTAGGACAGCAAACGCCGACGAAAACCGCAAGAAACTGGCTTCCGTCATTACGCAGCTATACGACGAAAAGGTGCCTGCGGAGACGGGTAGTGACAAGCATGCCAAATATAAGGAAGTGTATGTTTGCTTGGATAAGTTGTACCTCAATCCATACTGATCGAATCAGGGTTAAACGATTCCATGACTCCAGGCTCAGGGACAAAAAGTTGCAGAGCTCCAGAAAGCAATCTCGGCGTGGAGGTGACATGTAGGCTTACCTTTCAACCGCGATACCCAGCCCGATGTTGGCACGCCTACATGAAGTCGATTCATGGCTGTCAAGACTTGGATATTCGCAAAAGAGACAACCTAGCTCTCAAAAATGTACCCTTTCAATCTCGTAAAAATACGGAGCAAATAGGCACATACGAGGGGCGCATTCAGACTGCAGCCGGCGGCTAAGCCAGAACCTTACGTTCCACACCCTTAAGTGTTGATAGACGCGTCGATTCAGTTCGCCCTGGTAGCCTCGTGTGTTTCAATTCTGGGGCTTGCACGATGATGGGCGGTGATACCACCCGAAACGCTTTGAATTACCGTCCTTTGTCCTTCAGCACCCCGCAACGCTGACCAACCCGCCCGCCGCCCGCGCGGCTCTCCCCCACCCCACCGTCGAAACAATGTATATATATATATATATATATATTACTATTTTACGTCATACCATCCCTAAGAAGGGCAAATAACGCCTATAGGGACCTTATAAAAATAAACTAAAATATAGAATAAATAAAAGATTATAGGCCTATCTAATAGGTCTTATAAGGCTTTCACTAGTTAATTAGGGGGTTAGTAAAAGGCCGCTTAGGGGCTAATAATATATCTAGAGGTAGGAGAGATTAAGAAGGAGTATAATAAGGCTATCTTAGGTATATCTTACTAAAAAATAAGTTATCCTTAGTAAGCTTTATATACTCTAGCTAACTAGTATTAATAGTCTTATTAATATAGCTATATTAACTAAACTATAAAGGTATTATCTCTCTTTATATCTTCTTATAGTAAAAGATATACCTTAAGGTCTTTCTCTTACTATAACTATATATAAGTATAGTATTAATATAGTAGAAGTATTTATAATAAAGAGTAAAATCTCTATAGCCTATCTAGGCTATAAAGAGGTAATAGAGTTTAGGGTAGGTTAACGCCTTTAGCTTTAGGTTTAAGGTATCCTTTATTAGAAGGTTAAGTAGATAGTACTTATTAGGTTAATTAGCTTACTACTAGGTATTAAGCTATCTAGTAGCTATATTAGTAAGGGTCTTCTTTATATAATTATATATTAGGATATAATTATTTATTAAAGGTTTTATAGCTAAACCTTCTTTAGCTAGGTAGTTAATAATCTTATTACTTAGTATCCTATAGTACCCTAGTACCTATTATACCTATACTAAGGTATTAGCTGTTACGCTAGCAGGCGTTATAGCGGATGTAGTTGGCTAAGTGTAGCGGATGTTTAGTAAGATATACTATATATAGAGGCGTATAGCGGATAGATTTATACTATATATAGTTATATATAGTAGCTAGTTATACTATATAGTGTATATATATAGTAGTTATACTATATAATAATATATAAAGAAGTCTTAATACCTATAGCCTTAATATAGGGTACTATAAAGGCTATTATAATAAGTAACTAAGCTAATAAAGCTAGACTACTATAGAGGTACTATTACTTCCTATAGGTAAGTAAAGTAACTACCTATAAGTTATTAATTACTAATATATATAACTACTAATTATCCCTTTATTCCTATAATTTCCTAATAGTACTTAAAGTATTACTTATTTATATATTTAACTATAGCCTCTCCTTTCTATAGTTTATTTTATTAATTAATTAAGAATTATTATTATATAACTATTCTTATAAAATACCTTTATAAGTACTCTATACTTATAATCTTATAATTATTACCTATTTAGAATAGTAATCTTAATATTAATTAGTAATTACCTTTACCTTAATTATAAATTTCTAATAAAATACCTATCCTCCTTATACCTTTATAGCCTTATAACCTTCTAGAACTATCTATTCTATTAATTATAATATCTAGTATAACTACTAAAAAGCCTAGTATACTACCTAATATACCTAATAACTTAATTAATAAAAAACCTCTAATTAAGTCTTTAATATAATTTTATATAACTACCTTTAAGATCTTAAGCTACCTATTAGCTATAATCCCTAATAAGGTGCCTAAAAGCCTTACCTATCTTACCTATCTTCTCCTAGTTAATTAGAAATTATTTTAGCTATACTTTCTTACTTAAAATATTAAAAAAGCTATTAACTTTAATTAATAAACTACTATAGTAATTATTTTCTATACCTTTATATATAATATTTATTATAAATAATTTAATAGCTATTTTTAAGAGTACCTTTATAAGGATTTTACTTACTAGACTAAAGTTAACTAGAAAATAGTTAATAAAGAGGTTCTTTATAAGTTTAAAGACTATTTTAATAATACTAAAGTTACTTTATATATTAGTAAAGGATAGTAAATTACTAAGACTATTTAAAAGACTATCTCTAGTAAATATATTAGCTATAAAAGTAATTACCTTTTTCTTTCTTTAGAAAAAGGACCTTTCTTAATATAGCCTAACTAGCTTTTAATAAAACTATTTACTATTAAATTAAAATTTATAAAGAAGTTATTATTTAGTTCCCTCCTAGCTAATAAATCCCTAAAGCTAGCTAATAATAAAGGGAAAGATACTTATAGCCTTTTTTATCTAAATAATAATAACTTACTCTAAATAACCTAGGTATTAATACCTTAGTATATACTATTACTAGAACTACCTTAAGAAATACTAAAGGAAAATCTATATAGTATAGAAAATACCCTACTTAAACCTATAAGGACTTACTAGGACCCTTATATAACTAGACTTCTTTTAATACTTAATACCCCTTAAGTATCTAACTTACTTATAGTAATTAATACCCCTTAAGTACTTAGCACCCCTATACTACCTAATACCTTATAGAACTCTAGCTATAATAAGTATACTTAGCCCTTTATACTATAACTATACTAAAAGAACTCTACCTACTAGTATTATAAAAGGTAAGCTACTTAATAACCCCTTAAATATAAAGTATTACCTTTACCCTTATTAAGATTACCTATACCCTTACTATAGCTATTATAAGGATTACTATAGCTATTATATTAATAAGAAGTACTATTATTACCCTTAGGACTATTACTACTACCTTTATTACTATTATACTATTTTAATAATAAAGTATATAAATAGCCTAAAAATAAACCCTTTAGGCTACCTATAATAGACCTAAATATATTAAAATAGATTAATAGTATTATTAAAAGGTATTAAAAAGCTAATAAATATAGTAAAAAAAGGTATAACTTTTTTTATACCTAGATATATAATTTTATTAACTACTATAATTAAGCCTAGCTTTTAGAAAAGGCTTTACTATATATATTCCTATTAATACTTACTAGAAGAGTTTTAAAATACTATATCTAGGTAATTATAAACTACTAAATAACTTATAGTAAGATAATTAAGGTAGTTTATAACTAATTTAAACCCCTATTAACCTAAGATCTTTATATAGATAAATAGAGGTACCTTTTACTAGATAAGCTAATAAAGAAATACCTTATAAAGTCTACTATTAACTACCTTAAGTTACTAATTAATAAAATCTAGGTTCTATATTAAGAACTATTTTCTATATTAGAAGGTATAACTATACTTATTAAGACTTAAAATATACTAAAAAGTATTATATATAATAATAAAGCTTATACTATAGCCTTTATATAGCCTTTAGAATACTATAAAGACTTAATTTTAGTATTTTAATAATTAATCTATATATATAAGTAAACCTATTTAAAATACTAAAACTTCTATATTAATAAGTAGTTCTATAGTACTTAAATCCTTCTAAAGAAATAACCTAGTAACTTAAATAATACCTTAAAGTACTATTTTATATATTAAAAAGAAGGCTACTAGTTAATAAACTATACTAAAAAGGAATAAAAAGGCACTTATAATACCTAAGATACCTATAAGATCTACTAAAAGCCTTTAAATAATAAGAAGTATTAGGCTTTTTTAATAGCTTTTAAAGGAACTCTAGAAGAGATACTATTAATTTAGAATAAGGTTAATACCTATATTACTACTTTATCTTTTAATAAAGATAACTCTTTAGTAAAAGAATAAGAGGATATATAAGTATTCTTTTTAAGAGCTACTAAGGCTTTTATTATAGTAAAGAACTAATCCCTTAAAAAGATTATATATTTCTTTACTAATACCTTTATTAAATATACTATCTATACTAAAGATCTATTCTAAAGTATTTTTAGTATCTTTAGTTATAAGGAATAGTATATAAAGGATATTTTTAAAGGGATTCTTTCTAATATAGGTACTACTAGTACTTCTAATACTAGTATAGTATAAGTAAAGATACTAATAAAACTAATTCTAAGCCTTTAGGTTATAGAATTAGCCTTTATTATAATAGTATACTTTAATACTAGCTTTATAACCTCTATTAGTAAGATTATAGTGCCTATAGTACTTAAAGTAATTATATTCTAGGTACTACTAACTACTATACTATTCCTACTTTCTATTAAGAATATAGATATACTAAGAATTTAGCTAGATAATATTAATAATATACTCTACTAAAGATAGCTAAAAGTCCCTATTATAAGATACTAGGGATACCCCTAGTAAATACTATATACTACTAAAGCTACTACTTTCTACCTAATAAAAGGAAAACTCTAGTACTTATACTACTACTTTAAGTACCCTTTAGTAGCCTACCTTAGCTAGATACTAGAATATATAAAAGAGGAATTTAGTAAAGAAGTACTAAACTACCTAATAGCTACCTATAAGTAATACTAGCTATATATTAAGTCCTTTAAATAGTTCTAATTTACCTTAAAGAATAAATATAAATTTAACTATAAAATACTAGCTAATATAATATATCTTAATAATTAATAACCTATTCTATATATACTAGATACTACTACCTCCTTCTAGGTAACTTAATTCCTTTATAAAAGTATAGAAAGCCCTCTAGAAAGTACTAAAAGCCTTTAAGATATACTTTAATATTACTAGATTAATATATACCTTAGACCCCCTAAATAGATTATCTATAATACTAGAAATAACTTTTTATTAACTAAATTCTATAAATATATAAAGAAATTAGATATTTAAATATACCTAATACCTATAAAAGCCTATAATATAATTAATAAGCTAGAATACTATTATACCCCCCTTTAATATACCTATAATATTATCTATAAAGAGCTATAAAGTACCCTAGGTATTAATAAGTACTTATAACTTACTATTAAGGCTATAAATAATTCTACTAGCCTTAATAGCCTAGTACCTACCTTATTAGTCTTTAATACCTACCCCTACCTCTTAGAAGGCTTTTTACTATACCCTTTAGTAGCTTAATATACTAAAGCCCTTTAGAAGGTAACTAATACTACCTAAAAAGCCCTCTCCTTATAGTAGGTATATAAGGTACTAACTATATATAATAGCCTTAATATAGGCCTCCTATACTACCTACTATTATAGTTAGATATTTATATTTAGTATAAAGATACTAGCTAGACTAGCTTTTATAAGCTAATAAGTATAGATACTAGAAAATATACTATAAAAATACTATCTAGCCCTATTAGCTTCTATATATCTACTATATACTTATTCCTTACTAAGAAGGACTTAAATATAGACCTAGAAGTATTATAAGCCCCTAAAAGTAATACTAATAGTAAATATAACTCTAATAATAACCTAGACTATAATTATTAAGCCTTTAGGACTATTAAAGCTACCTTAAAGCCTATTAAAGCCTCTCTAAAGCCTATTAAGACTACTCTAGAATCTACTAAAACTATTCTAAAACCCTTTAAGGCTACCCTAAGGCCTATTAAATAAATCTAAGTTATTATCCCCTATAAGCCTAGGTATTTATAAGTAATTCCTAGTATAAAGATAAAATACTAGCCTATAAAATACTAAATTCTATTAAAAATAATTAAAAATAAAATATTCTTTTTTACTAAAAAAAAGAATAATATAAAATACTACTTAAAGCTTTAGAAAGATAGTATACTCCCTAATAATAAGCCTTTATTCTTTATCTTTATTAAAAAGGAGTTATAAAGCCTTCTAGAATATAAAGTCTTCTAATTTATTAAATTTAACTTTATTATTTACTATAAATATCTATTTAAATTTTAAATAGTTAATAAGATTAAGTCTAATACTATTAAAAAGCTTATAAAGAAAATATATATAATTTTATATAGTTATTAAGACTATAATAAAGATATACTACTTACCTAATTACTAACTATTTAGAAGGTAAGCTAGTACTTAATCTTAAGCCTTATACTAACCTAAATCTAATAAGGTTAGCTACTATAGCTTTAAAATATTACCTAGGCTTATATATAGGCTAGAACCTACCTCTAGTAGTATATTCTTACCTAGATTCCCCTAGAACTTTATTATCTCTACCTTAAGGGTATTATTATTAAGGTTATTTTATTACTATATAGTATTCTTAAGTCTAGTATTTACTAGTAAATAATATACTTTATTTATTACCTTAAAAAGCTTAAAATATTACTATTTACTTATAATTAGTACCTTTTACTAGCTTTAAGCCTTAATCTAGGTATTATTAGTATATAGACTAATAATATAATTAGCCTTAGTATTACTACTTTTAGTAAATAAGAAGCTAATACCTTTACTACTACTAGATTCTAAGCTAAGCTAAAGGAGATATTTATAATAAAAAACCTACTAATATTTAATAAATACTATATCTCTTTAAGTACTAATAGTACTATTTTAATAATCTTAAAAGGATAATTAGAGAAACTCTAATTAATAATAAACCTAAAAAGGTATATTAAATAGTAAGCCTAAAATATATACCTAGCCTCTATATACTAACTAGAAGCTATATTTAACCTATTTATTACTATATAATTTAAAAAGCCTAAAAAAGATAATTTTAAATACCTAAATACCTATATTTAGTAGTAAATTAAGAATACTACCTAAGGCCTTTAGTACTTACTAATCTAGTTAAGAATAGCTAAGTTATTTATTTTTATTAATAGTTCCTTTACTAATAATAAAGATTTAAGTTCTTAGCTAGGATATATAATTATTCTAAGTAATAAGGAACTAGTTAACTATATTAAAATTACTATCTAAAATAATATTATTACCTAAAGCTTAATAAAAAGTAAGTATATTACTTAAAGTATATTAGTATTAAAGCTATATAGTATAGTTCTAAGTATTAATATAGGCTATACCCTTTTTACTACTTTAAATAGGATTATAAAGTTAATAGGCCTAGTAGTAGTTCTAATAGTAGTTTATATAGATTTATTTTTACTATATAAATACCTAATAAAGCTTAGAACTATTAAAAAGAAGTACCTAATAATTAATATTATAGTATTATACTAGTTCTATAAGTATTATAAGCTTACTAAGGTTTATTAGATTAATAATAATAATAACCTTATAAATATACTAATAAAGGCTACTTTAAATAAGGTACTATAGAAGCTAGTTAATAGTAACTAGTTAATACTATATATTTAAAGCTAGGTTAGCTATACTATAAAAGCTATAAAGAGGCCTAAAGGCTATATAACTTAGCTAAAAGAAGAGACTACTAGTATTATACTAGTAAGTACTATAGTAGATATAGTTAGCTAAGTATAGTAGATATTTAGTAAGATATACTATATATAAAGGTATATAGTAAATAGATTTATACTATATATAATTATATATAGTAGCTAGTTATACTATATAGTATATATATATAGTAGTTATATTATATAATAGTATATAAAGAAATCTTAATATCTATAGCTTTAATATAAGGTATTATAAGGGCTATTATAGTAAGTAACTAAGCTAATAAAGCTAGATTACTATAAAGGCGTTATTACCTCCTATAGGTAAGTAAAGTAACTACTTATAAGCTATTAACTACTAATATATATAACTACTAATTATCCCTTTATTCCTATAATTTCCTAGTAGTGCTTAAGGTACTACCTATTTATATATTTAACTATAGCCTCTCCCTTCTATAGTTTATTTTATTAGTTAATTAAGAATTATTATTATATAACTATTCCTATAGAGCACCTCTATAGGCACTCTATACCTATGATCTTATAACTATTACCTATTTAGGATAGTAATCCTAATATTAGCTATTTAGGCTAACTCCTAGAACTCTATTAGTAAGCTATAAGAGGATATTAAAATACCTCTTTTTAGGCCTATAATTACTATTATCTTATCTAGATAGATTACTATCTTATCTATCTATAGTATAGTATATTAGATAGCTACTTAGAGTCTATACCTTATACTTTCTACTTCTATATTAAAGACCTTACTTAGGGGAGTTAGTCTTTTTCTTTAGTATATAAGTTTAAACCCTTAAAAAAGGATATAACCTATCCTTATATTATTATTCTTATTTATTAACCTATCTAAAAAGATAGTAAGGTATTAGTCTATTCTTATTTATAGCTACTATTAGAAATCTTTAGTTACTATAATCTTATCTTAATAGGTATCCTTTAAAAGGTATATTAGTAGCTATAGTAGTAGTCTTTTAAAGGCTAGAATACTTTTATAGGCTATTATAGCTATTATTAGCCTCTATTATTATCTTAAGCCTATTACCTAGTTCCTTCTCTTAAATCCCTTAATCCTATATACTAGTAGATACTTCTTATTAAGTAACCTAAGTTATAGTATATAATAATCCCTTATTTTATTAAAGAGTAGCTATATTAAGGGTATACTTACCTTATATTAAAGTACTATTACTAGTATAGTTTACTATACTAAGATATAGCCTTATATTACTATAGTTAGGTACTTTTATATCTTATCTAGCTACTTTAATAGCCTAGTTTAAATAGGGTTAAAGGTTTTATTATAGTTCTTTTTATAGAAAGGCTTTATATTACCTATATACTAAAGTTCTACCTTAAAAAGGAGCTTTAAGATAACTATTATATAGATAGCTTATCTAATAAAGATAAAGGTAATACCCTAAAGTATTTAGCTAAGGCCTTTAATATATTATATAAGTATTTTTACTTTTACTATATAGTCCTTAATATAGTTCTTAAAATTTAAGGAGGAGTCTAGGTATATACCTAGCTACTTTATCTTATTCTTAATAGATACCTTATAGTTACTATAATATAAAATATTTATATAAATCTCTTACTTATATAAAAAGAATATAACTTCTATCTTTAATAAGTCTAAGGTTACTTTATTATCTTTTATTATTATAATTATCTAATTTAGTATTTATTATACTCTAGTAATAAGCTTAGTATAATCTTAGCTAGTTAAGAGTATACTATTATTATCTATATAGCTATATCTATATATTCTATTATATATATATCCTATACCTAGTAAGAATAGGATAGGTAATATTAGTAATCCTTAGGGGAGTCTATACTCTAGCTTAGTAAATTTACTCTAGTAGTCTCCTATCTATATTCTTACTATTTATCCCTATAGGAAAGAATTTATCTATTTTAAAACGCTCTTATACTACCCTTAGTAGGTTATAGTAAGTAGGAGTTAGAGGCGCTATACTATATTAAAGGCTCCTTAGACGTTAAAGGTATAGAAGATAGTATCCTCTCTAGTAGCTATTGCTAGCTTAGTGTTATATATTAATACTTTAACTACGTCTGTTAATAATCTCTTTGGGAGGGCCCCGGCCACTGTCGGAGGTAGTACGTTATGTTACCGTCGAAACAATGCACCAGCGCATTTGTATTTGACTTCCCTCACCCACGGTAATCCTATATCTGAATACCGAGCCCAACCACCTGAACTATGATACAAGAGTAGCGACTTCTATCTGCTATTACAACCTGCGAGCGCAAAGGGAGCTGCCACACTCGATCGCACTACCTGGGCCACGAGTGACCGAGCCAGCATTCGACGCACCATCGACCAGGCTTTGGCATTTGCAAAAAGACAGACATGGCGAGCCAGCAGGCAGCTGCCTCGCCGCAGCCCACGATCCAACCTTGCCGCTACAAGGTCGGAAAGACGCTCGGCGCAGGATCATACTCGACCGTCAAGGAGTGCGTACACATTGACACGGGCCGGTACTATGCGGCCAAGGTCATCAACAAGCGCCTCATGGCCGGGCGAGAGCACATGGTAGGCGGGCAACGTCCGAGGGCAGTCGTCGTCTCATGCGCACGCCTTTGCTGATCAACGAGTACCCCTCAGGTGCGAAACGAGATTGCGGTGCTGAAAAAGGTGTCCATGGGCCACCAGAACATCCTGACGCTGGTCGACTACTTCGAGACGATGAACAACCTGTACCTGGTGACCGACTTGGCGCTGGGCGGCGAGCTGTTTGACCGCATCTGCCGCAAAGGGTCCTACTTTGAGTCGGACGCGGCCGACCTCATCCGGGCCACGCTGTCGGCCGTGGCGTACCTGCACGACCACGGCATCGTGCACCGCGACCTCAAGCCCGAGAACCTGCTGTTCCGGACACCCGAAGACAATGCAGACCTGCTCATCGCCGACTTTGGCTTGTCGCGCATCATGGACGAGAGCCAGTTCCACGTTCTGACAACGACGTGCGGCACACCCGGCTACATGGCGCCGGAAATCTTCAAAAAGACGGGCCACGGCAAGCCTGTCGACCTGTGGGCGCTCGGCGTCATCACCTACTTCCTTCTCTGCGGCTACACCCCCTTTGACCGCGACACCGACTTTGAGGAGATGCAGGCCATCCTCAAGGCCGACTACGCCTTTGCGCCCGTCGAGTACTGGCGCGGCGTGTCCTCGCACGCCAAGGACTTTGTCAGCCGCTGCCTCACCATTGACCCCGCGCGGCGCATCACCGCCCACGAGGCCCTCCAGCACCCCTTTGCCGCCAGCGACGCGCCGCCCGGCGACGGCGCCGGCGAGAACCTCTTGCCCACCATCAAGAAGAACTTCAACGCCCGCCGCACCCTGCACGCCGCCATCGACACCGTCCGCGCCATCAACAAGCTGCGCGAGGCCCAGAACCTCATGATGGACGGCGCCCGCTCCAAGGAGCCCGCCCGCGACAACACCCCCGCCGCCGCCGCGCAGCCCCCGTCGGCACAAAAGGAGGACAGCGGCAACGCCATGGGCCCTCCACCCCCCGCCCAGCAGACCCCCGCGCTGCCCCCCCGCGAGACCAAGGATAGCGGCTACTCGACGCAGCCCGAGGGCGGCGAAGCGTCCCCGCCCGCCAAGGTCGGTCCCGGCCAAGGCGACGTCGCCATGGGCGGGACGACGCCCGGCAGTGGCAGCAGCATCCCCGCGGTGCTGCAGCCGGGGAACATTGCCAACAAGGTGATTCAGACAAGCAAGGGCCTCTGGGGCGGGTCGCCGGTGCGAGATTGAGCATGTACGTGGTGGAGGGCTGTTGACCAACATTTTCGCATGCACGCCATGTTGGTTCCATTATTTTCAAAATGCCATCTTCTTCTTCAAACCTCTTCTTCCCTTCTCTGCTTTCTCTGGATTTAACTATTTTTTTTTTCTCATGGATGGACGGACAAGTTTGATATCAGCAAGCAACAAATGTTTCTATACACCACGACTACGAATTATACATTACTTTGAAACTGTGTCGACTTGTCTCTCAAGTTCCAAAACTACTGTGCCAAGTCACGTCTTTCGCTTCAAAATGTGAAAAAGTTTTACTGTGTTTTTTTCCATATTGCTTCTACCTTCTAAAGTCTAGCGAGTGGTATCTTTGGTTACGTAGTTCAACTGTCAGCTCGTTCCCATCACCTTGTCATAGGCAAAATAAAGGACCCCCAAGTCTCTCAATCATTAGTCGGACCCAGGTTTTCGCAAACCTCGACACACAGCCGTGTGTGTCCTGGACCCTTCTCATCATGTCCGTCATGGGCAGGGCCTGAGCCAGAGCCCCCCTTGTTGTATATATATAGCGAATGTTCAGTGCATGTTCGGTTTTCCTTGTCCCAGTTCCCCAATACGGTCCAATGCAGCAATCCCTCCTGTTCCCCGAACCCTTTCCCATGCACGAATTAAAATAATGTATGTATACATTACGTAGTTCTATCGGCACTTGTCCCAGAAAGATTGTGGCCGTACGTAAAAAAAATGAAGTATTAAAAAAGGCAAAAGGCCAAGTCGCAAGAATGCCGGGGCCAATTCGATGCAACATCACTCCCAAAGCGTATTAAGAATTAGAATTGGCCTCGCATGTCTCGAGAAATGGCGTAATAGTCCGAAAAGGGCGTGTCGAGTCAGTACACGACAGCTCGTAAGAAACACCAATGTTTTGCGCCAAGTCGCTGTGCCGATGAATACCAAAGATGTAATAAAGGTCTGTCGAAAATTAAATGAAGCGTGTTTGAAATTTGTTCGAGTGGATGGCTGATCAGTTGCGGGTCTTCATGATACCCAACTGACAGTGAAATCGAAGGGCCGAGGTGTCTCATCGTACAACGACCTCGCTGAGCTCAACGTCTCTGCACTGACCGTTACGATCCCGTTGGCTTTCGTGATCTGAATCCAGATCCAAAAGCCCGGGTATCGTCTCCTCAGAGGTGACAGGGCTCAGGGTTCCACTACTAGAGCTGCAGCTCGAGCTGCTGCCCAGGGTCCAGTCGTCGCTCTGGCTCGATCGACGGTTGTCGATAATATTGAGACCGAAATATTGACCGTATTCTTCATCAGTAATGATGTGGCGGTTACCGATCTCGACATAGTCGTATTCCCAGCGGGTCAGCTTGTCGGCCTGTCTCTGGGGAAGCCATCTAGCACGAGCTGTGTAAAAGAAGGCAGCGGCAATCAGACCACCTCCAACAAGATCGACGGCGTAGTGGTGGCTCAAATACATGGTAGCCCACCAAACCCAACCAGCGTACACAATGAAGAAGTTGCGGAACTGGGGGAAGGCGTGGCTCATGAATAGAGCTTCAAGAACAGCGTTGGCCGCGTGCAGCGAAGGGAAGGCGCCGAAAGGCAGAGGGGCGTTGGTGAAGTTGGTCGTGTAAAGATCGATACCGAAAATGGCGTCAACGCGGGCGAGACCGGCGGGCGAGCCATGCATGCCGTAGGCAGCGGGCGATAGACCATTCTCGTTTTCGTACCAGGGCGGCGTGCAGGGAAACATGAGTTGGATCGTGACACCGAGGATGCTCATCCAACCAAAGGAACGTGCAAAAACGTTGACGGTCCCGGGCGCCGCAAAGATGAAGAGAATGAGGGAGCAGATAGCGGGGGCGCCGAAGTGCATGATGCCGTAGGGCAACCAGGCGAGGATATCGAGGACTGGATGCTTGTGGGCGGACAAGATGTTGGACAGATTGGCGCCATACAAGACATTTTCGAGAGCTGGGAGAACGCGAACCCAGATATGGGGACGGTACTTGTAATCGATGAAACTAGACACGATATTAGCGACATCATCAGTGCACGAGGCGCAGCGCGCAGCTTTCGAGGCGACGCCGGACTCTCTGTTCAAGTGAAGCACTTACCGACTACAGAAAAAGTAGAGGAGCCAAATCCAAATCATCGATGACGGAAGTAGAATCTGACGTGTCGCGGGCATTAGAAGAAGCCAGACGGAAGTGGCGAGAGCAAAAAATTTCAGCGCGGGTGCCGAAGGCGCAATGTAGAGAGAGAAGAGGGTGAGGAAGAGGAGGAAGACATATTGCAGGTCCGACTTTTTGAAGTTGTGCTTTTGCAGGTCGCGGATGCCATCCCAGACATTGAAGGACGTGTAGAGACTTGTTAGATCCTCGGCACCCTGCTCTCTCGCGTTAGACTTTGTCCTCGGCCGGCGGCGATTCTGGTAGCGTTGGGGAAGGCGGTTTAGGAAGGCCAGGTTGAGGTTTTCGGTGAGTAGATTCGGCAACTTGGGTTTGCCCGGGAGGGCTCCGGCACGATCGGACATGGCTGTACGTGCGCCGGAGGCGACGGATTCGAACAGAACAAAGCGGCAGGGTCGCAGGCGAGACGATTTCGACGACAAAATGCACCCGCTAGGATTGGGTGTTTGGTGTTGCTACTAGGCAGCCCAAGGAGGTGCTGTGACGTGCTGCCAAAACGGACACAGGGGTGGCGGAAGCCTTGGGCCGGTAGGGAGCAAGGCAGGCAAGCCGGGAAAAAGCAGTATCGATGACAAGCGGCCCGGGCTATCGCATGCTATCCAAAAATGAGTTTCGGTCTGGCGAGCTTCTGTTTTTTTTGCTTCTTGGGTGGCCGTGGACGAGGGTTTGCAATCGAGTCGGCAACGTCGGTGCTGGCGGTTCGATGGGAATGGTAGTCTGGCAATCGCTGGCACGTGCCCACTGCAGATCGATACAGACAGAGGATCAAGGTCGACCGGACAAGGGATTGACGAGAGGCGAGAGTAAAAATGCCAGAAAAGAAAGCCGTGGGAAGACGAAAGCAACGAGGCCTCGGAGAAGATATGGAAGAGATGTGGGATGCAAGAAGGAGGAAGAGAGGAAGAAGGGTGGGTGGTGTGTGTGTGTGTGGCGGAGGAATGAGGTGTGGGAGGAGGAGTAGTTTGGGGGCGGTTGGGGGGAGGTAGGTACCCAGTGAGGCACCTGAGGCACTTGGGTCTGGGCAGGCAGACAGGCAGACAGCGAGACAGCGAGAGGGAGAGAGCCAGAGAGGCCAGGGCAAATCCAAGGATGACAGGTGCTTGAAAAGATACTTTTTAGCGCACTGTAGTCTTCTTTTTAGCTCAGAGTTGGGCTGGTCCGCAGGCTCCGGCGAATGGTCCCACTGGAGAACAGCTGAGCAGCCTCCAGCACGACCACTTTCCCGTGGCAGTAGGCGCTCTTGTGCCACTGTCTGGTCTGAGGTTGCAGGCCAACTGGGCCTTGAGAGCGATCTGTGCTAGCAGGGGGGGCTGCCTCCCCCCCTGTAACAGAGGCACAGGACCTGTAAATTGCCCTTACATGCACCAAAACAACGACTTCCCATGGTACCGACCAGGATTAGGTGACACCGGAAGCAGCGGGCAGAAAGGTACATCCACCAGTGGGCCGAGGTACCTACATTTCGAGCCAAGTAATAAAAAAAAAAACTTCTTCGCCTGCCATAAGCTACCCCAGTTGCCCTGCTCACGCCGCGCACCAGCCCCGAATCCCTCGTTCCACCACCGGCGCGGTCGGCCTCTGTTAAACCTCCGCGGCGCGCGGGGACTGGTTTTCGGACACTGGCGACCCCGACAGTGACGGAGAAGCGGGTGGCTGGAGAGCTGTCGCGATGAAGCTAACAAAAAGATGATGCCCGCGGGCGAACCCGTCGCGTTTTGACTTTTTGCAGCCCACGCGAAGGACCCTTGGTCGACCGCCCTACGAAGAAGTCTATTATCATTACATATTGTTGTACCACGGCCGCGCCGCCGCAGACTTGATGGGGTTACGGCACTTGAATCCCCCGCCACTACTCATAGACTTGCGCCTAGAACTTGCTCCTCGGTTCTAACTAGCATAATAAGGGTTGGAATGGGTTGGGTTGAGTGGTTCTTTGGTCCGTACCAAACTCGACTTCATCACCGGCAGACGCGGATGTAGGCGAGGTCATGGGGTTGAGCCTCAGCAAGACGTGGCTGGTCAGCTAGTCCAAAGAGGCAAACCTGCAGCTGGTGTCGACCGCCCACGTCATGATGGTTCGCAGGGCCACGGCAGCTACTTAGCTCGCCACAGACGTGGTGCAGACAAACGACTTTTGCTTCAGCAGCTCCCCTGCTTTCTTGTGCCGGTTCGTTTCAAAAAGCAAAGCATTGGCCAGGCATGTATCTACGTAGTGCGGGTGTTCTACATACAGCCCGTTGCGCACAAGACGAAATAACGATTGCAGCCAGGAGCTCCTCTTTGCCGCCGTGGCTGGTATGTACATGTGAAGAGCAAGCCACCGGCTGCAGCAGGGTGCGCCGAGTTGCGATGCATACATGGCGTGGTGTGGCAAAGGGTCTCTGTGGCGGACACAGCTGCGCCGAGTATGCCGCGGCGCTCGTCGGCGGCGGACATCTGGAGCAAGAGGTCGTGTGCGCAAATGCCGAGATGCTGGAGCTCATCATGGATCGAAGAGGCGGGGTCGCCTATCAACTATCAAAGAGGGCGGTAGGTAGGGCTGTCGCAATGAGCTAACTTATTCTATCCTGCCTTGAGGTATTGTCTCAGACGAGGGCTCAAGAAGTCAGAAGTCGGTGAATGGCGGGGGGGTTGACGGGGTTTTTCTTTTTTTGACGGGGCAGGATTGATGAAGTTACGGTGTTGCCCTCTAGGCTTGGTACTAGGTATCCCGTACAAGCAAGCGGTGAAGCATGGATACTGATCAATGAGTGGTAGAGTCGGGCAATTTTGGTCACGCGGGCAAGTTGCTGGACAAGGTCGGGCTTACTATCAGTTCATACATACAATACTAAGTGCTAAATTTTTCATCGTCATTTTGCCAAGATAACTAGTGCTGGCATTTTCCGCGTAAAAGATTCACGATGCTAAGAGCGATGCTGGCCTGTGATTGGCTGAATTCAGGGCGCTGGGAAATAACGCCAAGCCTTTTAGCGTCTCATTGTGCCTGCAGCGTCTCTTTTTTTTGCCCCTTTGCTGGCGGCGGCTTGCAGCTATTATTGGTCGTTGCCGGCTGGCAGGAGCTCGCTGACTTGGCAGCTAACAGCTGGCAGCTGGCAGCTGGCAGCTTCTTCAAACAGCATCTGTGCGTGAGTCTGTTTTAGGTTCTCGTCGTTTGCATTTTAGTAAAACGATAAGAAACCCATCCTCTACAGATGTGCCCTCACACAAAAACGCCAAGACTTGCTGCTTAATGGGAAAAATCTGAGACATGGCCATAACCCCCCACCTGTGAGACTCCTTTGGTAACTAGCCTTTTTCTGCTCCTGCATTTCTTACATTACTTGAGAAGCAAGAGAATCATTCGTTTCATTTACTCGTAACATAGGACATTATGGTGGCTAGCTAGGTATGTAGGTAGGTAGCCGCCGTGGCAGCTTCTCTGTTGCTGTGCGGCCTCCAAGGGCAAGCAGGCTCCCCACTGTCTAACTGTCTCACACCTAGGTACCTACTTAATAATAACAACCAGCCTCCAGCCTCCGAGAAGCACGTCAAAGACACGCAGCTGTTGCCTTGCATATGTTCGACCGCACAGCCCAACTACGTCATATTAATCGAACGCACGACTGGCGCTGCAGCACCAGGCGCGATGCGAGATGCGAGCACTCTAGTTACAAACTACACTAGGCACGCTTGTTGTTACCTTGGGAACAATCAGTCCTTTGTTTCCCTCCCTGAGACTAGTTTGCGGAGAAAGTCAAACGAACAAGGCCAAAAAGGAGTTTAATAATAGCCATCGCGGATGGACGGGAGATGGCAGAGGATCAGTGGCGGCATGCAGGGGACCTCGGACCCGTCATTTCCCTTGACGCGTTTTGAGTCTTTTCGCGAAGAATGAAGCTGTCGAGCCCCTGACTTGCGCTAACAACAAGCCCCCCGAGAAACAAGATCAACGGGGCGCGCACAACTTGACAACCCCGAATCCTGGTTCATGTCGCGTGTCTTTTGGTACCAGAGTTGGTTGGGGTCAATCGAGAAGCTCCAACCAGTTGGACAATGTCGAATCTATCCAGTTGAGCCCTGGCAGCCCAACACCTTATCATAGTTTCTGTTATTCCTAATAACCGACCGGGCAAGTCTTGCAGCCCCAAGTCAAAGGTCGCCGGGCCATGACGACATTGTTTCTCTGACTCCGTTCCTGGGCGGCGACAAGAAAAAAAAAAGTGACGATGGCTTGCAAGGGCCCGCCCGCCAGAGGTACTTGGCCTTGGCACTCGAGGTACATTGTCCACGCGGCTGGAGCGCGGAGCCTCGGTCCCGAATGGTGAAGAGACTCGACTTTTTTTCTCCATTCATTGTAATAACTAATAACCAGTAAACCGGACATTGGCGGCCATTGTTGCATCGTCCAATGCTACCATCATGTGAATTGCGGTTGTGAACACGCCATATCTTGATGCACGTGTACAGCGTGAGTTCCACGCTGCGGGAAGCAACATCATCTATATTGTTTTCCAAACAACGAATTCTTGATCCCCCAAACGTACGATGGAGGGAGGCAAAGGAGGCTCTGTTAGCAACTAACGGGAATTTTCCATCACGTCAGCGACAGTTCGTTGGGCTTGACGGATGGGGCGTGTAATCTCCCGTGTGCGCGCGCGCAACTGGCGCTCCCACGAGCACAAAGCCCAACTAACTACGGAGTAGCTTTTGAAACAAAGCCTCACTTTTTGTTGCTTTTTCCGGCGCGCCATCAACTAGTTACTGCTCCCAAAGAGTATAGGCGGTTACATATGTTGCAAGAGCCTTCTCGGGCTGGGTAGGTGGGTGACGTTACCCACTCGGAGATTCAGGTACCATCTAATAGTAAATAGTTGGTTTGGCGGATCAACTCCTCTCTTTGTTCCTTCTCGCTTCACAGTCCTTATTCACAACTACAGGGGCCAGTCTTCGTTATGCACACTGCTGACCCGACCATCTGGCCAACAGCTCCAGCCTCGTCGAAGTTGTGCAAAGTTGTGTTCCTTTCGCGCTTGCCGTTCGTAGTCACCGAGGCGCGACGTAATCGATCCGCATTTCGGGGGGGGGGGGGGGAAACCTTGGACATCCCAAGAACAAACCCACAAGTTGATGGGTGGTCTGCATCTCCACCATTTCCGGCTTCACCGGCACGTTGCTTTGCGCATCGTAGTGCTATTGCCTATTCTGTGAGAGGAAGTCTGTAAACGGTACCATTTCACAATTGCAGTGTCTCAAAGAGATTCATCAGATGAACATCATGGCGTAATAGATTATACCGTTGGGTTGGCAATACCCTAGTTACAGAATCTGTACTAGATCTTAACTGTAAGAGAACCTTGGCAGACGACATTGTCTATGCAGGTCAGGACGTAAAAAACTCAACACTGGGAAAATAATGTGCTCCTCAGACCACCCAGTCACCACCTTCACCGCAGCCGGATCTTGCCCGCTTCAACAACTCCCATCGACCCGTTGCCCCGGGACTTTCCCACTGAATATTTTTTGTGGACTGAGCAGGGTTTTCTCTCTATTATTATTCCCCTGACCTGGGCCGGACATTAGGAAAACAGGGGCCCATTAAACACCCATCGTGAAATGTCCTCTGTCGTCGGCTTGCCCATTCTGTCACGTCGGAGCAACAGCCGGCCAGCAGTGTCATCGCCGCGGCGCTCCTCAGCACCACGGGGAATACAGGACGGAGATGCATATCCCGAATCCGATTCGAATGACCGGAAATCACTTGCATAGGAAAACCGGCCTGCGCCACGTCACTTACTGTCACCCACCGGGCCGCTGCCGTGCGTGTGGTGGTGGCTGTGCAGTCTATGAGTGGGAGACAACATCACCCAGATCTTAGATCGCCGCGGAATTACTTGCGTTCCAGACTGGACAATACCTACCTAATTAGTCAAAGACTGGCAACGTAAAAGACGTACTGGCTCTGGTTCGTACGCTCCTCTCTGCAGTCAGCACGCCACCGACATTATACCCAAAAAGTATTCGTCGGAATGTGCAGTATTGGAACTGTAGTCAACACCTCTTTTTATTCATCAATCAGACTAATGTAGAGTACACTGTTGTCCTTCCCTTTCCAACGTATAACAATACCTCTGGCCTTGCTGGCGTACTCGACAGCCAGCAGAGAAAAAGAGTACAGGAATTATCAATCAGCAAAACAAAGAACAAATCTCTTGTGCCTAAACGCCTTCCATGTAATGCCACCTCAAAAGCAAAATTATGTCGCCACATTCACCCTTTCTCAGTTCTCATCGTTAGATAGCACCGCCACATTCCTGGGTATATAATGTAGCAGATGTACTTCCAAACATGTACACTATCTTCGCCTAATGCCTCGCTTTTTTAGAGGGCTCGCGCTGAGAGAGCCATAGCGATAGATCGTCCTCGCTGCTTCTTCTGGTTCCCCCTTGATCTAGGAGGGGCTCCTGGTAGCAGCAGCGCTTTTCTGATCCTTCGGCGACTGCTTCACAGTCGCGCTGGCTGTAGCAGCTGACGACCTCCAGCCAGGAAGTACAGGCACAGGAACTGGCGTCTCCTTTTTGGTGATCCCAGGAACCTGCGCGCCGCGATGCGGGGTTATTGGGTTGGCCGAGGATTTGGTAGTCGTGGTCTTCTTCGTCTTCTTGACCGGCGTGGACACAGTAGCTCGAGTGGCCAATGAAGCGGGAAGAGCGGGAGGCAGAACGGTAGTCTGCCGCACCGCTGAAGCCGAGACTGGAGTTCCTGGATCAAGACTGGCACGGCGAGTAGTCTTTTGCTTCTTGTGTTTGGTCACCGCAGAGACGCTTTCTTCCATTAGCTGCTCAGCAGCGGCAGCATCCCCATCCTCCGAGTCGCTGTGCTCTCTCTTACTCTTCTTGCCCTTGTTGGCGGTCTCCTTAGAGTCTGAGGCACCAACACGCTTCTTGTCCTTCTTCTTAGCGGTCTTGGGAGTAGAGCCATTAGCCGGCGTATCCTGCATCTCAACATCATGACTGGTACTAGCACCAGCACCTGCAGTGCTCATGTAGCTGGAGAATTCCATCGGCTGGAAGCGCGGCTTGAGATCAATGGGCTGCGACCGAGCAACATTGGTTGACGAGCCAATAGCCGATGGGGTCGCTGTTGTAACTCCAATTTGAGTGATAGCTCGGAGTTGCACGACTTTGTCCGTGGTTTGGCGAGCTAGGGAATCAGTTAGTGACTTGCCTCGATAAATACCTTCAACTCTGACTTACACGACTGGTACGCGGAGTCCTTGGTAGCAGGAATGAGGATCTCGAAAGACTTTGTGGGTGCGGTGCTATCAAAAGAGACGCCATAGTCTTCACCGTTGTGGGAAAGAATGTTGTCACCTTGTTGCGAGGCATCCACGGGGAACTCCAGCTTCTGGACAAGAGAGACGGGAACGGCGTGGGGCACAGTAAAATACCAAAACTGTTTGCCCTGTAGAATGGCCTCCTTGCAAATGCGAGCTACGTCCTGGCCGTTGCTGTGTTTGTCGCTTTTGCCAAGCTCAATATTGTGAGGCACAAATCGGGACAACCCGACCTGGCCAGTCTGTGCCTGCTCGCTGATGGGTATGGAATCATCTGAAGGCTCTTCGTCGCTGGACTCGGCACCGTCTCGAGATTCATCGCCGGATCTTTCCTTGCTGGTCTCGTCACTGCTGTTGTCGGCTTTGGTTGCCTTTGCCTTTGTGGTGGTTGTTTTGACACCATTTGCAACTGGCTTGCGTTTAGGCTTAGCAGCAGGTGGTGAGTCGCCATCGCTCTCAGACTCGGCTTCCTCCGAGGTAGAGTTGTCACTGTCAGATTCCGTTTGCTTGGAGAGGGAGGACTTGTCGGCAGACTTCTCCAAAGCAACGGGCGCCTTAGCAGGGACAGTCTCACTCTCGTTCTCGCCCTCGCTGTCGTTATCACTGGATGAGGCCTCAGAGCTGGAGCTAGAGCTAGAATCTGAGTCTGAGCTGCTGCTGGGGCTGGTGGCTTCAGATTTCTGTGTGGGGCCGTCGGGTCTCACTTTCTTCTCACTACCCTTCTCGACAGCCGCAACGGAGGTCTTCTTTGGGGAGGGGGACGAATAGGCCTTGATGGCCTTGATGGGGGTAGCAACCTTGTCGGCTGGTTTCGTTTCATTCGTAGCAGAGGCGCGTTCGACATCACTATCAGCGACTTCTTCGCCTGTGTTACGGCGCTTCGAGGCCGAGGACTTTGCCGCGAGCTTCTTCATGAAAGCAGCACTATCTATGTCGCTGTCATCTGAGCTGCTGCTACCGTCGCTGCTGGTATCGGAGTCGGAACCGTTGTCGCGGTCGAAGATGCTAGGGACGGGAGCGGCGTCCTTCTTGATCGGGGTTCGTGCGAAGACCTTTCTGTCGGCGTTCATCTTCTTTTTGGTCTCTTCAATGTGCTTGCTGAGCGAATGAACTTTGAACGGTTCTCTCGGGGCCATTTTGGCGCGTTGCGGGAGGGCCGCGAGGTCTTGTGTTGAAGTCAATTGATGGTGGAAGGGAAAGGTGTGAAGCTCCGACTATTTTTTTTTCACGCGCCTTGTCGAGGTATCAATTTACTGCTGCCACTGCTCCCCTCCACGTCTAAAAGTGGCCCGTGCGCACAACCTGTTATCCTTGACAACAGAGCGGCTCGTTACGAACTATTCAAGTCTTCTCCGTGTGCTGAATCGCAGGGTTAGCGAAATAGTTATGAGAAATATACTCCTTTCATTTTTTGTCTTGATCGTCGACTTACTGAGCCTCTGGTTTATGGCAAGTATTAATACTGAAACTTTTAGCGGGGACACTCTATCGATAAGGTCGGCTCAAATATCAACTCTTTCGCAAGAGTTGCGCAAGCATTCTACTAATACCGACAATGTCGCCATATACAAATCATTACTAAAAAAGTATCCGTCTCAGCTCTGCGGCCACCAAACTCATAATGTCGGCTAGTAAGCGCCGCAAGCTAGAGGAGGGACAGGAGGCGCCACAATGTGAGTCCGTAAATCTACGTCCAGTCTAGAAATGTAGATGATCATATCTGACCAGCCCGTCCCAAGCGGCCGTGAGCGCCTTATCTGCTCGCCGGCAGCTTGCCGCCGCTGCCGTGTTGCGCGAGACAAGCTCATCGCCTGAGGACGAGCCAAAACAACGAGTTGGTAATCAGTTCAGCGTGCTGCAGCGTGTCGCGCAGGCAGACCGTGGCTCGCCAAAGAGCCCGAGTACACCCAAGAGCGCTGCTGCCCGTAGAGAAGGCGCGTCTAAGCGTAGGTGAGTACGGTTCCAATTCAGTCTGTTCTGCGGTTGGTGACCAACAACCAACAGTACCGACAAAGGTGTCGCGACACCAGAGAGTGGCGCTTCGACTCCCAAAGTCGTTCCGTACTCGTCTTTCCGCCTCGGTAAAAACAACCATAGGAAACACAAAGATGGTTACAGTGAGCTACGGTTATCCAACAGTGAGGTCAGATCAATTTCGATCCGGAAAGGCTGCAGTACACTGACCGTGCGCAGCGCTTCATTGTGCTTGGGAGTTTTGGCATTAAAGTGCTGGCTGGTGAGGTTGCTATAGTCGGTGCAACGCTCACTGCGTCCGAAACTATTCACTGGGTCCATGCCCCTCACTGTCACGCATTACCTGTTATCAGAACCTCGGAGAAGACACGTCTAGAGCTGCATAACGAGAATGCAGATCGACCACTGTTCTGCCTCTCCTCGCTATCACCGCTATACCAACGAATATGGCATAAACCTGACAGGAACTCTGAGGAGACCGATAGCTCCAGTGAAGATACATTCAAGATTGTAAGTTATCATGAGACGTCACTCGAGAAGCATACTGATCTCGCAGCTTTGTACCTCAGAGGATGCTCCTAAGAGGAGCGTTATACAGGAATTGAACTCGCCACCGGAGTGGAACAAGGCAATTTCGGATATCATAGGGTCGACAAAAGTTGATCGGCAAACCCAGATATCAGCTCTGGTATGCGGCCCCAAGGGTGCTGGCAAATCTACCTTTTCAAAGCTGCTCACAAATCGGCTTCTCACTACCACGGATCGAGCCGCCACGTCACAATCAGTCACAGGAGTCGCGGTCATTGATCTAGACCCTGGCCAACCCGAATACTCCCCGGCCGGAACCGTCTCTCTGATTCATGTCACTAGACCCAACTTCGGCACGCCGTTTTCCCACCCCGGCTTGCATCAAGCTGGCCACAGAGTCATGCGCAGCCATGCTCTGGCATCAGTATCGCCGGCCATGTCCCCTTCCCTTTACACGCAATGCGCGACGGACCTATACGAAACATATCGCAGGACATTGCGAAACTGTCCGTTACTGATCAATACACCTGGATGGATCTTGGGAACAGGCCTTGATCTGCTGGTGGAACTTATAACAAAATTGATACCCTCCCAAGTTATATACATGTCGGAGGAGGGTCCCGTTGATGTGGTTGAGGTTTTACGGTCTTCCACACGGAACGAGTTCTTAACGCTACCATCACAGCCTTGCGAATTCACGACCAGGACAGGCTCTCAATTCCGTGCCATGCAAGCCATGTCATACTTTCACTTGGCGGAGGTGTCTAGAGCCGGCAGTCCATCGACCTTGAGCTGGAACCCAAGGCCACTTTCTGCTTTGCCGCCATGGGAAGTGCGTTATTCCTCAAAACGACGAGGAATCAAGGGTATTCTATCGTACGACTATCAGTCACCGCCCGAGCTACTTAGAGCAGCGATTGATGGCATGGTGGTGGCTGTGGTCGAGGTCGAAGCCGACGAAGCGTTTCGCGACATTATTGCCGGTTACGACTCGGCGTCCCAGCCACCAGTCTCTACTGTGCAGATTTCAGGAAGCAAAGAACAAACGACGGAGACACCTGCACTGAGGATCATAGAATCACCCGAAGGGCTACCGATCATATCTAACACCAACGACGCCACGCTAGACCCCCGTTACTCCCGCGCCATGGGCCTGGCACTCGTGCGCGGCGTCGACACCAAGAGCAAGAAGCTGCAGCTCATCTCGCCGATCACGGAAACCCAAATACACAGTACCCGCTCTCAGGGCCACGACATCATTCTCATCCACGGAAAGTTCGATGCCCCTACTTGGGCATATGCCGAGGACTTCTTCTTTCAACGCGCCACAGCACCGCTCGAAAACCAGAAAGAGCAAGGAGATGTCGACGTGACGTATGAAGGGGCCAACGAGGAGGAGTCTGGTCCGGTGCAGGACCCGGTGGAAGAGGCACAGGATGTGCCCGCAGTGCCTTGGCTGGAGATTCTGCACGGTAACCAGAAAAGGCCAGCAGGATCAGGCGTCTGGCGCGTGCGGCGAGATCTGGGCCGAAACACTGGAGATTAGCTCGGCAGTCCGGCCGCGATTGAAAATGCCAGGCACGTCCGGTCTGTTTCCGTTGATTATACGGCACATGTCCTGCCAACAACGCTTTGCATGGTGGCATAGTGTGAACGAACCACCGCACTAGATTGAGCATGTGTCAAGTTGATCACCTCGGATCACCGAGATAGGCAAGGCTCGGAACGCCCTTTTTTGTTTCGTATCACAACCCGGTAACCTGGTTTTTGGAGAACGGGTATAAAGTCGGTACGATGGGTAGGACCAGTACGAATATGAACGAGCACCTTGTACACCGCGATAATGACAGGTCACGTAACACATGAATGTCGCACCGCAGTTTTCTCATGCAAGAATCTAGTTCAAGGACAAAATACCCGTCATTGTCCCATATCTCCACGTGTACAGAGGCGGTGGACTTTTGTAGTCTGGTTACAACGAGCCTCATCCTCGCACAAGGTCGGAGTTGTCGAGCGGCAACCCCTCGCTCGCGCTGCAATAGCTTATCGCGTTATTTTTCTCGATACAAGCCTCCACGCGTGTATGGGACTGACGCAATCATACTACAAGGTTCTCCCGGCAAGAACGGTCTGATTAGCTGGACGCAGGATGCAACTCAATCACAGACTCTGGCGGTGCAGGGTCAGGGTACGTTTGGTGACGTATTACAGGGCAGGGTCCGTCCAACAAAAAAGTTGCGAATTCGAGCAGAGTCATTCCGATTGGGTCGTCTTGACTGCTGGTCAACAATTACCAAGCGGGTCGCGCGGTTCTCCCCGACTGAGTTTTGTTCAATGAGAACCTTGGCCGAGGTCGCCGCGCATTGTTATATCTCGGCAAGAGAACTCCCATCTACTCTGAGTGTATATATTCATTCCACAATGGAGTCAGTGCCACTGCAACACCTCCTTGCTGATCAGCAGGCCACGCGGATTGTCTTTGCACGAGGCGCATCCCGTTTGTCCGAGCAGAGTCAACTTGCTCTGTACAGTACTTGCCTCCCAAATTCTGCCAAGTCTAAACTACTTGAAGCGCTCAGTAATTGTGGTCGACAGATGGGCTATATCCAAATTGGTGATTTAACAGAGTATTGACAAGGTAGCCACATGCAGGTTCGGTGGTGGGTGTAATACAGGAGGGTTGGAAAATCGGTATGATGTACCAATGCCGTGCAATGTGACAGAGTGCAATGTGCTCGTGACGTGTAGAGCGTCAGCTTGCAGGACGACTGCATTGTACGCTGTCACTGCTGGGTAGTATTTGCCAATGAGGGACGCAGTGGTTTGGTGTGTGTTGCCGACGGGGGCGCATTTTGCCGGTAAATTGCGTGCTTGATAGATGTATAAAAGTAAAATAACGATGCTGGCGAGCTTTATCTTGTACTTCCCTGTGGTGAGAAGATACGGACCGCAGCTCCAGTTCAGTCAGCCCTGGCGATATCAACACAGGCAGTCACGTTCCATATTCCTTTTTCCAGTTTGATGTATGACTGGATAGTGTCACGACCCTCGGAAGAACAGTTGGAGGGGGATGGCGATGTCAGTTCATTGGAAATGGGCAGGATCAGTCGGTCGGGTGTTTACTAAATTAGTGGAAAGTCGACAGTCGAAAGGTGAGCAAAGAGATAACAAAGGCGAGTCGGCGCGTTGCATTGTCTTTGGTTTTGCGAACCCCAGGCCATGTGCAGGCAGTAAGTAGATCGGCGTGGTCCTGGGGCGGACCTTTTCGAACCGTCCTTTCCACGACGGTTTATTTTCTTATTTTGAAAACCTGGGTCCGAGGGAAGATCAAGCTTATTAGCATGTGGTAGTTAGACAAGCCACAGGAAAAAGAAAGTTCAAGGAGTTGCATGTAGCATTTGTCTGAGTTTCTCGGTGGCTGACCGCGCTAGTCAGCGGGATGGACGGAAAAGTCTTGGACACATGCAGCTGGCCCAGAGAGGAAAGTTGACATTTTTGGATTTGTGAACAAGGCGTTCGGTGGCTGCAACGGTTGGGAAGCGGTTACCGGTATGTGAGACCTTGAGGGGAGCAAACGTCGCGGTTCTGGAGTCATGTCGTTAGTTATCAACAACAAGCGTGGTGGAATTGGTCTGTCTCAACGGGTGCTATGTACCTACTGGTACAATGCGAGCCCGTAATTTGTAGTTTGGGACGGAATGGTCGGCCTAACTATGGGTGGAAGCCATTGTAGTTGCAAATACTGATTCGTGACCGTTGGAGCTAAAAAGGTGGATGAGCGATGATGCTGCGCAGGGTGGGGTCGACGAACGAAAGCAGAAGAATGAGGATGATGATGAGTTGTAAAAGAGGAAAATGACAATTGGACAATATTTTGGAATAAATCGGCATCCTTTGTTGGCCGGTGATAGTTAGCCACAATCGCGTCTGCCCAAGTGCTAGCCTGACAGTGAAGTGAAGCTGGTTCCTGGCAACGAGTTTGGTCAAATTCGTGGTTACACAGAGTTCAGTGGGGCTCAGCGGCCCCGCCGGGGTGCTGCCAAAAGCGATGCGCTTGGGTGCCCAAGCAAGAAGCAGACGGTTTTGTTTTGTTTTATTAGAAGACAGAGGGCGGTGAGTTATTATCCCTACTGTACCTACAGGGACGGATACATCTGTCCAGGCTATGAGCGCGAGACCCTGTAAACCGTTAACCCCTCCTGCGACAACCCCTCACTTGAGACCAGCTTGCCTGCCTGCGGCTAATGATGATCAGCGTATTCAGGCATTATCAACTACTCGAATGAGGGCCAGGCCTGCTTCCGCCGCTTTGGATTCAAGTACTGGCCATTGTTTTTTGTCGTGGTTGATGTGCTACCCAAATACCAGTACCGAGGTAGAGTTAGTGGCAATCCCGTTACGCTTGTGGGTCGTTTAACCAGCACCATCGACGCTTGTAGTATTTGTCACTGTTCAGCTCCAGAGCCAGCTTGGGGTTGGAAGGGCTTAGGCCAACCTCAGTGGTCGAGACTATGCCGTAGTGCGCGCATCTACAAGCATGGTGTAGGACAGGCACAGCGGCTGGGGCAGCCGAGAGAAAACCCTTGCCCCGGGATGGCGAATCGCCGCTCTCCCATGGCTATTAGGCACAAGGCACTAACCCAGCCAACGTCCACTAACGTCCACTAACGTCCACTAACGTCCACTAACCCACCCAAAGTCCAGCACTCGAGTCGGAAATTCACCGTCAGCCCGGAGCAGCCCACTGTAAAGCCACACCACCATCTCACAGCGCCCTTGGCAAGTCGCACCCCAACACCTGCAGCCCTCTCGATCCTGCTGGAACCCCGCCGCTCATCACTGACAGAGACAGCCTCTTATTAGGTCCTCCCAAAAACTCGCATACGATGAGCCATGGGCCATGGTTACATACCTGGTGGCCACGCCTCCCTCCACGCACTACCCACGAGCTTCAACGATCTTTACGCTCCCGATCTTCCTTAAATCCCTCCCACGACTCCCATTCTCTCACCATCACATCATACGGGTATGCTGCTACCCTAGTCGTAGAGCGCGTCACAAATGGACGCCAGCCCCAAGGACAACGGCCAGGTCCGCTCGGCATGTACTGAGTGCCAGCGGCGGAAGCAGAAGGTACCTTCATGAACTCGCAACCACGGGGCCCTTTTCACACCTCACAAGCCTTTGCCCCATTCGAGCCATCCTACGCAATATCTAACACGCATCTAGTGCAATCGCCAGTGGCCTTGTAATCACTGTCAGAAACGTAAAGTCGCAGATCGATGTCGCTTTTCCCCCACGGCCGCCGCAACCTCAGAACGAACGCCCTCGAGCGACACCCGAAAGCGCAACCGCATTCGCGATGAGCAGCCCGAGTCTAGCTCCGATGACGATGATACAGACGATTTCGCGGCTATCGGCTATGGAGGTGCACATTTCTTCTCCAACCTCGAGGTTCAAACCGAGGTAAGATGAACGAGCCCGCCATATCACACCCGGGACGCACCACCGCCTTCCAAGTCGCACCTCTTGCTAAATTGGCATCGTGCCTCTAGAAAAAGGCAAAGCCTCCTGCGAAGCAGTACTATGTGGCTGCCTCTAATTGTCATCAGCTAGAGCGTGCCCTACAGGTGCTTCCACATCGCACCACAACAGGCAAGTTCCACATGCCAAACTCAACCGACCTCACTTTGGTTGCCCCAACTGAGCAAGACTAACCCCTTTCCAACAGACTCTCTGGTGCAGAATTTCCTCTCTCGTGTCAACTACCATTACTATATCATATACCCCCCGGCATTTTTGCAGGAATATCGCGAGTGGTGGATCGCCCGCTTTGCTTCTCAACCTCTTGGCCTCCAATGGACTTGTCTCTTGCTCATGGTATGCGCCTGCTCGGCCCAGTATACAGATCCCGATTTGAAGAGAAAGCTCGAAACGGAACTTGGCGAACCGATATTCTGCCTCTCCAACAACTACCACAATGCCGCCCGCGAACTACACTCCGTCATCCCCATCAGCAGCAACCACATCCTTAACGTCCAACACCTCTTGCACTCTAGCTATTGGTACAAGTCAGAGGCTCGTTTCGTCGAGTCTTGGCATGCGCTCAGCACTGCAATTCGCGAAGCCCAGGCTTTGGGCATGCACCAAGATCAGCTCGCCGGCTCAATCTCAGAGTTCGACTATGAGATGCGCAGACGTCTATGGTGCGTATTAGATACCTGGGACTGGCAAATCTCAGCGCTCTTGTCCCGACCAAAGCTCATTGACCGCTCCGAGTGTATGGTGTCGCTTCCTGCGCTCACCTTGGAAAGTTATTCGCCTTCGCCTTTGCTCCACATGAAGCTGCAGTCTGAACTCATTGGCGAGTTAGCGAGACGCTTCGGTTCCCCGCGAGAAGTCACATCCCCTGCTCAGATTGATCAATACACTAGCGTCATTCTTGACTGGATGCAAAGATTCCCGCAAGCCTACAAATTCGAGAAGCCCGACAGATCAATCGACCTCAAATACAGCTGGGTTACCCTGCATCGTCACTACTTACATACCATGGCCTATTCTATGCTGTTAGATCCATTGCGCGCTTACATGGCGAGGCGAATAACAGCAAATTCGCCACCTGACGACTTGAGGATACGCGACGAGGGCATAGCCTACACGCTGAAGCTAATGTCAGCCCTATCCGAGTTCTTCGACTTCTTGTATCCTAAGGATGCCAAGTTTCACCGGGCTTTGTTTTCCATCTTCGACACCGCTGCCGTCCTCTGCTCTGTCATTTTGCACGACGAGGACCGCTGTATACCGAGCCGGCAGGAGATTCTCTTGGCCATTGAATCCGCTAGATGCATGCTACAACGCTTGGCAACCGAAACCCGCACTGCGAAAACGTCGTACGAAATACTGTCAAGATTGGCGAAACGAATTGAAAATCCCTACCTCCCTCCGAGGATGGTCGACCACCACCACAAACGAGTCAGGGCGACCGAGGAATCGCTCACCCCACCCTCTATCCAACACGGCGATGTATCTGTCGGCTCCAGCGATGTGGGAAGCGCTGACGACTTTGACCGGTACTCGACCTCCCCCGTTGGAAGCAGCGGCATGGCCCAGAACATCGCTGGTGCCTCGCCCGCCTACGGCTCCGGATTCTTGGAGATGTCGGGGGGCTTTGCGATGCCAAATACGATGGCGCCTGTCCATGATGGATACAATGGAACATATGGCATGCTGCCGGCCACACATATACTGACCGATGGCATTTTGATGCCCGCGCCACTAAATGCATTCTTACCGCCCACCCCTCGCGAATCGTGCGCGCAGCTCTCTTTCGATGGCTTCTCAGAGGAGCAGCTAGGCGATCTGGCAGCTCTTTGGAATTACCAAAGTCTAGATCTCAATTTTGTTCCCTGCCAAAACGTCTAATTATGCACGAAATCACTCGTACCTTTTCTCTGTCACTTGACAGCTGTATGAATGAAGAAGATCTTGCCAAGTCACTATATACCCATATTTTCCAGCGCTATTATTTCTCTTGCAGAATTTTGTTTCTTTTTACCGCAGATGATGAAACAGCCATGGCTTGGCGTCATTCAGCGATGCTTAGTTTGTACATTTGTTTCCTAGCGAGCAGGATGGAAGGACGATGAAGGGGCCTCTATCAATGTTGTCGCAAAGTACAAGATGCGTTCGAAAGTAATATGCAGCATGCTTCAATATAGCAGACATATAATTGCAGCAATTTGGTACGCCGTGATGGTGCCTAATAGTGACGTGCCCGCCTGACATGACAATTGGGCGTTGCTGGGCGTCTGCCTTGTGATGGCCACCTTTTGTGGTTCGCCCAACTAATTCTCACGAAACTTTTCCCAGCTGTCACGTTCTGCGCGGGGGGCTCGGCTCGCGTCAGCCCATCTCATCATCTCTACGGCGCCAATCCAACAATACACTCCCGCTTTGCAGCAGTTGCCCACCAGAGGGGGGGATCGGCCGCCCAGCCGCACGGGGGAAGCCTGGCACCCGTTTGTGGGTGTTTGTCGTTTTGAGCGGCCGTGTTGGCGTGCCGTCTCGCGTCGGGGACATACATGCAGAAGAGGAAACAAAGCAATGTTTCTGCCGAGAAAAAGCAGGCGCTGTTGCCATTTATATCCTGATGCTCGCGCAATTCGTCGAAGCGCTACTTCATCAAGCTATGTAGTGGTGATTACACCGCAATACGAGAGCCATGCCATCTCACTACTCTCACCACTCGTCAACGGCGAACGTAATGACAGATTAAAAAAGCATGGAGCTACAGGGGAGAGCACGACGGATGATTCTTTGGCGCGTAAATGGCATGAGGCTGCAACGTTTAGTAGTAGTCTTGATGGGCCTGATGCGTGCGTGCCCGGACCTAGCAATCAATGACAAGGGGCACCACACCACCACAGTTGTCCCCCTTCATATTGTTCCGAGAGTTTGCCAGATGCGTCAGATCATCCCATGTTGTCTCCCATCGAGATCATTTGGTGCATAAAAGAGCTCGCGGCGGAGGCGTCGCTATAGTAAAGATGGTATTGCCTGGGGGGGAAGCGGTTGGCCGAGCCCGCACAGCTCGGGAGCATACTTCCTCCCGCAGACCACAAAATGTATGTCAGAGATATAGTTGGTATCATCTCAGTTAAAGATGTCGCTTTATGCACCTTGCTTTTTGATCCCATGCACTTGCATCTCAGCCACGAATCCCTGCGACTTGCCTCGCCCATCATGTCGGCGTGCTCCAGTTTGTATATTTAAACCCCAGCCCTTTGTGGATGAAGAGCTAGAATTTCTTGCGTCTTTCTTTTACTCTCATGCTCAAGGTTTCAATAGTGTCTTTTGACGTTTCACCATCTGTTTATTTGGCCTTTTTCCCGATTTTGCTACCATGCCGAGTTTGAAAATGGCCAACAGCTGTCGTGCTGAGTGAGCTACCCATGTTTCCGCCTATATGGACGTCATGCTAATATAATGTCGTTTTTCAGGCTTGGAGATGTTGGTAGGAGCTGTCTGTATGCCTCTACAGAGACTCTGCTGCAAGGTCAACCAAAGTAAGTAGACCTGGGCCGTTTAGTTGCGGCGGCGTATTCGCCAATGCAGACCGTCAAGAGGACTCGACGCTGACTGCTTCTCTCATTTGTAGATGCAATAACGAAAATCGAGTGTGCGAGAAGAGAAGACTGGGTTATTTACGTGCTGAGGAAGAATACGGACTGGACGCTCCTGCCCATGGTGTGATAGAGAGGCTCATGCGGCAGTGACAGACCGGAGGGGGAATTGGGGTCAAATTTGATGATATTCACGTCAGATTCAATTGATCGGTTCGAATCAACACAATTAAACGTACATCTTCTTCGTGAGATACCTTAGTCGTCTCTCAGTTAAATCCCACCGAGTCTGCTTTCGGCTTCCTTTGCGTCTGACGCCGTCCACCCCTGGCGGGATGGAGGGTGCCACCCGTCCCAGCAGTTTGGGACCGGGGAAGGGCGGAAACAAGGCCATCGGACGAGCGTCAGCCAACAGCAGATGGACACAATCGCAATATGTCTCCACTGCCCCGGCCAGCTGGGCACCCCTGATGACAGCCCTGGCAAGGGGAGAGAGACAGATTGCGAGGACGTTTGCTGCCCCCTCCCCCCTCTTCGCTCGACGCCATTGTCGGCTGGGGCGCCTTGTTGAAAATGTTGGTGTATCCAGAGTGCCGGGTCGAGCTGCATGGGGAAGAAGAAACGTTTTGCATGGGGGTGCGGGCCGGATGTCTCTCGGGGGGCGGCGTGGCGAGCCTTGAACGGAGGAAAATAGACAAAGAGGCTGACGAGTGATGGCATGACTTGTCCTCGGGTATTGACGAGGCTTGCCTGATGACCCCTTTTGGTGTGCATCGAGGTGCTGTCCGAAAGGCAGTCCTGCTGCCACGTCCTTGATAGTGCTCTGAAGCTGGACAGAAAGGGGCCACACTACTCCAGACGAGAGCAGCCTATCATTGAAAGCCCTTGACGTTCGTGGCATCCCCGTCGTGTAAAGGCCACCAGCGTACACTTGCATTAGTCGCCTTCGACTTGTTGTGCTGGATCTCGTGCCTTTGCGAACCTTTGCGAACCACGTGCGCACCGTTCTCGCTCTTATTCATGGCTTGCAGCGTACGGCGGCCAATGAAGCGCCGCCTATAAAAGGCTGAAAGGCATTCATTCATCTTCGTCAGTACAAGGTGGAACCAAGATGAAATAAATGGGTAGGTAATAGATGAGGGTTCCGTCACCACCAGAGGTGGCTATTGTGTCGGGCATCAATCCTCGCGTCACGCCAACTCAGATCTCGTCCATGGGCAAGGCTGAAATTTGGTTGCTCGCAGCTATAAGAGAGCCATTCCCTTTGATTTCGTTGCAAGAGTAAATCCACAAACTATAGCTCAAGCCATCTCGACTTGGGAGCATACGGCCACTTCTACTTCTCTCTCCCTGACAACACCTACCCTACATGCCATCGCACTACTCAACATGGCTGCCTCAAGCAAGAGTAACCAAGACGTACCCGACATCCCGGCAGGCGATGACCAGCCAAATGGTAGTAATGAAGCGGACGGGTACGTTGAAGCGCCCTGCGGGTACTCGGAAGTTTTTATTATTATTTATTTTTGTATTGACAAGCATTCCAGCGCAAGCGGCCAGGACGCAGCACTGACTGCGTCGTTTTCCTCGATGGATGTGTCGGACGGACGGGGCGAGTGAGTCTTTTTTCCCGTTGTTGTTTCTGTTGGCAGAAAATGCTAACGGCATGCTTTTGACAGATCATACGAGCACCTCATGGCTGAGGAGAAAGAGCTGCGTCGCACCGCGACGGAGAACTACGCCGACGGCGGCGTCTCGGGGAGCTTCTTCCGGCGCCGCGATTTGAATCCCTATACCAACGAGGTGATGTTTTCGCTCGCAGTCGAAAAGAAGGGTTGAAAGGATGGCACGCCCCAACGGGTTTTTCATCGCCGCTGCGCTGTCGCTCGATGGTCAAGAGGTCTGGGGTCTGAGATCGGGATTGTTGTTCCCTTGCTGTACAAGTACCAGTAGCCATGTAGTCTATTACTCCCCCCTGTACGACGATAATTTATGACTGTTTTTAACATGTCTCTCTGCTGTGTGTAACATTGCGAGCTACTGTGCGTCGGGAGAAGTGCTGCGCGGCAACGTTGGCGTAGGCGCGCGTGGAGAATCGAAACAGACGATTTTTGAAGCTGTTGACGACCGCGTGAATGTGCTGCTCTTTCCCATTCGTCCGCCTTGCATCGTCCGCCTTGGGCTCAGACCGAGTCGCGTTGCTCTCTCTGCACGGGGAACCATGCGCACCATGGTATTTTAGGCACCAAGGCGGCATATGGGAGATGCGACCGGCGTCCCTTCTGTTGGGCGGAGAAGGGCGTCGCGATGAACCGTTTAGCGTCCGAGACGGCCCGAGTTTGACTAAATGGTTAGGTACCTACCTAGGAAGGCACCAAGGCAACGGCCAACGTCCCAAAGAGAAATGGCGTGCCTGATAATCAGTACACTCAAGCTTGATGAGGCGGGTTTGCATGGCGGGGAATCGTGATGCAGGTATGTTTGCTACGGATACATGGGCAGGCTCTGGAGAGTCCCTGTCTGCCCCAAGGCCCCCAACCCCAAGGCCCCCAACCCCAAGGCCACTCTGCCACTGCCATAACCACCTGCCTGTCAGACTGCAGAAGCAGCGCCAGCGACGCGGCTTCGGCCCCCCGATTTGCTCTGTGCCCGGCTGATCAGTGATGGAAGCTGCACTGGCCAACAGCCAGCCTGGTTTCTGGGCGGTCAACGCGTCTGGCAGTGGTGCACCCTGGGTAGGTAGCTACCTACAAATTACCTACCTGTGGTACTTTTTTCCTTTTTGCACTGCCTCGTAACTACAAGGCTTCCGTGCCATTCCATCCTCTCATTCAAGCGCCATTATCCTGTCATCTCTGCCTACTTAAAAAACGAAACTTGACGCAACGGCTGCCAAGCAACCTGTCCCAAAATATCCCCGCCACCACACGCGGGTTTATTACCATTACTAGGACCCGGGCGGGCTTAGTACCGGCCCCCGCCTTACTTGCCGAGAACTGGTGGCCAGGTAGATAGCTATTGCTGGGTTCTCTACCTACCTGAGGTACTCTTCTCCTATATCAACCTCACAGAGACAATGCTGCCTTTGGGGTTGTTGCGCCAGGCGCGCAAAATCATCAGCCTGAACCTGCTGCTGGTATGCGTGCCACTAGGCTTTATCGCCTCGGCGTCTTCCTGGAGTCCCATTGCCATCTTTCTCTACAATTTCCTCGCCATCATCCCACTATCAGGGTTGATATCGGATGCGTCAGACACCCTCAGCGAACGTTGGGGAGGCATGCTCGGTGGACTGGTGAATGCGTCGCTGGGAAACACTGTTGAGTTAATTGTCAGCCTCTACCGTCTTTTCTTCTTCTTCCCTTTCAAACAACAACATAAAAGTTGCCCAATGGCTAATTGTCAAACTCCAGGTCGGACTGCTCGCCATCACCCAGAACAATGTGAGCGCCGCGCAATCCGTCATGATGGGCAGCATCCTCAACGACATTCTGCTGGTGCAGGGAATATGCATCATCGTCGGCGCCCGCTCCAAAGGCGTCATCGTTGTCAACTCTGCCCTTGTCGACTCGCTGTCCTCACTGATGCTTGTGGCATCCATGGCCATGGTCCTGCCCACCGCTCTGTACGCCGCCATCCCCAACCCAGACAGCAAGGGCTCAGGCATGAGGCAGCGCATCGTCTCCTTTAGCCGCGCGACCAGCATCGTACTGCTACTCATCTATGTAGCGTACCTATATTTTCAGCACAAGACGCACCGTTCACTATTCGACGACCAGGAAGACGATGACGACTCCGATGCTACCCAGTCCAGCGATCACCTCATCCCCACTCCATCGCCGTCCCAGGACGTGGCCGCGCGAGACTGCGAAAGCGGTGCGGACCTGGACAACATCCCCTCCATGCGCGATGTCTCAGTGATTATCCTCACCCTGGTTCTTAGCTCTCTCGCCATCGGTGGCTGCACATATAATATCATGCAGAGACTAGGCGATATTGTGAAAGCATTCCATGTGAGCCAGACATTCATCGCCTTGGTCATCATTCCACTCGCGAGCAATGCCTCCGAGATGACACAGGTCCTGGCGGCGGCCAAGAAGCAAAAAATCGACTTTGCCATTGCCGTCATTGTGGGCAGCATTTTGCAGATTGCCCTCTTTGTCTTGCCCGCCCTTGTCATCATTGGCTGGTTCATTGGTAGCAAGATGGATCTGTACTTTGAAATGTCCCAGACTTGTGTATTGCTATTTGCCGTTATACTGGTAAACCAGGTTCTACAAGATCGGCAATACACGTACCTTCATGGCATGATGTTTCTTTGCGTGTAAGTCTCTGTATCAAGCTGTTTGGTTATTCGCTTCAATTACTGATCTGGTCTTCTATTTCCTTTAGTTATACAATTGTTGCGACTGCCTATTTCGTTGAGCCTTTTCATTGAATCACAGCACACTGGCCTGAGGCGGGCTATGCGGACTATGCAGGCTATGCAGGCCAAGTTGCTGTGTCGGCCGAGCGCCATGCGCAAAATCAGGTCGAACAAAGAAGACAATGGCCATTGACAGGTACCTAAATGCAGGGTTAGAAAAGTTGGAGGGAAGTCGCTAAACAAATGGACGTGAAATACATACGTTCCCATTAGCATGCAACTCTCAAAGTATGTAGTCTTGCCGTAGCGGATAAGGAACGTCATAATGGTGACAGAGAGTACAAAAACAACGGCGTCGAAGAGACCAAATACAAGCATCATTGGCTGGTCGAGCCCCCAGCCGAGAAAGACGAGCAGTGGAATGTTGAAAAGCAGAGTATCGAGGACATTGGTCATTACCGAACGAATGGCAAAGTCTAAGCGGCTCATGTACGTGGCACTGCTTTCTTCGGGTCGGGCATGGCGAATAATGCTTACAGACTTGGCAGAGTTGACAATAAGGGGCAAAACCACAAACGCAATAAAGGTTTTTGTCATGTGGAGGCTCTCTGCAGCTCCGTCCAAGCTGCGCAGCACAAACCTGGCACAGATGACTGTACAGAACAAGCTGCCAAGCAGGCCGGCACTCAGCACAAAAGGCCCAATGGTGGTTTGTGGCTTATCTTCAAGTTGCGTGTTCGTTCGGCTGTCGGGGTTGAACTGGGTGGCGCCTGGGTTCACAGGGAAGAACTGGCCGTGAGTGACAAAGCGAAACGACAGGTAGGTAAAAAAGAGTAGGACGAGAGCCGCAGCTGTTATATGGGAGAGATTGAGGATGCCGCGGTCGATGGTCTCTGGAGAGTCTATCCCTTCAGCACTAGTTGTGAGGGACATGACTGTAGGAATGACAAGGCAGAAGGAGGTCACCATGACCAACGAGGACATGATGCTGGTTCTCGTCTTGCTAAACACGGCGTCTTTTCTGCCGTAGCTGGCGTGGAGGAAGCTACCACCAAGGACCTGTAACTCTTTTTGTCAGTAATCAATGCACGTCATCTCTCAGCAGTCCAGATGTCTCCTTACCAAAAGCGCATAATTCACTATGATACCGATCATGGTTTGTTGAACCAGAGCGCTCTCGTCGTAGGTCAACGCCACGGCGCTAATCTAGTGGTACAGTGAGCATGCTGCATAACATACAAGTAGGAAAATGGGTAGCCGGCATCTTGACTCACTATGAATTCCGTAGAATTCCCCCCTACTGCACGGAAGAGGCCGCCCCAAACCCGAGCATTTTTTGTCAGGGTGAGGACGGCGAGTATGTTGAGCGCGGCCAAGGGCACCAGGGCCGCACCGTTGAGGAGAAAGACGACGGCCGGGGGCAGGCGCGGTATGAGCAGCGACAGCGCAATGGCCGTCGGAACCGCGAGCAGCAGCGGTTTGCTCTCGCCAATGTATTCGTCGCTCAAGATGGCGGTAAGCTGCCCAAACGTGTCGGAGCGGCGCAGCAGCCCGGGCGCCGCCGGCCCGCTGTCGGCGGCGGACCGCGGGTCTATTAGCGCAGGATCCTCGACAGAAGGGGACGACCGCCGGCGCGAGGTGGGAAGAGAAGAAGAAGAAGGAGTGGTCGACGATGTGGACATGGCGGCGGCGGCGGCGGCTTGGTTGTGGTGGCGCTGGCGGAACGCGGTGTTGGTAGTAGAGCTCATGGTGGAGGGGAAGAATGCGCGCGGCGGAAGAGGGCGGCGGACCAATATGCCCCAAGCCCAAACCTTGGTGATGATGGGAACCCGCAAAACGCGCTTGGCGAACGAGCGATGAATTCTCCCCCCGAAAACCGAACTAAGATGCAAGAAGCTGCGACGTACAACATGAATTAGTTGCTTGGCCGTGCGGGCTGCGAAATAGCTGTGCGCTGTGGGGTAAAAGACAGACCCCAGGAGAACGCGCGCGCAAACGCCTTGTCAGCAACAGAGCCTTGTTGCTGCTGCGCCTTGTTCGACCCAGCCATCACACAAACTTACCCTAGTTATCCCAACTTGTTGCATTTCCATCTAGCGCCTGATGCTTTCCATTGCTCGGCACCGGTACTGCTCGATCGCCAAGTTGGACGGACTCTCGTCCTGAGCCACCATGGATCATCCCCATCGCATCCCGCAAGACGCGGCCGCAGCAGACACCACCACGCCACTGCTGGCAGACGCGGGCCGCCACAGGCCGAGGAGCGCCCTCGCGGCCATTAGCGACGAACTGGTGTATGCCACCCAGGCAACCTTGCAGTGCAGCATAACAAACGTCCTGCTCATCTGCCTGCCGCTCGGCCTGTATGGCACGGACTGGGGCTTTCCGGGATGGGCCGTTTTCGGGCTCAACTTCCTCGCCATGCTGCCGTTGGCGTCCATCCTCACGTTTTCTACCGAGCAGCTCGCCGCCATTGTCGGCTCCGTGGCAGGCGGCCTGATCAACGCTACGTTTGGCAACGCGGTAGAGATGATTGTAAGTCCTCAACCATGCAGCGGCCTGCAGCGCGTCATCGCTGACCGCCGTCATAAAAACCTAGGTTGGCATCAGCGCCCTAAAGGAAGGGGAGATTGGCATCGTGCAGTCGAGCATGATAGGAAGTATTCTGTCCTCCATTCTACTGGTTAGGTCACCGTGTTTCCATCAAATCGCCATCATCCATGCTAAGGCCCCCTTTTTTAGATCCTCGGGTCGGCCTTTTACCTGGCCGGCAAGGACAAGCAGACAGTCCACATCAACGTCGACGTGGCCGGGATCCTGACGTCGCTCATGGTCATCTCCTGCACGTCTCTGATTCTGCCCTCTGCGCTGCGCGCGGGCGACCTCCTGGTCGAGAGCACCGATGGCGGCGGCCCTGCTGACTACATCTTGACGCTGTCGCGCAGCACATCCGTCATCCTGCTCGTCTTCTACGTGCTGTACGTGTACTTCCAGTCCGTCTCGCACGCGGAGCTCTTTGCCGAGGAAGAGAGCGACGGCGGAAAGAAGCTGCACGCAGCGTCCAGCTGCGCGGTGCTCGTCCTCGCTACGCTGGGAATCGCGTCGAGCTCCGACGCGCTCGTCGGCAGCATTGATGGCGTCATCGAGGCGCTGGGCGTCAGCCGCAGCTTCATCGGGCTCATCATCGTTCCGATTGTGGGCAATGCGGGCTGCTTTGTGGGAACGGTGCAGTGGTCGCAGACTGGCCGCATCAACCTGGCCATCTCCGTCATTGTCGGCGCGACGCTGCAAATCTCGCTCTTTGTTACTCCGTTTCTGGTCATTGTTGGATGGATCATTGGGCGAGACATGTCGCTGCAGTTTGACACGTTTGAGACGATTGTGCTTACCATGTCCACGTTGGTAGTCAGTTGCTTGGTTCGGGGAGGAAAGACCAACTATTTTGAGGGCATGCTGCTGGTTGCCACGTAAGTGCTGGATTGATGATAAACTCTGCTTTTCATTGCTGACAGCTGCCTAGATACACTATCATTGGCGTCGCGTTCTTTGTCCACCCTGACGAGGTTTGAGGGGCGATCTATGGCGGTATTCGACAGATGGGATAACTTAACGATGAAAATAAAATCTCGTATGTTTGATTTACTGCGCCAGCTGATTATGCGCAAATGCAGGGACTTGGGTTCATGTTGAACCCCCATTCGTTAAAGGCTCGTTTTAGCCCGTTTCTGAGTTCGGCCCGCGCCGTCGGAAATCTTGCCGCATCTCGGCACGCCTAGAGAAGTAAAGCCGTGGTTGATTAGTGGCGGGTCGCCTGCCACCTACGTAGGTAGCTAGTTGAAGGTCATCTGCTCTTGATAGTTGGAAAGAGTTTTTTAAGCATACCTAGCCGAAAACCTAGATATACACCTACTGGCATCTCAAAGGCAAGCCAATGGGACACCCAAAGAACACAAAACTGTTGCAGTGCTGGTTCTTGGTACGGAGTTCATTTTCGGCTGCCAGGCTAGGTAGGTATGTAGGTAATAGTTAGCGACAAAGCTAGCGGCGGGTGTATCAAATGCGGCGCTCGCCCAAGCATTCGATTTCAATTGGAGTTGCAACTGATGTGCTCGATAATATTGCACCATGGCCTCCAATGAGTCCAATCTCATTGTGCGGTGCGGCAAATTTCATCTTGTTGTACCTTTTAATTAGTGCCTACCTACTAGGTAGCTTGGCAATTAGCGGCCTAGCCACCGAACTCGGCAAGCTAAGCCACCAAGCAATCTTGTCATAATCATCAGCGCCCCCTACAGTAGCAACCTTCCTTCATCCTGCGCCATCCCGCGTTGCCTGCGCGCCGGTATTCTGGCCATGCATCTCGGCGAGGCCATTGGCACGGCGTGCGGCGCCTTTGCCGCCACCAACATTGACGACATCTTCGTGCTCGTCACCTTCTTCGCCGAGTCGGCCACGAACCGGGCCATGTCGCCCCTCAACATCACCATCGGCCAGTATGCCGGCTTCACCGCCATCACCGTCATCAGCATGATTGGCTTCGGCATCTCGCTCGCCCTGCCCTCCGAGCCGATTGGTTTTCTCGGCTTCCTGCCCATGCTGCTCGGCTTCTGGGCCCTGTTCGACGTCGTCCTGTCGCGCGCCGCCGCCGACGACAGCGAGCATGCCGACGAGCAGTACCACATGACAAACGCGACACGCCTGAAAATTATAGCCAAAGTCGCACTGATTACCCTCATCAACGGCGGCGACAATATCGGCACCTACATCCCGCTGTTTTCGCAGACGCGCGGCGCTGAGATTGCCGTCTACGTGGTCGTGTTCTATATTGGCGTCGGCGTGTGGTGCCTGGCCGCCTGGATCATCATGAAGCAGAGACAGGTTCTGATGGTGGCGCAGAAATACGCCGAGTATTTTATCCCGTTCTTGTACATGGGCTTGGGTGTCTTTGTCATTGTCAAATCACACTGCTATCCATGGTCCATCGACCACATCAACCGAAAACTACCGGCGCATCCCGGCCGACTGGTGCTCGCGCTCTGCACGACGGGGTTCTTAATACTAGCTATGAGCATCATGTTTGCCATGAAGTGGCGGACGAGACAAAAGGAAATCGCGGAGGAATCCGCAGCCGGCGTCGGCGGCGCGGTCACTGAGCTGGCAGAGGTTGGGCCGCAGCCTTTGACAGAGAGAACGCAGACAGTCGACGATGCTAGCCAGACGCCCGAAAAACCTACTACAGCAGATACGTCGCTAGCCAGTACAATACGGACAGAGGACGACAAGAGGCAAATACCGCCTTAGCATGTGTAGATGTAGAAATGAAGATTTTGGTGCAAGACAGACTGCTAAGCATCGCTGCCGCTGCTCCTACACATCACGTGTGATTTCCGTATCCGTTTCTTGCATCACCAAACCTATCCGAGCATAATGGGCGTGTCCTCTCGCATGTAGTACGCACTCACCTGCCGCTTGAGCCACAGCGTCACATTGAGCGCGAAGCCATGAAACAGGAGTGACAGCGCCAGCGCTACGTAGAACGGAAGGTGCACAAAGCAGAGCAATCTGCAAAGGGCTACAAGCAGCGGCGAAGCTGCAATCCAGAGCAGACACATGGCAACAAAGGCTTTCGCCTCGGCCCGATCGGGGCACGGCGGGGGGATGGCACCGACGTCGCGCAGAACCGTCGCCGACCCTGCGGCCAGTGCGAGCCATACCAGGGGATAGCCCTTGCTGATGGGCCCCTCAATGGTCAGCGGCGCCAACGCCTCGACGAAGCAAAACGGCTGCGGAATCACCAGCGTCTCCGTAGTCGGGACGAGGACGTGGAAGCGCACGCGCCTCCCGGCGTCGCCGAGCGTCTGGACAAGCGTGACGCGCTCGCACAGCATCCAGCGAGCGAGAACAAAGAGATTATGCGAGACGCCGGCGAATTCTGGTGCAAGGGGGCCTTCGACCTCGTGCAGGCGCTGAAAAGCCCCCATCCAAGACGTGTCCGGATGAAAGACGAAGAAGCGATGGCCGCACTCATCGCCGTCGTTCTCGTTGCATTTTAGAGCGACAAAGTCTCTGACAATCCGGGCAAAGGAAAGGGGCGTGTGCAGGTGCATGGAAACCAACGCTTCTGGCAACACAGGGAGCGGGCCGGTCATGTACCTTAGATGGTTGTGAACCTGTGTCCCTTGGTAGGTCTGGTACGGATGGGCGGCCACCGGCCCGAGCGCGAACAAGGCCTTGGTTCGCAACTTCATCTCTGACGAACCTGGTGGCATCCACATGGTCGTCGAGTTGTGGTCGGCGAGCGCTCCTTTTGCCGCTGCTGTCGACGCGAGCAAAGTGCCCGCCCGTCTCCCAGAAGACAGCCACAGCCAGAGCGACGAGGCGTCGTGCGTGAGGGTGAATATGCTGTCTCGCCACTCGACATAATTTCCGACGAGGTAGAGGGAGATGCTGACGGAATAGATAAACTCCCACATTGTCAGCTCCGTGCAGAGACCAAGTATTCGGCCAACATGAGAAAAGGCTTAGGGTATGCATTTCAACGTGTAGTTTCGTGGCTGCCTTATATAGCCCAAGTGTTGAGATAAGGCCTTGTAGCATCGAACTGAGACATCGCATGTCGGTCTAGGAGCACACTGCCGATCAATGCCAACTCCAGGAGTGATCGATTTGGCAACGCATAGTAAATTAGCCACATCTTATCATCTAATAATGACACAAAAGTGTGTATAAGCCTCGCGCATCAAGAGCGCTCATAAGCATGTGCACATAATTCCAAGCTTTGCAGTGACCAGCAGCCGGAGAAAATGTACGAGTCTGACAGCAGGACGAACACAGTTAATCGAGGTATAAATTGCCGGGGCGGCTGTTTCTATTAGGTCAGGCCACCAAAGGTCCTGTACGGCGAAGTCGAGAGCGCAGTGTGTTATCGAGGACAGGGATTATTCTTGGCGAGAGTGCGATTATTGCCTCCCAACATAACCTCGTTTGCTTGCGACTAAAACTGCGTAGAGAAAACACAGCATCAGCTTAGAAAAACTTGCTCTTGAGAGCTCCCATGACAAGTCCGCGTTTCTGCTTGCCCATGTATTTATTGACATCGTCCGCCCAGCCCTGGCTCTGAACCTGCAGATTGTCCATGCTATCACCCATAATGTTCAGCTTCTCTGTTCGTTCGGCTAGTTGCCGAGACAAGTACGAGCCCCATCCTTCTTGGGCACCCCCCGCCGCAGAGCTTCCTGCAGCGCCTTGCCGAGCAGCCCGCTGCTCGGCGGCGGCAGCCTCGAGCATGCGCTTGCTTGGTGGCCGGTCAGGGCCACCAACGAGAATATCGAGGTCGAGAACCGATACAAACTGCGTTCCAGAGATCCATTGTAGATTGGAAATGGCAGGGCGAGGTGGACACCCAAGCTTCGGGTTAATAAGCACGTCTGGGGAGTCTTCCATTGTCTTTCCGGTACCCCAGACGTGAATGACCTCTAATTCACTGGGCCCAGTCCAAGCGAAAATGTCGCCGGTCTGCGTTACTACAGTGCCAGTGATTCTAGTAGGGTCCACAGTGGGAAGATCAGCCTTGCCGATTTCCTTCAGCGCGGGAATGGAAAAGGCCCGCGCTGTGCGGTCGCCAAATACTGCGACGATTGCGTAACCTTGGAGCTCGAGCTCTGCAACAGCCGCCGCATCGCACAGCAAATTGTCGAATTCCTTGGAGGCGCCCTTTGAGTTGGCGGGGTGGAAGATGCGTATTTCGGTTTGCGTAACAGCAACAACGGCACCATTCACCTGTCTGCCATCGCGTAGACCAGCAACAGTCTGTCCAGTGGCCGCGGCAGGTCGGCCCGTGTTGACCTCGATAGCGTTGAGCGAGACAACTTTGCTGTCAAGGACCAAGACGCCGGCCAGCTGAACCGAATAGGTACCATTCGCGGCGGGGAGAAGCTTGAACGTGATGACCTTGCCGAGATTGGTGCCCACAAAGCAGCATATGCTAGAATACTTGTCATCATCCAGTGTCATGACACCAAACTCCATGACAACAGGCCACTCCTTATGGGGGGTAGAGTCGGAGCGACTGTGGCCCTTGAAGAGCGAGCCACGCTTTTCTTGCTTAGCAAAGTCGGTCATGGGAGCTTGGTATATTATTTGCGGACCGCGAAGATCGATGAAGGTAAGGAATCCGAGCTCGGATCCCACAGCAACGAAGCCAACGTCGGAAAGTTTCACTGCCGTGATTGGTCCCATCATCATTTCATACAAAACAAACGGTTGCAACCCTTCTTTGAGGTTTGGTTCTGCGCGAGAGCTGATATCAGTGAGGCCCTTGGGATTGGGGTCAATAGGGGACGCTTCAGTTTTGCCATGGAATCGGTTCTTCCCCCATCGAAAGACAATCGCCTCGCCCGTTCTAGTGCCGACAACGAATTCACCAGTGTTGCTAGCCATGCTCATGCACGAGATGTCAATGTCATCATAGCGATCAAGTGCGCGGGCAATGTCAACCTGAATAGGCTGTGCATTCTCAATGTCGTCGGCATGGCCCGAATCCCAGATGCGAACTATGCTATCGGCATGAGCTGCTTGTATGATTGTTCTCTCCTCAAAACGCTTGCGAGGTCTAGCACCTTCCGCACCACCCTTGAGAAGCGGCTCTCCTTGGTCTCTCTTTTCAATCATGGACAGCCATCTCGGCCGCTCGAGACTGGAGACATTTACCTTGGTAATGAAGGGGTGCACGAAGAATGTCGAGGGGTGGAGCTGGTTCGTTGGGCTAATCGGGTAGCCGGACGGGAAGCTAAGAGTAACAAGCTCACCGGCGCTAAGTAATACGAGAACCGCAATTGGATCCTGTGCACCGTGGAAGTGTGGCGAGGAGCGTGGAACCAGGAGGAAGTCGACTGCTTGCGCTCCGGGCGGCAGCGTCAACGGAATACTCCGCTTGCCATGGAAGTAATTCGCGAGGAGCTGCCAGGATGATGTTGCATAGGCGGGCGTGAGACCGAGATCGATGAAGGTGAGACTATTTTCTGTCGAAGTGGAAGGGTGTCCTCCAGCAATAAGGAGACCTGAATCGTCGCAGTTCTCCTTGCAGCACCAGGCTATTCTAGTATATGGCTCAATAAAGGCTGGCTGGGCAGGGGCAGATGCTGGCAGTTCAATTCCAGTAGCCGTGAGAGTTCGTGCGAGCACGACTCTGGGGTCTTTCAGATCCCAGAAGACTAGACTGCCGTCGTCGTGGGCCGTCAGAATGAAGGTGCCAGAAGGGTGCCATAGGGCATGCGTGAGTCTCGGTTTGCGAACTGTATCCGTATTGGCTCCATTTCCCCCAGGGGCACCACGTGGGACGACGTATTCGAAGTATTGCACCGGTTTGTTTTGCTTGAAAGAGTATGTAACAGCGCCATGCGTGTAGCCAATGAGTAGCTTGCCCACATCGCGTGGGTGCATAGTCATGCAGACCAAAGTCACAGCTCGCGCACCCGGATCTCGCTCCTTCCAAAAGTTGGGAAGCCGGAATGAGCGCGAGAGCGAGTGGCGATCCAAATCATACGCCATTATGTCGCCATTCTGCAGACCGATAAAGGCCCAGTCCAGCATCGGATCAACAACCAGGGCCACCACAGTTCCAGCCACCACCTGGGCACCGACCCGCGCGCCAGTGCTCAGGTCCCATATTCTGAGCTCGTTCTTCGTGTCGAGGCTGATAATGTGGTTGGCGGAAAAGTGCAGCCTGCTGAACGACGTCGCCCGTGGTGGTTGCAGCACCTTTTGCACCCGGCGCTGGCCCAACACATAAATTCTACCCGCTCCAAATTTGCTTTCGCTCGTGCCGATGGCAAGAAGTGACTGGACTGGGTCGTAGGCGAAGCAGCTAAATGGTGGGCGATCAACGGTTAGCACAGCCATTTTCGCCATTTTCGCTGGCCAGGGTCTACGGTTCTAGAAGTCTCGTACCTTATCTGAGAGTTGATGCCATATCGAGCTTGGTAGTCGGGAGCGAAAAGCTCTGGTCGGATGCTGGCAGACAAGTCATTTTGAATGCCAGCTTGCTTTCCTCGCAGATACCCCGCCATGACGCTGTTTGAGGAGATGCAGGATCAAAGTTTCCCGCCAAGCTCCAGTGTGTCGCGCAGGTCTAATGCGTGGTGCTTGGTGGGGTTGTGGCAGTGCCACGTTATAGCATCGACCTTTCTGTCAATAGGCATATCATCACATTTGTACATTTTCTAGAAATTTTCGAAATTTCTCAAATTGTCTCTACTGTATTGATTTTTCATCAGCACTAACTATCTAGCAAATTGTCCTCCGCCGCCGCCTACCGCCAATAGTATCATCGCTCTCAACTCATGCGATTCCCCTGCTCAGAACTCGTTTTTCAGCCTTTAGATATACCACATCGTAGACCTAAAAAAGCCCCTCTGCCTCTCTTCCCCAGGAGCCGGGTTGGGGCCAACTCTACCACCTAGCGGCAGGAGTTTCGGCGCGTCCGTCGCCATTGGCATTTCAGCCAGATGACCCTTGGCTTCCTGGTCACGGGCCATTTCATGGCCCTTCGAACCTTGCTGGAATCCGTCGCTGCTGTAGGAGTTCTCGTGGGCTCGAGCTCGATCACCAGCGAGATGCGCATAGTAGACTGCCGGATGCAGAGATACCGGTGTCGTTGATCTAGCGTACGAGTAACTCTGGTGATAGATCATTTTTTGCAACTCATTTGCAGGCATTTTGGCCTCGTCCATAATCACGTTGTAGTGGACAGGGCGAGCTGTTCCTTGAATAGCCACGTGAGAGCAAAGATAAAAATCCCACATAAAGGGGTGGGTGACCTCCTTTTCAACAAGAGTACCAGGGAGCGGATTGCCATTCCTGTCGCCCTTTTGCGGGAAAAAGCGAATGTGATGGCGCTTTGTAGCCACAATGACGGTGAACTGTGGCATAGGCTGATTGGGGGCTGCTCGGCCCAAGTAGCGTTTGATCTCATTGATCTCCTGCTCAATCACTTGCGCAAATTGTCCCTCAGAAACACCATCTCGAAAGTAGATGATGTGCTTGGGGAAAACTCCATGATTTGCCTTCCACTGCTCTGACAACTGACTAAACATAAAGTTGATGTTGCTCGGTGTCAGCATCTCGGTTCGGTAGCCATTGGTTTCAACTGCCGCGGCGTATCGATTGGCATCCCGGTCGACAGACATAGTCATAGCTGCGACGGAGGCAGTTACACCTCCCGGGGCAGCGTGAGAAACGTCCACTCCAATAATCATGGTTGGGCGAGACTCGGGAAAGTATGTGGCCGTCTTTGTCTTCCAAGGAGGAATAGTGCGAGACGTCGCACCACCCAATTTGGCGTTCACCTTCATACACACATTGGAGTGGTATTGCCCATTATTTTCGGACACGGCTTTTCCATTAACCACTTGGGTGAGAATGCCAAAGCGACAATCCGCAGACTTTTTGAGCCGCATATAATGCGGGCTGTTCTTATGCTGTACAACAACAAAGATCAGTTGAGGGTATCCCTTTGTGTTCAGAATCTGAGAATAGGCCCAGTGTAGTGATTCCGCAACATCGCCTCTCACGTTGCCGGGGGGCGTAAGCAGCAGCGGCTCACCAGTACACTTCCCTCCGTGGCCAATAAATGTGGTCTTGAAGGTCTGGGAAAATGCCTGGAGCTGGGGGAGCTGCACACAGTTGTCGAGAACTAAGAAACCCCAGTTGATGAGCGGAGCGAAATTCTGTCTCCAAAACTTCTTGCCGCGAAGATCCCACCGGCCAGAGAACTTCGGATCCGCCGTACCCGTCCCAAAATTGACAACAGGTGGTGCAAGAACTTTTGCATCAACTTTGGTAAATTGAGGGTCGAATTGGACTCCATAATGGCGCAAGTAGGGATCATTAGAGATCTGAAGGTCGTTGACATGTGTTTGGATGTCAGTCCGTCTGTCCTTTGGTCTTGTAACTGCGATTTTGATCATCGCAGCAGTTTGATCTGGGTTGAGCTTGAAAGGATATCGCTGCATGGGCTCAACCATGGCAAATTCCATCGGAATATAGCCCCCTTTGCCAGCATCAATAAGCGGAAAATTTGCAAATCGCAGGAAAGCCTTGTACTTCTGTTCGAAATATTGCGCAACTGAGATTTGCTGCCCTTCATGGTCGAACTTGACAGCGCGGGCGGTGCCACCTTCAGCTCCATAGTCCTGTCGAAAAACTATGTCTTGGATAGTATAAATTTTGTCGCCCGGAGCGGTGCGGTTTGGGTGACGGACGGTGAACTTAAGTCTTCGTAGCTTGCGGAGTTGTTTAAAGGCATCGCTTGTCTCCCACTTATCATTCTTCCCACGTACCGGCTTGAGTTGGTTCGCGAAATCGTTGGGGTTCAGATTGCGCCAACGTCTGGGCTCGACTGCCGCAAGATAGTTGCATGCCAGTCTGTCCACTGTCTGATTGCCAACCCAAAAGCATGTATTGGCGATGTCTGCGTTCAACGCGAGACCGACTGCGCCCCGGTTCAGATTGTGGCTTAATCTGATGGAGGCATAGGTGCCTTTGTGCACCTCGACGAGAGAGCCATCCATCAGAGGACGACCCTTGGCCTGTCGCTTGTAGAAGTTTCTCTTGATGGCCAAGAGGTTCTGCGATGGCCACTGTCGAATCAGATGGTCAACAAAGTTCAACGCCTCATTGACGGCGTTGTTGAACTGAATGCGCTGCTCGAGGTAGCCTTTCAGAGCAGACATCTGGACCTCAGTGGTCTTTCGCAGCGTCACATGGAAAACATTGCTTTGACGGGGAGGTTTTGATGGTTGCTTCTGAGCCTGAGGTCGACCCTCATCAAGATTGACGGTAAACCGCAGCTCGCCTCGATCAACCAAAGCGGGAGACCAAGCAAGCTTGTTGCCATCACATATCCACATTTCATAATTGTACTTCTGCAAGGCAGCCTTGAATGTAGAGTGCTCCCAAATTTTCTTGAGGATGGCGACTTTCTTGTCTGGATCTGGTGACAATGCAACCTAGTCAATGTTAGACTACTCCCAGTGGAAACAGGCAGTTGTTGGATACTGACATCATATTGGTAAATCTTCTTGGTGAAGTCAAACTTTGTCATACGATATTGATTCACCTCCACAACAGCGGGTGATCCCTCGGTGTTGAGGTTGTTGCCTCGGAGCGTAAACATTGACTTCTGCGTGTCGGACACATAGGCGTCAGGAGGCAGTTCCATTCGCGTGTTTCCTGCCTTTCTGGTAGGGCCTCCCATCCGAGCTGGATCAAAACCAGGCCCCTCGGTCCAGCCGGGCTGGCCGGGCTGGCCCACGGTGGTACAAGCAGGAGATGCCACGCGGCTTGCATCTGTACTGCGAATAGCAGACGAGTGGGAAGGGGCGCGTCCTGGCGGAGGGCCGCTGGGGTGAGGTGGGCGGCTGGGATCAGCCATAATCTACTGATTCAGTCAGTACTGTTGGAGCGAAATCATTTCGAGGGTCGGAGGCGGGCAAGATGGCTCAAGTGGTTGCATAAAGGCAGGTGGGGGATCTCGACGGATAGTTAACTCACCGATGAACTGATAGCGGGGCTGAATCGCAGATGACCAGTGTTCAGGGTAGCCTTTGGGCCAATTCCAAAGCGATTTCAATACGCGGGAGCTTGTGTGAGGGAAACAGTGATGCCCAGAACAGAGTGAAGGGTGACGAGGTGTGAAGGACGTGAAGGTGAAGGAGGGAAGAAGAGAAGGAAAATGTGAAAGAAGGAGTCAATAAATAGTACCTCTGTGTGTGACAGTTGCCAGCTGGCAACCTTCCTGTTTATTGGCAGCCGGCAGCTGGCAGGCAGTCAATAACAGCTGGTGCTGTTGCCAGCCGTCCGAGACCGCCGTATTGTGCGTGTGCGTTTGCAGGTGCTGACGAGATGGTCGGTGTAGGGTAGAGCACGGCGTAGGTAGGGCAACAGGATTTAGGGAGACACGCAATACAACCTCTTGTGTTCGGTACGAAGTCAGAAAGGCGTATTAAGGGCCAATTGCTCCTAGCCGCTGGCTTTTATTACACGAATGAGATGTGGCTATACAAAGTGGATATCGTGAAACTATCGTTTCGTCATGGCACGCATCGTGCTGTACGACGCTACATCTGGTTACGATCATGTACAAGGGTAACACGAGGGTGGCATTGCGCGAGAACGTTGTGATATGAAACAGCTAAAGTGTATAATATTGCATAATGTGCGAGCCCATCATGTATGTTTCTGCTCTCGGGACACTTCGGGCGAAAACAAAGATTTTCTGTCCAAACTGCAAGAATTACCCTAACTTAACGCCAAATAATGCAATAATATCAAGTCAAACAGACAAGGCCTCAGCCCACACAGGGCTTTCTCTAGAACTCACTCTTTCACTAGTAGCGCTGGCTGCCAAATTGACCAGTAGCATAGTTTCCCCAGTTTGAGCCTGGCGCTTGGTAGCCGCCGGCAAGAGGAGAGTTACGATATCCAGAGGAGGAACCCGGGACTTGGCCGTAGGGGCTGATTGGACGCGCAAAATCGCTGGATGTTTGTCTCGTATGCATCTGGGTGTGCTGTCTGTACTGCCCTCCTGTAGCTGCTTTCCAAGACATATAATCAGGTAGCGGGGTATCACGCAGGAGAGATACCATGTTGGGTGCAGTGAGACGTTGCGAATCGTATGCGTGGGCGGGAGGCAGAATGCCCAGGAGGAAAGTAATGTCGCGTTGTAGCGCCGATGTTTGGTTACGTCGCTGTTGATCAAGGCGGCGGCCCGCAGCTCCTTTGAGTGGCGAAGCACCACGAGCGACACGCTTCGGCGGATTGAGTTCATCTTCCTCCATTCCGAATGGTCGCTTGGGGGAGGCGGTTGCACGAGAAAATTGTGGCCGTGGGCTTTGCTCCTGTCGCAAGGGGCCGGGACTATCATGACTAGGAACCGGCTGTTCGATGACGGGCATGGTTCTCTTAGGACGCATCTGCACAGCTTTCGACACAATAATTGGTGTATGAACTGGGTCAAATTTGTCCGAAGAGTATCGCTCTGTAAAAGACTTCAACCTCGGATCATCGGGGAAAAGCTCTGCCATGCGTTCCTCCAGTTTCGAGATCTGGGAGAGTTCGCCGTATTGGGATTCGTATTTGTGGAAGTAAGCGTATAACGGACGAGCCTTTGCTAGAGTTTCGGGTTTCGAAATTAGGCGATTAACGCACGTTTCGAAAACAACGCGGGCATCTACGGACGGTTAGGTTCGACTCAACAAAAAACAAATTGACATACTGGTGGTATCGTCCTTGGAATGGAGAAATTTTAGGTACTCAATCATGAATTCCTCATCATTCGGGAACAGACGCGCGCCTCGCTCGAAGATCTTGGCGCCGACAGGATCCTTGTATACGACTGACTCAAGAAGCGCAACAGCAACATATACGTCACTGGTGAGGCGGCCCCTGTGTCGAGCATCGGTGAAAACCTTGCGAAGGCCACCTTCAGTCTGAGTACCTTTGCCTTGGATTCTTCTCATTGCGCGTGCAAGAGCAATCCAGATGTAGGAAATTGTTCGGGACAAGAGCTGGCTCTCGGCCGCGTACGCTTTCTGAATAGCTTTGATACGCTCCTCCCCTGCGGACAACCTTGGCTTGCCATTGTGGTCCTCTTCTCGTTCGATGGACTGCTGCATTTCTGGGTCTTGTGCGGCAGCCTGTTTGAGTGTTGAGACTTCAAGCTTCTCACGCTCCTTGACCTTGTCACCCATGCTATAGAGAGTATCGAGGATGGCATCGTAAGGCTTCCGAGTTGCCTCAGCATATGCAAACTTGTCGCCTTCCTTCCCGGCGTATGTTGCCTCAATGCGATCGGCGAGTTTGAGCGCTAGCAAGACGCTCTGTGGGTTTGCGGCGATACCTTGCTCGAGAAAGAGTGTGCCACTTTCACTCTCGTTTTCTCGGATATCGTTTTGGAAACACCATTCCGCTGCATCAACCCACATCTCCGGCCAGAAGCGTAGGGCCATCAGAGCTTGTTTGTAGCAGTAAATGACTCTCTGTGTGTATGCCTTGGGGTCGTCCTCTTTCAGAACCAGGGGGTCATCCTTCTCCCAAGCAATCCACTTCGTCCATAGTTCAACCTGAGCCTTGTATTCGGTGTCGCCATCAAATCCAGGAGCTGGTGGAAGACGGGGTAGGCTGACTCTGTGCAGCTGCTTCGTAATATTGTCGAGGGCGATGTTGCCACTTTTGGCAGACATGTAGCCGGGCGAGCGTTCTTGGATAAATTTGCGGCCAGTAACCTTGTTGAGACCCATTTCGAACTGGTCGTACTCTTTCCACAATGAGTTCACAGTGGACATGGGTATGTTGATGGCACGATGATAGACCTTGCGCAGCTGGTCCATCTTTTGCTGGTCCTGCCAACCAGTACCCCCAATCAGGCCGGGGCCATTTTTGATGAACTGAACGTAGTCCAGCCACACATCGCCAGAGTCTCTATCAACTCCAATATTGTCGATAACAAACTCATACGATTGAGTAACCGTTCGTCTCGCTTGGCCGGAAGGATCGTTGTTTAGATCGTTGCGACGTCTGATGTAGTTGAGGTAGACGGTCCAAAGTTTGATATTGGGCACTGTCATCAAGCAGCGACCAAAGAGCTGCTCAGCGTCAACGAAATTATCTAGTCCGAGTTCCAACTCTACCCATTGAACCCAGATGTCGCTCTGCATGTTGTTAGAATTAATTGTGTCAGACGGACGACTTCTCAACTTACTGCCTGAGGGAAAACTTCCAGAAATTGGTGGTAGACTTTGCGCAATTCCTCAAGCCTGTTGCGGCTCCGATATTCAGTCATCAGATTCAGCCAGGCATCCATATCTCCTCGTGGATCCTCCTTGATTCGAGCTTCAAACAGAGTGATCGGATCAAGGCCGACCATACCTTGGGGCAGGGATGCAAAGCCCAATTGGCCAGGCGCCGATGTGCTGTCCTTTTCAGGAACGCTGTTGCCGCGCGGTACAATTCGCGCAGGTATCGATTCTTCATCATCATCGGATGCCTCGACAATGAACCCGCCAGCCATTTTGGGTCTCGACGTGGCCCGAAAAGCTGAGGGGGGGGCGAGCTCGGCAGGCGCGTCGACAGTGCCCATGCCGACGGATTCAGGATCATAGTCTGCTCCATCGTCACTGCAATCATCGTGAACATGACCTGGGTCGTACGCAGCTTCGACAGGGTTTTCAGTGTGCGACCCGTCGCGCTCAATTTGATCCCCCTTGGGTGCTGCTACATCACCACTATCCCATGATTCTTCGTCGGCCATGACTCCAGTCCGGCTAGTAGCACGAAACGACCAGCGAGCACGATGCTAATGCAAGAGGCGGCTCGTCAGCGGCGCCAGAGACACCAATCGGAAGTATTGGATAAACACGGTCGATAGGAGTTCTAGTAAGAGAGGCGCATGTGAATTCAGGAAAGTGGCGACAGCGGTGATTTGAGGTGTGCGCAGAGGAGAGCTGTCGCACGCGACCAGTATGATTGTGGCGATGGGTATTAGCGCAAGAATCGCTCGGTCGTAGGAATTCGATGGCCGACAGCTTTTCACAATTGCGTTGCCGACGTGACAGGATGGAATGGGTGAGCGTGATGATTGTGGGCGGCTACGATGTGGCCTGTTGCTTGGTCGCAAAAAATCTACCCAGCAAACAACTTAGCTACTGAGAAGCAAAGCCGATGGAGCTGCTTGGGGGCAGGCAGAACCCGAAAGGGGACTAGCCGCGCCAGGCGGTGGGCGGATGCGACAGAGGCTTCTGACAAGCAAGTCGTCATTCTACTATTAATATTATCTATTATATCTATTATAATATACATTATATACATGTCAACCAACATTTCTCCACGCGCGTTCCTTTTGTCCTCCTTCAATTCGCTAGACGCTACTGTGGGCACAATGCCTCATGATGGCAGAGAAAACCGAGTAACTACATACCCAGTGAAGCGCTCTAGTTACGTCGAAGCCAGGAAAATAAAATTCAGAAGCTTAGGGGGACAATCTACCTGTATATGTATATTGCCAGCCCTCATGGGTATCATGGCGTATTTTTTTCTACATGAATCTCATACTACTTGTCTGTTATTCTGCTCTTTTGCAGTCGCTGTGTACCTAGGTATGCTACGTCTGGAAATAGCTAGACACGTTTGTGCAACGTAGGTGGCTATCGGTAGATGGGCACGGCTGCTGATGTTGGTTGGGCATGTTCCTCTCTAGGTGCTTCCCCATGTAATATCGGGGTACAATTCGTATGTTTTGCTTGACATGGTGGCGGCATGGGTTGCGGCCTGCAGAAGAATAATCGCACCCTCCCGCGGCCAAGTCTGCTTTGCAGTCCCCCCTCCCCCGCCCCTGTCTGTTTGCATTTCGCGTTGTTGACTCTTTCAACCTTTCATCTCCACGCCCACATCCACCAACAGCTCGGACGGCCGAACTTACCCAACCAAACGGACGGCAAGCCGACGCCGTCCAACACCCGCCACTCGGCGAATTAGCCTCCGAGCTTGACCTCTTTAGCACTCATCCCCGCGCCCCGGCTGTACGATGGAGTTAAGAGGACGGACTTGCCTTTTCCATACGCCATTCCAGTTTTTTATTAGTTAGCTCGCACCTCTGTCAGCCCTTGTGTCTGCTGCCGCTTATTTATTAGCACGTTGGTTGAACAGTTCCATTCTGCCGGGGGGTTTGCCGGATCCCCACTTGCTCGGCCTTTGCTCAAGACGCGAGCCGTCGACTGGACTTGCGATTTCTCATATGGGGGGGTCCATTCCAAAATTGCTTATAATTAGGTAATTACCTTGTCGCCTCGCCTTGAGTGTCTCGGATTCTCAGCCATGTCCAATTCGGATTCTGTCATGCCGACGTCGAGTTCGCACACTTGTCTTTGACTTGTGCAGTAATCCTCAGACCTGCTGCTGGATCGTTGGTCAAGCACCGTCCAACACAACTACCAGCTTATACATACGTCCCCTGACTGCTTAAGGGATATCAACCCAGACGTGCAAGTTCAGTACAACTCCGTCGCATGCCGATAATTCTAGCGTTGTTCTGCTCTATTTTCCCCGGAGAAGTCCCCACGCTCTTCCCCGACGTCTAGATACCAAAGACAGACAGATACCACCAACATCAGCAGCCGCCACCAGCGCGGTTCTGACATCTGACAATCCGCCTCTCACTCCATCGTCCAGCCGCCATGACCCGGCCCACGTCCGGCTCCGTGTCCTCGGACACGGTCCATGAGGAGCCGCCGTACGCTGTCATTGAGGACGTTGAGAGCAACGCTACCGCCACAGTCTCCGAAAAGGCTGCCCACAAGGACCACGACGTCGAGCGCGCGCCGCCGGCGCCATCACCAGCCCCGGGCACCTCTCCGTCCGACTTTCCCGACGGCGGCCGCGAGGCCTGGCTCGTCGTCTTCGGCGGCTGGTGCGCCCTCTTCTGCACCTTTGGCCTCGTCAACTGTGTCGGCGTCTTCCAGCAGTACTATGTCACCCATACCCTCTCCCAGTACAGCGCCTCCACCGTCAGCTGGATCACGTCGACGCAAGTCTTCATGATGAACTTTCTCGGCATCGGCATCGGCCGCCTCTACGACAACTACGGTCCCCGATGGATCCTGTTGGGCGGCACCATCGTGTACGTCTTTGGTCTCATGATGACGTCGCTCGCCACGGAATACTACCAGATTTTCCTCGCCCAGGCAATTGTCGCCGCCATGGGCTCGAGCGCCATCTTCCACGCCTCCATGGCGAGCATCGTCAGCTGGTTCCTCAAGAACCGCGCCGCCGCGTACGGCATCATGGTCTCGGGGTCGTCGCTCGCCGGCGTCGTGCTGCCCATCATGATGGACCACCTCATCCAGCGCATCGGCTTCCCCAGCACCATTCGCGTCATTGCGTTTTTATTCCTCGGCCTGCTTATCATTGCCAACCTCACCATCAAGTCGCGTCTGCCGCCCAACCCGCGCCCATTTGTCCTACAAGAATACGTCGATACCTTCAAGGACGTTAAAATGGTCCTGACCATTGTCGGCTCCTTCTTCTTCATGTGGGGCATGTTCTTGCCCTTCAACTACATTCTGCTCCAGGCCCAGGCCGCCGGCATGACGCAGACGCTGGTCCCGTACCTGCTGCCTATCCTCAACGCCATTAGCATCTTTGGCCGCGTTCTCCCCGGTCTCGCGGCCGACAGGTTTGGCCGCTTCAACGTCGTGCTAGGCATCGTCCTCGCGTCGGCCATTTCCGTCCTCGCCATTTGGATCCCCGTCACCTCCACGGCGGGCATCATTGCTTTTGCCGCCCTCTTTGGCTTCTCCTCAGGCGGTTTCATCTCCCTCGCCCCCACGCTGATTGCCCAAGTCTCGGATATTCGCTTCATTGGCACACGCGTCGGCACTGCATTTGCCGTCATGGCCTTTGGTGCTCTGACTGGCAGCCCTATTGGCGGCGCCATTGTGTCGCGCCAGCATGGCGACTATATTGGCCTGCAGGTGTTTTGCGGCGTCGCTATGGTTGCTGGCTTCTTTTTCTTGGTGGCGGCTCGCTACGCCCAAGTTGGTTTCAAGATAACCAAGGTTTAAAGCTCTCTGGGGAAGAGACTTTTGAATACTAAGTATATTTTTTCAACGCTACTTATGCGATACCCAAATACAGTTGTTTTAGGCGTATGTAGACTAACGATATGGATTCAAATATGCGTCAACTGGACGTTTGCATTGTAATGATTTCATGAATTAGATTCATATATAAATCACGAAAAAGACTTTCTCTCTTCTACTGAGCTGTATTACTGCCTTGTACTGCTTGCGCGAGGATGCAATATGGTGTGCGTTCAATATGAAATGGCAAAAACGACAACAAAAAAGACTAAGTGAGGTATGGACAAACGGGGAATCGAACCCCGGACCACTCCCAATCGTTGTACCCGCTGGAACAGCAGATGCTAAGGGAGTATTATACCACTAAACCATTCGCCCAGCTGTACTTAGATGCAAGAAAGCCGCGCAATCTAGTACCAAGAAGCGAGCTACAGCGGCTACAGAACCGCCGTGACTGAAATGAACAGCTCAACGAGCGCCGACGCTAACTATAAAAAAGCATCAATTCCACAAACCATTATGGACCTTATCTAGTTCAGAAGGTTTACACAACTTGACATACTCTAGCTTCACTTATTATTCCTTTCGACGGTAGGATAAGCTGCCAGTGCTTAGCCTGGGACAGGCGCGTTGGTGAAGGATCAGTGTTTCAGATGACTTCTGGGGGATCTTCTGTGGCTCAATAGCAATAGCAAAATGTCCACTCAAGAAACAGGATAATATGGTTGTTCTATCAATATATTGATAACCTTCCCTCCAGATCCATGAGCTGGTTCGCAGAATTATAGCGACACTTCACGCTTCGGCATTACCAAGCCCACCAGCGCCTATCTTCACAGGTCACAATATCAGGATAATTCTCTCGCCTACAGGAAACTCAGAACGTATTATTTTCCCCTAGGAATTTTCTACCACGATTGTGTTGGCAATTGGGTCGAGTACTCGGTTCCAAAGCACTGACTACTTGGCCCAGCGCAAACCTGAAGACACTACCCGCACTGGTGGGCGGTTCGTGATCTCTGGGACAGGCTTCCGGCCGTGGCGCTGCGAGCTCTCATTTTGACCCAAAGCATACTTGGGTGCCGGCCAGTCCGGGATGCAGAGGAACTATAGCGGCGCGCCAGCTTTGCAGAGCGGACGCGAATGCCTCTGCTGAGTAGTCTCAGGCAATGTCTAACTCGACCGTTCTCGGACCGTCGCTGCCCTCGACACAAAGTTCGGTTCTGTGAAGGTCACAGCTGCTGACCGCCTCTGGCACGCTGTCTGAGGGTCAACAGGGAGCCAGCCATATAGTATAGGGTACGGCAATGTATTCCCGATAAACTCAGGTATTGTATATTCATTCGATCATTTTTTTCGACAAAGTCGTGCATCAACAGTGGGCCACAAGCAAAGCCACCCATCTCAAGAGATCGCATCGAAGGGACATCCACCAGCACTGTAGTGATAAGCTCATCAAGTCTGGGGTCGTCCTCCAGAAAAGACTTTGAGAACGAAAGGGGCCATAGATTAGTAGCCCAGGTTGATACCAGGATCAGACTTGAAGCATCGCGGTTGGCCGACTCCAAGGTGGGAGTATTTGAACTTCGATACCAAAATTGTATTTTTGCTGTATGGAGATTGTATAGAAATCTTCGTAATTATAAGGTGTGTTCATCTTGGCGGAACTTGACTTGTACCACGTCCATTAGTAGGCAGGTAGATACGTAAGACTGTGGCAGTGTAAGACAGCTAGACACACTCAGTTATTGCTAGTTATTTGACGTTGGATAAACTTTTTCTTTTCTTCGAAAATGCAAATGCATTTTAACTACATGGTGTGGAAGCATAACTGTTGCCAAACTTTATTCCCCCACAGACTTGTTTTCTTTATGCCTGGGCAGGGCTAGCGGGCCACGTTGTCAGGGAGATTGGTCCGCGCAACGCGCTGGACTAGCGGGCTCGGGAGCTTGCGGCCGCTACAGCACCTGTAAAAAGCGTCATAACCCTTCTCCGAAAGTGTCCGCTGTTAGTGCCGCTGCGGGCACACCCGCCATTCCGCTATCATTGTAAACAAGCACGAACTTGCCCAGCCGGAATAATCTCCTCAACCTCATCTCCAACCTGGCCCACCGCCCCGAACGCTGGAGTGCTCTTGTCTCTCTTGTCGCTCTTGTCCCGTCTGGACAGGTTTTTGTTTTGGAAACCTCTCGTCTTCCCAGCACACCCCCTCCCAAGGCAAACCACGCATCTTCCTGCGAGGCACACCCGCTCACCCCCCACCAGGACGGCCGAGTCCTCCCCTCCTTTTGTGTGTTTATAATACTGCCGTGCCCGCCAGGAGTAGCTGCTCCTTTTTTCGCTCACCATGTCCGGCAACACCATGAGAGGGACGCCCACCCGCAATCAAGGCAGGGGCAACATCCCCTTTGCCAACAGTCCTGCTACTGTCTCTGGCATTCCACGACCGGCCGCCGAGGCGCAGCCCTCCGAAGCCGGCTCCTCGGTCAGCGCCAGTCGTCAGAAGCAGAGCAAGCGTGATGAGGTGCGTAGCTCGACGGGACTATTCCTGGAGGCGCCAATGCCCTGACCCGGGCAGTGGCAGCCGCCGCAGAACCCCAATCGTGTAAGAAACAAAGTTGCTGACTCGAATCCGCATCGGCAGGCGATCCGCCGAAAGATTGAGAATGACCTCTCCAAGAAGAAGAACCTGACGAACCGTGCGCGACACTCCCGCAAGGCCCCCCCGGGCACCGTCATGGCCCTCAAGCCTAGCCAGGCCCTTCAGATAAAACCTGGCACGACTGTCTCCGAGGCTGCCCAGCTCATGGCCGCTAAGCGGGAGGACTGCGTTCTGGTGACTGACGATGACGATCGAATTGCTGGCATCTTTACCGCTAAAGATCTGGCTTTTCGCGTTGTCGGCGCCGGCCTTAAGTCGAGCAGCGTCACAATCGCCGAGATTATGACCAAGAACCCTCTCTGTGCCCGAACTGACACCAGCGCCACCGATGCTCTCGACCTCATGGTCCGCAAGGGTTTCCGCCACTTGCCCGTCATGGACGAGAACCAGGATATTTCTGGTGTTCTCGATATCACAAAGTGCTTCTATGATGCCATGGAGAAGCTCGAGCGCGCCTACTCGTCGTCGAGAAAGCTCTACGATGCCCTCGAGGGTGTCCACTCTGAACTGGGCACTAACCAACCCCAGCAGATCATCCAGTACGTCGAGGCTCTGCGCAGCAAAATGTCCGGGCCAACTCTGGAAACGGTCCTCAACGGAATCCCCCCCACAACCGTCAGCGTACGGACATCTGTCAGGGAGGCTGCTGCGCTCATGAAGGAAAACCACACCACCGCCGTCCTCGTCCAGGACCAGGGTGCGATCACCGGCATCTTTACCAGCAAGGACGTTGTTCTGCGTGTCATTGCGCCTGGTCTGGACCCCACCAACTGCAGTGTCGTGCGTGTCATGACTCCCCATCCCGACTTCGCTCCCATGGACATGACAATCCAGGCTGCTCTCCGCAAGATGCACGATGGCCACTACCTCAACCTTCCCGTCATGAACGATAGCGGGGAGATTGTCGGCATGGTCGACGTCCTCAAGCTTACCTACGCTACGTTGGAGCAGATCAACTCCATGTCGACTGGTGACGGCGAGGGCCCCGCTTGGAGCAAGTTCTGGCTGTCCATTGAGAATGAGACCGAGTCCATGATCTCTGGTGACGGAAGCCAGCACCACAACACAAACCTTGGATCGCGCATGATGACTCCGGATGTCACCCGTGATCGCTTAGGAGACAGCGTTGCCCCCGGCGACTCGGCTTCTCATGTTGGATCTCAGCACGATCTAGAAGTACCCCCCGCCGATGTCCCGTTCCCTTTCAAGTTCAAGGCGCCGTCGAACCGAGTCCATCGTCTGCAGGTCATTGCCTCACAAGGCATTGAGATCTTTGTTGCTGCCGTCGCTTCAAAATTGGGCAATGAGGTGGAGTCCGTCGGTGGCGTGCCAACGGCCGAAGATGGCAAGCTGGGCAACACTGGCTTTGCCGTGAGCTACATGGATGATGAAGGCGACACCGTCTCCATCACGACAGACAACGACCTGCTTGAGGCTATCCTGCTTGCGCGCCAGGGCCAGCGCGACAAGGTTGAGCTTTTTGTACATGATCCTGAGAAGCCTCTTGCGACTCCAGCCGCTGTTGAGACGCCGGTACTTGCTACCCCTCCTACATCGACTGCTCCGGTTGTCCGCGAAAGACGCCGAGCGTATGATGAGGAGGAAGAGGAAGAGGAAGAGGATGATGATGAGGATGGACCTACGCCTGTACGTAGATCGCGCCGGACGCGCAACGCGGCGGCTCCGGCACAGGAACAGCTCATTGCCGGCGTTCCCAACGACTTGTTACTCCCCGGCGCTATTGTGACGCTGGCCGTGGTGATTGTTGGTGTCTTTACGATTGCGAGGGCTACCAGCCGCTAAGGAGGCGTTATTGTACTGGAGCAGCATGTTGTACAAGTCATTAAAGCTGCGTGTGTTTTTGCCATGGGTAGAATATTTACTATGTAATATGAAATGAGCCTTGTTTTACGACTATAATCATCTTTGTTTCTGACGCCCGGCGTGAGATCTGGGGCCTTTATGGGCTCCCATAGTTTGTTACGTGGATTTGTGACGTCTTGAATAATTTTGCACTGAAAATTGACAACTTTGACCATCACCAGATGTGGCCAATGGATTGTTTTAACTTGATGCAGTTCTAACTACTCGCTTGGTACTAATACTGGGCGGCCCCTGGGTGGGAGACCAGAAGCACCCATGGTCCGTGCACCACAACGAGAAAAGGCGGCAATAATTTTTTGGAGCTCTTTGGAAGAGCTTCGACGGCCCCGCGGTGACGACCCTCCAACAACCGCCTCTCCTGCATACTCGAGAAAATCACATCAACACGTCCATTTCCGGCATCTAGGATACGGCGACTCTAGCGAAACACCGCCATCATGTCTTTCGGGGGCCAGACTCCCACCATTATCGTCCTCAAGGAGGGTGAGTCGCTACCCCCACCGCCGCCTGCTTCCACACCACACAAACGACACAATCAGGCAGCGCCGCCGTCCCCCCGCGACAATATCGCCACGCACCGTCGCGCGAGGATAAAATTGGCTAACTCTCGATTTTAATTACAGGCACCGATACTTCACAGGGCAAGGGGCAGATCATCTCCAACATCAATGCCTGTCTCGCCGTCCAGTCCACGATAAAGTCGACCCTTGGTCCCTACGGTGGCGATCTGCTCATGGTCGACGAAAATGGCAACCAGACCATTACCAACGATGGCGCCACTGTCATGAAGGTTGGTGACGAACCGTCCTCTTTCGGTGTCGCGACGTAGTAGTCCATTTCTAACCCCTGGTAGCTCCTCGACATTGTTCACCCCGCCGCCCGCATCCTCGTCGATATTGCACGATCGCAAGACGCCGAAGTTGGTGACGGTACCACCTCGGTCGTCGTCCTCGCCGGCGAAATCCTCAAGGAGGTCAAGGAGCATGTGGAACAGGGTGTCAGCTCACAGATCATCATCAAGGGTCTGCGGAGAGCCTCTAAGCTGGCCATCAACAAGATCAAGGAGATTGCCATTGCCACCAATGATACCAACCAGCGCGATACCCTCAACAAGCTGGCCGGCACTGCCATGACCAGCAAGCTCATCAAGCGCAACACTGAATTCTTCACAAAGAGTAAGACACCGCGTACCAATCCATAGACCACTGTGCTAACGTTCCCTAGTGGTTGTCGATGCCGTTCTCTCCCTCGACCAAGATGACCTCAACCACAAGTTAATTGGCATCAAGAAGATTCCCGGCGGCTCCCTCACCGAATCCCACTTCGTCAACGGTGTCGCTTTCAAGAAGACCTTTTCGTATGCCGGTTTCGAGCAGCAGCCCAAGGCTTTCAAGAAGCCCAAGATTGTCTGCCTCAACGTTGAGCTGGAGCTCAAGGCCGAAAGAGACAATGCCGAAGTCCGTGTTGAGCAGGTCTCCGACTACCAGGCCATTGTCGATGCCGAATGGCAGATCATCTTCAAGAAGCTCGAGGCCATCTCCGCCACGGGCGCCAAGGTCGTGCTCTCCAAGGCTCCTATCGGCGATCTTGCCACCCAGTACTTTGCCGACCGTGACATCTTTTGCGCAGGCCGTGTTACCTCTGAAGACATGGAGCGCGTCGTCCAGGCTACTGGTGGTGTCATCCAGTCCACCTGCTCCGACATTCTGCCCGAGCACCTCGGTGTCTGCGGCATCTTTGAAGAGCGCCAAATTGGTGGCGAGCGATTCAACTTTTTCGAGGACTGCCCCGCGGCCAAAACCTGCACATTGGTGCTGCGTGGCGGCGCTGAGCAGTTTATTGCCGAGGTGGAGCGTTCGCTGCATGATGCCATCATGATTGTCAAGCGCGCAATCAAGAACCGCATGGTTGTTGGTGGCGGCGGTGCCGTCGAGATGGAGATTTCTGCCTACCTGCACCAGTACGCCGACAAGAACATCCAACACAAGGAGCAGACTATCATCAAGGCCTTTGCCAAGGCTCTCGAGGTGATCCCCCGCCAGCTGTGCGACAATGCCGGATTCGACGCCACCGATATCCTCAACAAGTTGCGCGTGGAGCACCGCAAGGGCGCGATCTGGGCCGGTGTCGACTTCCAGAACGAAGGCATCACCGACATGGTGAAGCGCTTCGTCTGGGAGCCCGCGCTGGTCAAGATCAACGCCATCCAAGCGGCGACCGAGGCCAGCTGCCTGATTCTCAGCGTCGACGAGACGATCAGAAACGAGGAGAGCGCGAAGCCACAGGCCCCCGGCCAGCTGCCTCCCGGCGCTGCCCAACGTGCCGTCAGAGGACGTGGACGTGGCATGCCCCGCAGGTAAATAAGGGTTGAAAAGAACAAAAAAAAAGAAACGGAAGTAGGGGAGCGGACGACATGACAAAACAAACTGGTTTACAAAAGCATTGTGAGACGTCTGGATCTGTGAGATACCTAGAATACATAAACTCTATAGATTCTATGGAGAACTAGCTTCCATTGGAAGCACCTACACTGGATCAAATGTGTCTTTCTGTTGTAAATTATGTGCAAAATATCATGTATATACACCGGCGTCTCTACCAACTTTTCAAGGGGGTATCATGTAGAGACTTTGTTAAAGCTTGACTCAACTCCGGAAAATACCCGCGTCAAGTCCATCCTCTCGTGTCTCGCAATAATGAATCATCCAAATCGTCCATGTCGGCATCTGCCACACCCTCACCACCGCCGCCGCTATTACTTTCAAGCCCCGCGCTGCCACCGTGCGTCTTGTGCACTTTGCCCAGCACGCCACCACAGTCATCACCGTCGTCCTCGCCGTCGACGACACCCACCCCGTGCTCAATCAACATCTCCAGGTCACGGTCCACGGCCGCCGCTGCCGCCGCCGCCGCCGCGCCGTCATCCTCCTCGGTCGCGTTCAACAACGCCTGGAAGTCGGCGTGCGGGTGGTAGCCGTCAAACGCGGCATCGTCGTCGTGGTTCATGATTTGCGGGTCAATGGGCTGATAGACATCGTCGTCATCATTGGGAGGTGCTGCGTGGCCGTTGCTGTGCAGGAACCCGCCGCCGCCGCTGTGGAGCGTCGTCTGGGAGGGCCGCACGACGGAAATGTCGCTCGGGTTGGCGTAGCCGTCGCCGCCGTGGTGGTGGTGCAGCAGCGGGTTGACGGTGGACGGCGCGGACGAGAGGCCGCTGCACAGCAGCAGCGTGCTGTTTGTGTGGTGCGTGCGCAGACCTAGTACGCGGTCGGTGTCTGTCGTCGTGGTCAGAGACGACGTGTGACGGGCGCTCTCCGGCGCGCTCCGCGGCGGCAGGGTGGATGATGAACCAGCGTGGCTGTTATCCGGGGACGGAGAGCGAGACCGCTTGACGCCGGCCACGGGCGTTGTCGGCTTGGAGACGGCCCCCCGCGTCGTCGCTGTCTGCGCCGCCACCGCTACTCCCCCGCCGCTGGTCGTCGTCGCGCCGGGTGGCACCTTGGCGAGCTCTTTGCACTCCTTGCAGAGGCGGATGACGTCGCTGACCGTCTCCTTGATCCTGCTCCAGTGGTACTTTTCCGCAATAATGGCCGTCGTCTTGTTGATGCCGCCGTGCTGCACGCTGTGCGTCTCGCGCGCAATCTCGTACTGCCGCGCCGGGTCCGACACGACCAGCTTGTCCTTGAGCATGAGCGTGTCCCCGTCCTCGAGCAGCTTATAGTGCGTCGCCGCGGACCGCAGGCGGCTCTTCTCAGCCCGATCCGCGCCGTCCGGGTACCGCCCAAACTTGAGGTAGTAGCGGATCTTGTCGAAGCGCTCCTCGCTGACGACGCCGTCGTCGGCGTCACCAGCGCCCGCGTCCCCGGCGTCGCGCGGCGGCGGCAGGTCCCGGCCGTAGATGATGGCGTCGATGAGGCGGTCCGGGTGGCTGCGCAGGTTGCCGCAGCCCTTGACGCGGCCGATGCGCTTGAAGCCGAGCGCGTCCCAGATCTTGCAGCTGGCGACGTTGGTCTCGTACACGAGGTTGAAGACGCTGTACGTGTACCCGAGGCGCGGCGCCCAGTCAATGTACGACTCGCCCATGAGGCGGCCCACGCCGCGGTTGCGCGAGGCGTCGGTGACGAGCAGGCCCCCGTTGCACACGTGGCTGCTGCGGCCCGGGTAGTTGGGCTTGATGTAGAAGCTGCCCAGGCAGTCGCGCGCCCAGTCGTGGCTGTCGGGGATGCGGTCGGTGCTGCCGGAATAGTCGCCGAGCAGCATGACGGCGCCAAAGTTCTGGAACCAGTGCGCGGCAAAGGCGGGCGGCGTGAAGGCGTCCATCATGGGGTACGTGTCGCCGCCTTCAATCTCGCGGTTGATTTGCCCGCAGAGGTAGGTGATGAGCGACGCCGGCACCTGCTGCGCGGCGGAGACAATGGGGAGGATGGTGGCCACGGTCTGTCGGTCCCGCAGGGTCACGCGCCGGGGCACAATGGTGGCCGGGAGAGGCGCGCCGGGGTCCGGGAACGGGGATTGCCCGGAGACGCGGTAGATGGTGGGGCTGGCCGGGTCGTCGACGACGGCAGGCATGGCGGCGGCATGGGGGGGCAGGCTTTCTTTTTTTTTGGTGGGTAAATGAAGAGGTGGTGGATATAAAGACGGTGATTTTCCACGTCCGCACGTAAACTATCACGTTTTTGTCATTATTTTCCTGGTTCCCCCAACTCCTGCGGTGTAAGTGGACTTACACCGGGCTGAACAGGGCTACGCCCGTCAACGGTGACCGGACCGCTGTAAGCGAAAAGCCCACAGCACAGGCAGACTACTGCGGGCTGCTGCAGTGCAACCGGGGGACTTCCCCTGCAGTGCAGCTTGATCTTCGGACGGCACTAACGAGGACGGCCAGGGGAACAAACCTGGTTCGACAGCTGCGGCGGTGTTCTGAAATGTGCGTGCCTGTCTTTTCCCGTGCCAGTTGGTAAGGAAACTTCGCAGGACCAGATTTTACGCAGGTGAGCCGGCATTTTCTGTTTGGCATCGGAGGGGATTATCTATTTTGCCGTATGTTCGAGCTACCCCTACGGATGGAACTTGCAAGCGGAGCAACAACGAAATACCACCGACAGAAAGAAGAGAAGAACGAGAAATCAAGGAAAGTACAATTACCGTCTTCTAAACTTTACTTAGTGAGGGGAGCGATTTTTCTTGGCAATCCCTTTCGTCCATCTGCCTTTGTAAGGGCACACCGACTCACACCAAGGCGCCGCGTAGTCCTGCAAGGTAATAGGTAGTATACAGTATACATTCATTCAGCTATACAGGCCCCTGCTGGATATTCTAATTATACATTGGTGCTCTTCCCACTTTGTTGTTCCCCTTTCCCTGCTACCTTGTAAACTACAGCTTCAGGGGTTACTTGCGAATCTCTGCAATCTCAGCCTCGAGTGCAGAAGCGTGGCCCTTGGCCTGGTCCAGACGCGCCGCGATGTCGCTCGCCAGGTCTGCGGCGGGCGCATCTTCCTCGGCCGTCTCTTGCACGGACGCCTCGGCCATCATGTTGACCATGTCCGCCTCGCTGACCGACTTGGCAGCGCCGTCGTACTCGGTCTGCAGAATTTCGAGCTCCTCCTCGGTGAAGCCTACGAGGTTGGCCTGCATGCGGCCCATGACCTCCTTGCGCTGGTTTACAGCCACCTTGATGTCTCTTTTGATCTGGCTCGCCAGCGATGGGGGTGTCTGCCACGTCACGTTGCCGTTCTTGGCATCGGCGAGACGGCGCTCTTGGCCTCGCTGACCGGCACGGGCCAGCACACCGCCGATGACGGCAATCGATCGCAGACTAGTAAATGATTAGTTTGGTATTCCTTTGCACAGGCCATGGGACGCAGCAAATGCCATACCTATCGTCGTTGGCGGGAATCGTATATGATACCCATGTAGGGTTGGCATTGGTATCGATGACACCAATGGTAGGCACGCTTGCCAACCCGCATTCGTACAGCAGTGTATAGTTCTCCGTGGGGTTCAAGCACACAACTAGGTCCGGCACCAGAGGGCGCGCGCTGTTCTTGTACCCGTCAAACCCCTCTAGCTCCCCGTCCTTGCCGTCGACCACCTTGACACCCTTGTTCTTGAGAATCACGTCACGGTTCGTAATACTCCCCGGAATCCACTTGGTATACAAGTGGCACGCGCGCGCCAACTCCGCCGCGCGTGTGACAATCTCCATCTGGCCCGGGCGGTTACCGACAAACAGGACGAGACCGCCGCGGTACGCCACGTCCTCAACGACGCGGGCAGCGCGGCGCAGGTGCGCCGCCGTGGCCTCGAGCGAGATGATGTGGATGCCCTGGCGGGCGCCGTAGATGTACCTCGCGTTGGCCGGGTTCCACAGCGACGTGTTGTGGCCCATGTGCGTCTGCGAGGCCAGGAGCAGCTCCAGGGACACGTCCTCGGGCGCGGGCGGGTGCGCAATCAGCTCCGACGGCACGTAGCGCCGCTCGAGCAACGTGCCCGTCGCCCGCGTCGCCCGCTGCACCCGCTCAAACTCGGCGTACTGCTGCTTCGGGGTGCGGCCCTGGTGGGACCGCGTCCACTGCGGCCCGTGGTGCTCGTGGCCGGTGTTGGTGCTAAGGCTGATGGAGGCATTGTCGCGGCGCTGCTTCTTCTTGGACGCGGAGAAGAGCTTCGGCGGTGAAGGCGGCTGCTCGGTCGGCGCGCCGGGCCATGCTTGGGTCGTGGGCGTGGCGGTCGCGGTCGTGAGATGGCGCAGGAGCACGGAGCGGCCAACAGGGGCGGCCAATTGACGGCGGCCTAGGCGTGGGAGTTAGTCCGGCGGTTTTCGAAGTGACCGGGCTTGTGGATTCAAGGACTCACCATGCCGCACTGCAGCGTTGCGTATTACCATTCTTGTGTTGCTGCGCTGAGAGATGCCTTCTAATTGCGCATGCCCGATCGTCGACAGCCAAATTTTTGGACTGTTCGTCCACGCACCGTCGGACCCAGAATTTTCCGCCCCGCTTAATTGCAGTACCTCGATGATGAGCAGTGAGTGAGAGCAGCTATGAGATTGACTGAATACATATATGTTTTAATGATCCTCTTCATAATTATTTCACCCAACGTCATTGTATCTATTCCTACGGAAATCTCATCCGACGAACATGGCTAGATACTGTATTGAGTGAGAGTGAACAAGGTTTAGTGTTTGTACTGTACTACTCTCAAACAATGCAAATCGCTTTTTCAATATCTATTCATCATCAACTTATGCTTAAGCGAGCTGGTGTTGACGTCGGTCGGCCAGCTTGTGGCGCCGATGTAAACAGCTGATCGGAAGTCAATGTGCTGAGACTACAAATCCGTACCAGCCAGCGCTTCAACAGTAACTAACTACTTTTTTAAGCCATGGTTTCCATGGGCACATGTAACTAAATTATACTTGCACATTTTATATCATTCATGACCTGGCGTGCTAATAACACTATCTATGACCCATGACGACCAGTTTGCTGTCCAGCGACTAGTTAGCCACCTACCCTGCAAAGACGAGTACTTGTTCCATGATCTTGCTTATTATGGCTGTCTCCCTGGCCAAAAAAAAAGAGAACGAGAAAAGTCCTCACGGTTTCTTTCCTATTCCTCATCTCAAATAAAGGCTTTAATTTGTAACAGACCACTACCTGGCCTGTTGGAGAGCAAATAGCCCACTAACACCCCGTCAGCCTCCCGGCCGGGTCAAAGACAACAAGTCCACACGGTGTCCAGCTCGTCCAGCTCCGATACAATTGCGGAAAATATCCTGACTCGCTTCTCCCTTCGAGCACCCTTCAGTTTCGTCTTTATGACCGTAGTGCTTACGCTGATACGTTGTTGTGGTGGCCCTTCTTGTTGACCTACGTAACTACCTATTGACTTCTGATTGATGGGAGCACCCTATGGCGTCCTACTCCAACAATACATGACGACGACGTTGGCTCAAACTCTAGAGATGGAGTATTATTACACTTTTCTTATGACTATTTGCAATTGAGTCTCTACAGTCGCTTCGCATCCTCACAACCCCAAAGAGGAAGGAATAAACAGTTTTGGAAGCGCCCACTTGGACCCCTCTGAACCCATCGCCCAATCGTTCATTCATGCGGCTGCATCTCGCCGTTCTGTGTGGAGCCTCGCTATTTCCATGTGTCTTTGATTATTGGGCGAGGGATGCAGTGGTGTAGCGCTGTCGTAGATCCACCTCGATTCGGATGATGCAGTCCATTCGTTTATAATGAGAGGATGAAAGAGGTGTTACCCTGTGCGCATAAGTCCATACAAGGTATTTCAAGAGAAATTAATCTCAATGTGCGGACAAAGAGCCCAAGTTTGCCTGCCCTTGTATCCGTACCTCGTGCCACAAGAGCCGAGGCGACACAGAACCGTTGCAGTGACAACCTGTCAAAAACGTCCGTGATGGCTGCTGTATCGCCCTTACGACAAGGCCACCCCATTGATGGGCCAAAGGCCATCAGACCAAGACGCTGAGCCGTACCAAACATACTTTTTTGTCTGCCCTGTTTCACGCAGCCTCCCTCGGGGCGCTCGGGTGATGGGTTGGTGGTGCGACGGAACACCACCAGGACAAGGGCCGTTGCTGTGGCGACCAAGTCAACAGGCCACGGCGACACCCCCCAGCTAGACTGCAATGCAAGGTCCCTCCGTCCTGGATCTATATCCACCATCAGACCTCTTGCCTCTTCCATATCTCTGATTCCCTCCATTGCCAAAAAGAAGACGAGACACTCTCCATTGCTACTGTTGTATATCCTACTACAGAGTTGCAAAGACCTTCTACAAAGAAGCGCTTGACAAGCTTGCCATTCTAGCCTGAAATACGGCTCTTTACCACTTACACGTGTTCTCGCAAGTCGAACTCGACTGAGCAGAATCAAACCAATCTTTTAGCCCGGCGCTCTGTGCTTGCGCTGCGTGAGGTAAGGCGATGCTCTCAAGACGCTCGCATGATGCATGAGGAGTCAATGCTGATTGCGCTGCACTCGCAGTTTCGGACCTACAGGTTCCCATCATCGACAAACTTCGACCTACGACAATTCATTCCGGACTCCCCTTGCGACCAATATGCTGTCCAATCCAACTACAGACCTTCACCCGAGGCAGAGGCAACACCGCCGCCAAAACTCGACACCCTCTGCCTCTGAGGTGAGGTCCCAGAACCTGCACACCCCCCTCAGCAACATCAGCAACCGACGACGAGCCGCGGCCCATCGTCGCGGCCTCAGCCTGGACACCCGACGCTTCCAGCAAATGCTAACACCGACGACAACACAGCAGGACAGCACGGTAAGTATGAGTACTAACAACACAGGATTAGCCAACACTTCGCAGCATCGACAACTGCGAGAAACGCAGCAGCAACGCACACAAGCACGCCCGGGCCAGCAGCCCAACCAGAATCCCTACCTCGCCATGAGGCACGGTGATACTGAAAACTTTGTGATTCCCCCCAACCATGCCCCTTACAGCCAACGTTTCGATGCCTCATGTTTCGAGTCGAGCACTGCTCCCTTTGCCCCCTACGCCGAGCAGGTCAACATGATGATGCAGAGAAACCAAGGGAGCTATGGTACCAACTTGTCAAGCGCCAAGGACTTTGACCTCTTCACTGTCGAAAACGCCCAGTCCATGCCCTCCTATGCCGCCATCCCAGAGAGCCCCAGCCAGGCTTGGGTGGCGGACGGAGGTAATGCAACCATCCGCCGCTCAGCTCGCCGAATCAGCGACGGCATCATGGACCGCGTCGCCATTTTTGAGAGTATCAACAGTGAGGAGGCCCAAGTTCCTTCAACGCCACCCAACCAGCATGAGGATGGTGAGCCAGCTTGGTCGACCGAGTTTCTGTCTTCAAGTCTAACACCTGTAGCTTATATGCCGCCCACCCCTAGGGACACACCTCATAACCGGGCTATCAAGCAGGAAGCTCGCCCAGCCAGGTTCTCCGAGGACTATGACGACAGCATGGAGGAGACTCTCAAGCCCACACGCACCCGCAGTCACCCCCGTGCTCAAGACCTATTCCAAGATATGCGCCAGCAAGCCCAGATGACCAGTGCTGTGCTCAGCCCTCCACGGTCCACGCCACTCCCCAACTCCAAGACTTTCAATAACGTGCCGATGCACGCTCCCGATTACATGAGCATGAACACGTTTAAGAGTGAGTTTATGAAGATGGACGAGTTTGATGCTCTCTCGCGTGATGCCGATTTTCTCTCTACCGATGAGCTATCTCAACACACCACTCCCGACATGCAGCACATGGGTAGCTTTGGCACTGGATATGACAGCCAGGCAGAGTATCAAAACTATGAAGAGGTCACTGCGGCGCACCGCCAAAAGCGCTCGATGCACCGCCGCACAGAATCCATTGCCAGTATAGCCAGTGCCGCCAGCATTGCCAGCATCAACATTGACGAGACCAAGACGGACACAGGCGTCACGACGGAAGAGATTGCCCAATTCATACGGAGTCCCGATGCCAGCGATGGCAAATGGGTGTGCCTGTATGAGGAGTGCGGCAAGGAATTTGGTCGCAAGGAAAACATCAAGTCGCACGTCCAGACTCATCTCAACGACCGCCAGTACCAGTGCCCGACATGCAGGAAGTGCTTTGTCCGCCAACACGACCTCAAGCGCCACGCTAAGATTCACACGGGCGTCAAGCCTTATCCTTGCGAGTGCGGCAACAGCTTTGCTCGCCACGATGCCTTGACGAGACATCGGCAGCGCGGCATGTGCATTGGTGCGTTCGATGGCGTGGTACGAAAGATTGTCAAGCGTGGCCGCCCTAAGAAGAACCGACCGGACATGGAGACGCGCATGGACAAGTCAGCGAGAACGAGGAGAAAGAACAACTTGTCTATCAGCTCCATGTCTTCGTTCTCTGGCTACTCGGATAGCTCCGTCGCCAACTCTCCCGAGGCCGACTTTGACATGAATGACCAGGTCATGGACATGGGGCCGATTGACTCGTCGATGCAGGGCATGGCTGCGCTATCCTCTGCGCCCATGCCCACTATGGTGAGCCGCCGAACCGCGGACGTGGCTCCGTCTCCATCCGTGGCCAGCCTGCACTCATACGTCTCGCCCGAGGCCATCATGGACAAGGAGCCTGCGTCTCCGGCCAGGAGCGCCGCCAGCCACTACCGCAGCCCCCCTTCGCTGATGCACTCGTCCTCGCCGCCACCAGCCGCTCTATTTACCGTGGACGGCAACTCCTCCATGGGAGCCGATGAGCTGTCTGGCATGCTTCGTGGAAGCGGCATGGTCGAGTCGGCAGCAGCAAACACCACCCTGCCAATGAGCATTGGCCAGCAAGAAGAAGACATTATGCTGCAATTTACCAATGACGACGGTCTCATTCAGCTCGAGCGCGACCCCAGCATGTTGATGATGAACAAGTATGACGACGAGTTCAACATGTTTACCAATGATGATGAGCTCTTTTTTGGCACTTCTTCATGATACGACACGGCTGACGAGCGTCGCCAATCTTGTGTTTATTGTATGACTATTATCGCGTCACATATGTCTTTTGTCTTTTTTTTTTTCCGTGTTCTGCCATGGGTATTTACCAAGTCACGCCAATAATGCTGGGAGTGGATTTTGAGTCTACAGAACGATGATGCTCCTCACGGCGGGACTTTTCACTTTTGCCCACTGTTTTTGGGGTTTGCGCACGGGGAAATGCGTCGCTAAAATAAGACTCTTGCTGGAATCTGGGAAGCGAGGGCGGTGTTTTGGATTTGCTTTGGGGTTTCCTATTTGTACAATTAGAGGGATGGGATGATTTGAATGAGTCTGCTTTTTGTTGTTGACGTTTTGATCAAGAACGACCGGGTTCATGTTTCGAAAGAGGAGGATTGACAGTGGCTGTATGCAGTTGCAGCGGCTTCGGGTCCTTTTTCATGGCAAACTAGAAATATGAATCGACCTTGATGATGAGAATTGATGCAAACGACTTCGATGTGCATGTAACTAAGTAGAAGGCTGATATTTCGACAACAAGAATTGGTCAAATGACAACAAGCTAACCGAATTGGTAGCGACGCAGAGATTAACGATTCAGACGATACAGACGATACGGGCGATACGGGCGATACGGGCGATACAGGCGATACAATAGGTGTTATTATCGCAGATTCAGGGGCTAGAACGACGCCTAAACTAGTTAACAATCAATGCCGCCGGCTTCATCATAGCGAATTTATATTACAGCTATCGTGGCAGCCTTAAGAGGTACAATTAATACTCAATACTCGTTTATCCCCTATAAAACTTGGTGGAGTGGCTACGTGGGTCTATACCAATTCGGTTTAGCTTGTTGTCATTTGACCAATTCTTGTTGTCAAAATATCAGCCTTCAACTAAGTAGGTGCCTCTTTTAGTATTGAGGAGCGACAGGTTGAGCTTGCCTTGCCCCTTGCGCACCAAAATTGGCGGCCCCACACCGCCCTCTGCTCTCCAGGCAGAAAAAAAGTGTACCTCCACCCATTGGTTGCCAGTGGCTTCCATCGACTTGTGTGCCCGCGATTCCCTCGAACAAACCTCACCAACTTGCTGCGGCCCCTTTTAGACATACATTCAGCGAGCCCAGCACCGAATCCGATAAACATGTCTGCCGCGCAGCTTCTCAACCCAAAGGCCGAGTCCCGCGTGCGTATTGCGTCCCGCACACCGACCCCGACCGATACATCCCACATTTCAGGTCGCTAACTGCCAGCAGAGGAGGGGCGAAGCTCTAAAGGTCAACATCAGTGCGGGCGAGGGTCTCCAGGATGTCCTCAGGTCCAACCTGGGCCCTCTGGGCACAATCAAGATGTACGTTGCACCGTGCGAACAATTTAATTGTCAACATGCTGACCGACTCTTTCTTAGGCTTGTCGACGGCGCCGGCCAGGTATGCACAACCCGCCATCCCGCTCCTTTGGCGCGTCCAACGTTCGAGGACGCCACTTTCTAACGGCCGCCGAACACTACAGATCAAGCTCACAAAGGATGGCAACATTCTTCTCCGCGAAATGCAAATACAGAACCCGACCGCGGTCATGATTGCCCGCGCTGCCACCGCGCAAGACGATATTTGCGGTGACGGCACCACCTCTGTCGTTTTGCTCGTTGGTGAGCTGCTGAAGCAGGCCGAACGCTTCATCTCCGAGGGTCTGCACCCCCGTGTCATCACTGACGGCTTCGAAATTGCCAAGGTTGAGGCTCTCAAGGTATTTCGAGCCACAACAACGCGCTTCACGGAGCTACGCTGCTAACATAACGCCCGATAGTTTCTCGACAAATTCAAGCTCCCCAAAGATATCGACAGAGAACTCCTGCTCAGCGTCGCCCGCACATCGCTGTCCACAAAGCTCAATGCGACTTTGGCTGCGAAGCTTACTCCCGACATTGTCGACGCTGTTCTCGCCATCTACGAGGAGGGCGTCAAGCCCGACCTGCACATGATTGAGATTATGAAGATGCAGCACCGCATGGCTGCTGATACCCAACTGATCAAGGGTCTCGCCCTCGACCACGGTGCTCGACACCCTGACATGCCTAAGCGCCTGGAAAATTGCTTTATCCTGACCCTCAACGTCAGCCTTGAATATGAAAAGACGGAAATCAACTCTAGTTTCTTCTACTCGAGCGCCGAGCAGCGTGACAAGCTTGTTGAGAGCGAGAGACGCTTTGTCGATGCCAAGCTCAAGAAAATTGTTGAGCTGAAGAAGGAGGTTTGCGGAAACGACAGCAAGAAGAACTTTGTCGTTATCAACCAGAAGGGTATCGATCCCCTGTCGCTCGATGTCCTGGCCAAGAACGGTATCCTGGCCCTGCGCCGTGCTAAGCGTCGCAACATGGAGCGCCTGCAACTCGTCTGCGGCGGTGTTGCGCAGAATAGTGTCGAAGATATGAATGAGGAGTGCCTTGGGTGGGCTGGTCTCGTCTACGAGCAGGCTCTCGCAGAAGAAAAGTACACCTTTGTAGAGGAGGTCAAGGAGCCCAAGTCTGTTACCCTGCTCATCAAGGGCCCCAACCAGCACACCATCGCTCAGGTCAACGATGCTGTCCGTGACGGTCTGCGCAGTGTATACAACACCATTGTCGACAAGAGTGTTGTTCCTGGTGCCGGTGCTTTCCAGGTTGCCTGTGCCACTCACCTGCGAAGCGACGCTTTCGCCAAGACGATCAAGGGCAAGGCCAAGTTTGGTGTCGAGGCTTTTGCCAACGCTCTCCTCATCATTCCCAAGACCCTGGCTGCCAATGCCGGGCATGACGTGCAAGATGCCAGTAAGTACTTCTGATATATATAATTTCGAAAGAGAGTTGCTAATGATGTATAGTCGCGACTCTTCAAGACGGCGTCAACGACGGTGAAGTCGTTGGTCTGAACCTGGAGACTGGCGAGCCCATGGACCCTGAGCTCGAGGGCGTCTTTGACTCGTTCCGCGTTCTCCGCAACTGCGTAGCCTCCAGCGCAAGCATTGCCTCAAATCTGCTGTTGTGCGATGAGATGCTCAAGGCCCGCCAGATGAACAGACCAACCGGCCCTGGCCCTGCGGATGGCGGTGATGATGGCATGTAAAAAAATTGAAAGGAAAAAGGGGTTAGATCTGCTTTATAATAAAAGCTCTCTTTACATAGTGGATATACCAAAATTATTCTTCAAATCAAATACGCTGAGGATCTGCTTTGCTGTAGTTGAGCTTCGTGCCCCGCGGTGGCGCTGCCCAAGATCATTCTGGCCTAAAAAAAAAATCTTGACCCCACCATCCAGAAAGTACGGTTTACAGCAAACCAAACACAACACAATATGGCTGACTACGACTCTGACTCTTCGGATGGCGAATGCGCCGAGACGAATGTTCTTCTGGGCTATGCCTCGAAAGACGCTGAAGAAGATACGATAAGCCACCTCGGTGGCCGTCCGGTAAGCTCTTTTTTGTCTACTACCCCCAAGCTGCCCCTCCATCCCACCACCACGGTGCGCCCTTGCTGACCACGTTCATTGCAGGAGTGGCTGGACGCCGACAAGCCCCCCTCGGCAGCGCTCGCACGCTGCAAGATTTGCAAGGACCTCATGGTCCTACTGCTGCAGCTCAACGGCGAGCTGCCCGGGCGGTTTCCCAACCACGACCGCCGGATATACGTCTTTGCGTGCAAGCGCGCGAGCTGCAGCCGCCGCGAGGGCAGCATCCGGGCGCTGCGCGGCGTGCGAGTGTGGGCGGACGACGAGGCGGCGGAGAAGGACAAGGTAACAGAGAAGGAAGAGGAGGCGAAGAAGCAGGAGGAGAAACCCAGGGAACCAGAGCAGCCCAAGCCGCGACTGGGGGATGCTCTGTTTGGAGGCGGACCGTCAGCGGCGGCGGCGGGGAGCGCGAATCCCTTCTCGTCGAATGCGAACCCGTTTAGCTCTTCGACTGGTGGTGCTGCCAGCAGCCCATTCGGCGCGAGTCCGTTTGCTTCCCAGCCGCCCGCTGCTGCCGCGCCTGCTCCGACCACGACAAAAGACAAGGACCTGCCCAAGACCTTTGCCGCGACGCTCTCCCTACACTCGCCCATAACCGACGCCGTCCGGCCGCCGGCACCCGAGCCGTGGCCGGCGCCGGCCCAGCAGCCCACACCCTACCCGACGCTGTACCTCGCCGACGCCGACTACGAGACGCTGGACCCGGAGCCGGCCGACCTGCCGCTGCCCGCCAACGCGCGCATCGAAGACGCCGACGCGCCCGAGACGACGTCGGCCGCCGACAGGGAGGCCTTTGAGAGCGCCATGGACACGACGTTTCAGAAGTTCGCGGACCGGCTGGCGCAGAACCCCGAGCAGGCCATCCGGTACGAGTTTGGCGGCGCGCCGCTGCTGTGCTCCAAGACGGACGCCGTCGGCCGCATGGTGGGCAGGGCCGCGATGCCGCGGTGTGCAGCGTGCGGCGGCCGGCGCGTCTTCGAGGTGCAGCTGACGCCGCACGCAATCACGGAGCTCGAGGCCGAGACGATGAACTTGGAGGGCATGGAGTGGGGCACCGTCATCGTCGGCGTCTGCGAGAGGGACTGCGTGCCCGGCTACTTGGCCGAGGAGGAGCCGGCGTATCTCGAGGAGTGGGCGGGTGTGCAGTGGGAGGACGAGGGCGCGCGGAAGTAAAAGGAGTCCGGGGCAGAAGGCATATAGCATCTTGATATACACATGAATTATGATGGAGGGGAGTCAGCATTAGAGGGGACTGGACGCTTGATGTATGACACAGTCACAACACATGTCGGGAGGGGAGTTGAGTGGTTTGCAGCTTTCAACTTTTTTTTGTCTGATCGAATGAGCTGCCATCAGCAGCGACTATAAGATCTAGATGCATTCGCTTTCACTTTTTTAAACCATGAAATGTCCTGTTTAAAACGCCGTAGCTTGGACCCTTTCCCACCCCATGAAATACGTTAATTCCTCATTGTCATCAGATGTGTAAAATGTCCGTTGTCTTGTTTTTTTGAATTCATCGCAAAGAAAGAAAAATCCCACGCCACGCTCTTTATACAGTCTCCTCCCAGGTCCGTCGAATAACCCTTGAAAACTGCTCAATGTTGACGTCCTCGCGAATCTCGGCCTTCTTGGCCTCGTTGTCCGGGTTGGCGGGAACATTGATGATGCCCTCGGCGTCGACGGACCAGCCAATAACCTCGGTGACAAACTTGTGTGTCTTGTCCTTGTTGAGGCCGAGCCAGCCCTCGAGGTGCGAAATATTGACCTCGCGGAAGGCCTGGGACACGAGCTCGGCGATGCGCTGGCGGACCACGTCCTCGAAGCCGGCAATGTCGGCAATGAGGTCGGCGCACAGGTCGTCGCCGTCGAGGTCGGCCCAGAAGTCGGCGTACTGGGCGCTCTCGAGCTGCCCGTTGAGCGAGCGCAGCTTGGTCAGCGCTTCGTGGAGCTCGCCGGTGGCGGCGGCCGAGGGGTTGATGAGGTGCAGGGCGAGGGAGAATTGCGGCGAGGGGAACTGTGTCATGGCCTTGACGAGGATGTTTGTGACGACCTCATCCTTCATGCGGTCGGGGTTGAGCTGGTACCTGGCATACGTAGACTTGTATTAGCTGACTATTGTCGGTGCCCATGGGTGGAAAATGCAAAGTCGTTGGCAGCAGTGGGAAGAATATCAGACAACACTAGAATTCGCGTCATTCGCGGATGGGCCTATGACCCATCACGATCGGTGTAATAGGAAACGTTTACAGTAGTCATCATTTAAAAGGGACGAGGAAGAAAAAGGGGCGGGAAACGTGTTCCCCCTCCGGAATGCACTCACAGCTTCAGCAGTGTGCGGTTGGCATTGCAGTCGGTATATTTCTGGTCGCACTGCTCCTGGAGGTACGTCTCCAGGGTGCCGACGGCCTCGGGGTTGTAGCGCTCGAGGCCGCTGATGATGCCGGAGACGTACTCCGGTCTCTCAGGCGGATCTTCGCTGTTCATCTTGGGCTGATTCGGGGGACAGGAAACGAGGGATGTCGACGGAGAGAAACGAGATGGTGGGGCATTTTTGGGCGAGAAGAATTCGACTGGATTCTGGTGTGCCCGTTTCTTGTGGGCGGCCCAAATGGGCTTAGCGGTGCATCATCAGAATATGTCACGTGCAACCATATCAAATCGATGTCATCGTTGCGACCCGTGTAATTGATCCAGGTGTGAACAGTAACCAACCCACACGTTGGGCGAGACTTGAAGAAAGCATGGCTGCGTAATGTCGGAAACCATGCGAAAATTGCCGCAAAAGTGCCCACAAACACGCCCAACGCGCCCAAATATACCATTCGCGGGCAAGCTTGGCTGGCCGTGAACATGTCAAGCCCGGCAAAGAAGAGGAAGCTCAACAATGCGGCGAAAAATGAGAAGCCACCGCCAAAAGGGCTAGAGTACTTCTTCTCGAAGCAGAAACAGAACGGAGGGAGCTCGTCTGCGGCCCTGGGTAGCTGCCAAACGGAAAAGGCCGACGCTGCGTTAACTGATGAAGAGCTCGCCCGCAAGCTACAGGCCGAATGGGACAAGGAGGCGACTCAAGTGAATCTCCAAGAACCAGCTGATGTCGGAGAGCCGGCAGTAGCCGAATTGACTCGAAAGGATGAGCCGGGAGACTCAACGGAACCACACCCCGATGTACACGAGCAGCCAGCTCCTGTGGCCATTCTTGGCGGGAAAAAGACTCTCGCGCTTCAATCTGCGGGCATGGACGAAGATGTTATCACGATAACCCTGCCGCTGGATGAACCGCCGCTGACATTCGAGCCATCCAAATACGTTGAACGGCTCAAGGAGCATTGGTCTAAAGATGGAGGCAATGCCTCGTACGCTCTGCTTACTAGATGCTTTGTGCTTGTCAGTGGGACAGCGAGCCGCATCAAGATTGTGGACACATTGGTCAATTGCTTGCGGTTACTGATCGAAGGTGACCCGGGGAGTCTCCTACCGGCGGTATGTGTTCCAAACTCAATCATTTGTGGCATTGTCTAATCTGCAGCAGGTTTGGCTGGCGACAAATTCAATCTCACCATCGTATATATCAATGGAGTTAGGCCTAGGAGGGTCAGCCATTTCCAAGGCACTGAAGCAAGTCTGCGGCCTGGACGGCCGATCCCTCAAGACCTTGTACGACAAGTACGGCGATGCAGGTGATGTGGCCTTTGAGGCGAAGAAGAAGCAAAACTTCACGCTCAGAAAGCCTAAGCCGTTGTCTATCCAAGGGGTGTATCAGTCTCTTGTCAAAGTGGCGACTACGCAAGGCCAAGGTAGCAACGAGGTCAAGCAGCGCATCGTCGATCGGCTTTTGCAGGATGCTCGTGGCGGCGAAGAGAGTCGGTTCATAGTGCGAACGCTGTGTCAGCATCTTCGAATCGGCGCAGTCAAGACGACAATGCTCATTGCCCTTTCCAGAGCATTTCTGCTTTCCAAGCCAGCGAATGCCGAGTATGAGACGCGCAACACACCCGCACTCGCAAAGCTGAAGAAGGAAGAACTCGCCGAAGTATGGGCAAAGGCGGAGGAGGTCGTCAAGGCCTGTTTTGCGAAGCGTCCAAATTACAACGACCTGATCCCCAACCTCTTGGAGATTGGCGTCTGCGAAGAGCTTCTCGTCCGATGCGGCCTGGCGCTTCACATCCCACTTCGACCCATGCTCGGAAGCATCACTCGAGACTTGTCGGAAATGCTCACGAAGCTGCAAGGCCGCGACTTCACATGCGAATACAAATATGATGGCCAACGCGCACAGGTACATTGTGACGAAGAGGGTAAAGTCTCCATTTTCTCCCGGCATCTGGAATTGATGACGGACAAGTACCCAGACTTGGTAGAACTGGTGCCAAAGATACGGGGAGACGGCGTTTCGAGTTTCATCATGGAAGGTGAGGTCGTGGCTGTGGATAGTGCCAGTGGCGAACTGAAGAACTTCCAGGCTCTCACGAACAGAGCCCGAAAGGATGTTGAGATTGGGAGCATCATTGTTCAAGTATGCCTATTCTCATTTGATCTGATGTACTTGAACGGACAGTCGCTGCTCAGTCGGTCGTTGCGAGAGAGGCGAGAACTGCTGAGATCTCTCTTCACCGAGGTGCCCAATCGCTTTACTTGGGTCAAGAGCCTGGATGCTTCTTCGACCGAGTCAGAGACCGTGTTGAGCTTTTTCAAGTCGGCAACAGAAAGTAAATGCGAGGGCATCATGGTGAAGATTTTGGATAACCTTCCAGATGTCGCCTATCTTGGAGGGGAAGATGGTGAGGCTAAAGAGGAGGAGCCCAAATTGCAACTCCCGATATCAAAGTCTAAGGCAAAAGGGAACAAGAAAAAAGACGCAGAGTCGAATGAGCCACCCAAGAAAAGGTCAAGGCGAAAAGCATTGCTGGCTACGTATGAGCCAGACAAGCGGCTGGATTCTTGGCTCAAGGTCAAGAAGGATTATAGCTCGAGCTTCGACACACTGGACCTGATACCTATAGCGGGATGGCACGGCCAGGGCCGCAAAGCCAAGTGGTGGTCGCCGATTTTACTGGCTGTGCGAAACGAAGAGTCGGGGACGCTGGAGGCTGTCTGCAAGTGCATCTCTGGATTTACCGACGTGTTTTACAAAGCCAACAAGGCATTCTACGACGAGGGTGCAGAGACCGGCGAGCCCAAGAATACCCGTCTGCAGATGCCCAGCTTTATCGAATACTCCGGCCCGATGCCCGATGTCTGGTTCGAGCCGCAGGAAGTGTGGGAGATGGCGTTTGCCGACATTACGCTGAGTCCCACATACACGGCGGCGATTGGGCTTGTGAGTGACGAGAGAGGGCTGAGTCTCCGATTTCCACGATTCTTGAAGAAGCGAGACGATAAAAGCATAGACGAAGCGAGCACGAACGAGTTTCTCGCAGGCCTGTGGCGGAAACAAGAAGCATCGGCCAGTCCGGCGGGCAAGGCCAGGCCTGCGGGAGGAGACGAAGAGGCGGAATAGGCGGGGTTTGATGATTCAAAAACTCCAAAATCTAGAATAATGATGACACATGTTGTACATTAGGTAGGCAGGCAGGCAGGCATGTGTGTGGCGTTCGTCATTTGCCTGCGTTGAGCTTTTGGGCGATGAGGCTGAAGACGGCTACCGATCCCATGAATAATACAGCGTTATAGAACTAGGGGGATATCAGTAGAGATCAGTTTGGATAGCTGAATAAGTACTGACGGCTTTCCGTGAGATGTCGCGCTCCTCGTCGTCCGTCCGAGACTCGATGAAGAGCCGCCTCAGGTTGGGGAAGTTGGCCTATCGTGTGTGAGTAAGACAACGGAACTGGTAGAGTGTGACCCACGCACCATGGCTTCACAAGGCAATCGCCGTCTAGAAACATCACCAAACCGTCGTGAGATGAGTTTGTGAGTGAGTGTTTGGGTGAGATGTCACCCGAAGTGTGACTAAGCTGCGGTGGTGGATTCATTGCAGTCCGCCATTGGCCGCCTGCTCCACCACGTCAGCCAAGCGTAGGCTCCCAGATAGCGCCTCCCACTGGAGACTGCCTGGCGAGCTGCCTGAGCCTCAAGATCTCCAACGTACACGTGTGCGGGAGGCTTTGCTACCACAACTTGCGCGCCGCCATACAGCAATTCATCGCCGCGCCGCCATCAACCCAGACGCCAATTCGACAGCGGTTGCGTTTTGCTTCACTCGCCAGGGAGATTCGACGCTGCCAAAAAAACCCCCTTCCGTCCCCCGACTCGCTGCCCCTCCTTGCCGCCCGAGCCCATCGCTGCCATGGCGGTAAACCGCATTCGGGGCGCCTTTGCGCCGCCTCGAAAGGGAGAGACATTTGAGCTGCGGGCTGGTCTCGTGTCCCAGTATGCATACGAGCGCAAAGAGTCGATTCAAAAGACCATCATGGCCATGACGCTCGGCAAGGATGTCTCAGCCCTGTTCCCCGACGTGTTGAAGAATATCGCCACCTCCGACCTGGACCAAAAGAAGCTTGTCTACCTGTATCTGATGTGAGTGGAATTGATGGACTGGCGACAGTGATGGCTATATTGGTTTTCATGGCCGTGTGTGCTGGTGCAGCTCTGACCATTGTGCAGGAACTATGCTAAATCGCATCCCGACCTCTGTATTCTTGCCGTCAACACCTTCGTACAAGACTCCGAAGACCCGAATCCGCTAGTAAGAGCGCTGGCCATTCGAACCATGGGCTGCATTCGGGTAGATAAAATGGTCGATTACATGGAGGAACCGCTGCGCAAAACGTTACGAGACGAGTCCCCCTACGTTCGAAAGACGGCCGCCATCTGTGTGGCCAAGCTCTTTGACCTCAATCCGACCATGTGCATCGAAAATGGATTCTTGGAGACGCTGCAGGAAATGATTGGCGACCCCAACCCCATGGTCGTTGCCAACTCGGTCCAGGCGCTCGCCGAGATTACGGAAACGGCGCCCGAAACCAACGCGCTCATCATTACACCAGCGACGCTCAAGAAGCTGATGCTTGCCCTCAATGAGTGCACAGAATGGGGCCGCGTGACGATTCTAAGCACCTTGGCAGCCTATGCCGCTACCGACGTCAAGGAGTCGGAACATATTTGCGAGAGAGTGGCACCTCAGTTCCAACACGTTAATCCGAGCGTTGTTCTCGCTGCCATCAAGGTCGTCTTTACGCACATGAGATCGATAAACCCGGAGCTCGTGGGCGCATACCTCAAGAAGATGGCCCCTCCTCTAGGTACGCTGGAGCACTTGTCAGTCCACCTCGAATACTAACAGAAGCTAGTCACACTTGTTGCTTCGGCGCCTGAAGTCCAATACGTTGCTCTTCGAAACATTGATCTCTTGCTTCAGGCCAAGCCCGATATCCTCAGCAAAGAGCTTCGCGTCTTCTTCTGCAAATACAACGACCCCCCCTACGTCAAACTTCAGAAGCTCGAGATCATGGTCAGAATAGCAAACGAAAAGAACTACGAGCAGCTCCTCTCTGAGCTCAAGGAATATGCGCTGGAAGTCGACATGGACTTTGTCCGCAGGGCAGTCAAGGCTATCGGTCAGGTGGCCATCAAGATTGAGAATGCCAGTGCCAAATGCGTCGAGGCACTGGAGGACCTGATCTCCACAAAGGTCAACTACGTCGTGCAAGAAGTGGCAGTTGTGATTAAGGATATTTTGCGCAAGTACCCCAGCTACGAGGGCGTTATCCCCACGCTGTGCAAGTACGTCGACGAGCTGGATGAGCCCGAGGCTCGGGCGTCATTCATCTGGATTGTGGGAGAGTATGCTGAAAAGATTAACAATGCCGACCAGATTCTGGAAGGCTTTGTCGACGGCTTCATGGAGGAATTTACCCAGGTATGGAATGCAGAGTGCTGAGGGTGGATTGAAACTAACGAGAGACTAGACCCAACTGCAGATATTGACGGCTGTTGTAAAGCTGTTCTTGAAAAAGCCCAGCAACAGCCAGAACCTAGTTCAAAAGGTGCTGCAAGCGGCCACTGTAGAAAACGACAACCCCGATATCCGCGACAGAGCATATGTCTACTGGCGACTGCTGTCTGGCGACTTGGATGTTGCCAAGGTATGTCTAGAGCCCGCGTAGTCACGAATGCCAATGCTGACCCGAGCAGAACATTATTCTCTCACAAAAGCCCACGATTACCACAACAATGACCAGCTTGCCACCCGCCCTTCTGGAACAACTGCTGATGGAACTCTCGACACTGGCCTCGGTCTACCACCGGCCCCCAGAGTCTTTTGTCGGCAAGGGCCGTTTCGGCGCCGACGAAATTCAGCGGGCGGCCATCCAAGAACAACGCCAAAACGCGGCCGAGAACCCCATTGCGGCGTCGGTTGCCGCGGCCAATGGCCCCGGCTCCGCCCAAACCAACATTGAGAACCTGCTGGACATTGACTTTGACGGGGCGGCGCCCGCGTCGCGCGAGCATGGCAGCGCCTCGCAAACGCCCGACCGCGTGGCTAGCCCGGCGGCCGGTGCGGCGGCATCGGGGGGCATGGCCGACATGATGAGCATGTTTGATGCCCCAGCTCCGGCAACGGCTGCCCCCGGCGGCAGCAGCGGCATGAATGACTTGATGAGCGGCTTCGACGGCATGAGCTTTGGCGCGCCGCCGGCTAGTGGTGCGCAGAATGCGCAGGGCGAGGGGTCGCAACCGCACCAGCAAAAACAGCAGGGGGCGAGTGACGACCTTTTGGGACTGCTGTAAATTTAAGGTGGATTTTGAGAAAAGGTAGCATGGGAACATGAGACTGCTTCACCAAGTGTGCTTGGCACACCAGTGTGCTTGGTGTAGAAAAGGTACTTGTGCGGAGACGGCTTCTCTCAAAAAGAAGATTAAAAATTTAATAGATACTGATGCAGCCCAACCACCTTAGTTCCTGTGATGTGCCTCTATAATTCATCCATTCATCCAAAAGTAAAAAAAAAAAAGTCAATTCCCCAGGTATCATGCCAAAAATTCATCATCGCGGGCCTTCCCCCTTTGACAGCGAGCCACCCGCCCTCTGGACCACGCACTCACTGAGACGTACCCTCGACTTGCCCGCCAACAGTACCAAGCGTTGGGGGCGCGGCGGCGCCCTGCGCGCGCGCCCACTCGTCGGGTGTCTGGCACTTGGCCGTCCAGGCGTGGATGGTGGCAATCTCGTCCTTGAGGGCGGCGTTGACGAGGCGGTGGCGCTTGAGCGAGCCGAGGCCCTGAAACTGGGGGGAGACGATGAGCGAGGTAAAGGCCTGACCGCAGCCGCCTGGGTGCCAGTAAGTATCTCGACAACAGGAAAGGGAAGATGCTGGGACAACGCACCAGACATGTCGGCCACCTCGACGTGCACGGCGCCGAGGCGCTGGGTGATAATCTCGCGCATGCTGGCGTCTGTTATTTGCGCCATGATGGAGACGCGTGTTATGTGTGGGCTGTATGTGGTGAAGCGTGGTGAAAATAACTCGTGGTCGGGGCTCACAGAGAGCCGAACGGATGCGATTGATTAGATAGATGGACGCTCTGTTTTTCGGCGCCCGACGTTGGTTTTCGGTTGGTTTCGATTGTAATACAGTGTGGTTTGGCACAGTATGAGCTCATCCTCAGTTGTTTTTTTTTGGTGGGGGTGGAGCTTGACCTACAAGCTAGCGTTGAAGCTCTCTCCAGCTTTAAGCCTTCATCCAACATTTGATCCTCGCGACTAGTTATTTCTTCCTCTGATTTCTCCCCCCCCCCCCCCTTTTTTTGGGGGAATCTACAAGTACGGCGCTTGTGTTTCTGTTGAATCAAAACAGAGGAACTTCCTGGCTTTGCTAGGCATGCGAGCATTTCGGAGTTCCTATCCGTCCTCCATCTCGAGAAGCTTCACCACCGCCGTCTGTCGCACCACCACAGCTCTCCGCCACGTCACGCCCGCCCTCGCAGCAAGGCGACTGGCTCCCCGCTGCCCATCGACACACCGCCGACTCTTGAGCGCGACCGCTGCGAAACCTTGCTCGGATAGAATGGCGGCCGCTGGAAATGGAGGGGGCGCTTGGGGCGCGTGGCAGGTTGAGCCGGCCAAGTTTACCACGCTCGTGGCCGACTCGATGAAGGCATTGTGCGTCTTCTGTCCGTCAAAAGGCACATGGCACATGCGTACATAATTTCTAATGGATTACCCAGGTACCCGGAAGAGATCGCCGACCGCGCGTGGGACAATGTCGGCCTGCTCGTCGGCAACCACGAGCAAGAGTCGAGCCAGAAGAAGCCAATTGTGCTCGTCACCAACGACCTGACATATCAAGTCGCCACCGACGCCATCCAGAAAGGCGTCAGCGTCATTGTCAGCTATCGTATGCTTCCGCCATTCATCCTTTGACTCTCTCGTACGCTAGCTCACCCGCCTAGACCCGTTCATCTTTTCCGGTCTCAAGTCCATCACCGACAAGGACCCGCAGCAGTCGACGCTGATCCGGCTCATGCAGGCCGGCATCGCCGTGTACTGCCCGCACACGGCCGTCGACGCCGCGCCCAATGGTCTAAACACGTGGCTCGCCGACGCCGTCGCCGGTTCGCACGCGACCACGCGCTCCGTCGCCGTCCCGTGCAAGACGGCGCCTGAGAGCCACGCCGGCGCCGGGTACGGCGCGCTGGCCAGATTTACCAGCGAGGGCAGCACCGTCACCGTCGCGGACATCATTAAGCGTCTGGCGCACAAGCTCGGCGACCTGCGGCACGTCATGGTGGCGTCGCCTGTGGGCGCCGACGTCAGCACGACGCGGGTCCGCAGCTACGGTGTCTGCGCGGGGAGCGGGTATGACGTGCTCAAGGACGCAGACGTCGACCTGCTCGTCATGGGCGAGACGAGCCACCACTCGGCGCTGCGCGCCATTCAGCAGGGCCGCACGCTGCTGCAGGTCTTTCACAGCAACTCGGAGCGCAGCTACCTGCAGCAGGTGCTGGCGCCGGCGCTGCAGGAGAAGCTACGGGAGGCGGTGCCCGACGCGACGGTGGTGCTGAGTGAGTATGACAAGGACCCGTTTACGGTGATTGATGTTATGGAGTTGTAGGGGAATGGCTATTCAAGCGTACATAATAATGGTGCATTTGAAAAAGATATGGCTTGATAATTGTGAATCTGGTAAAGACATGGCTTGCTTTTAACTTGGTATGAATCGTCAGATAACGTGCTTTGTGGAAAATGATGTGCATCGTGATACATGTTGTACGTGTACATGGGGAAACGCTCATGTCTGGTCTTCATGATGTCGAGTCCCGCCCGTCGTTGGACGCCCGGCTGTCGCTGCTCGGTGCCGCCACCGCGGCGTCGCCTTCCTCGATGCAGGCGCGGACCTCGTCGTCGCCGCCGAGGCCCTGATCCTGCCACGTCTGTAGAAGACGGCGCGCACGCTCCCATTGCGTCTTGGCTTCGGCGCGCCTGCCATCGGCGACGAGCAGGCGCAGGCGCGGCGGGGTGGCGAGAACGCGGACGGCGAGGTCGCGGGTGCGCTGGCGGCGCTGGGCGGCGCTGCTGCGCCTGCCCTCGTCCGAGTCGGGCGCGGGGATGGACGCGCGCAGGGCCTCGCGGATTTCGGCTGCCTGGCTGTATATCTGGGCAATGGCCGGGTTGAGGGTCGAGGCCATGGGGTTGAGGGGGTCCATGTTGGATCGCATCTGGCGTTTGGGACAAGGTCAGTATGTAGTGTGCGGAGGGCCGAGGTCCCAAGCGAGTTTCCGCCGGGAGGGAGGGGATGTGGTTGGTCAATCAGGTCGCACCTTGTGAATCGTTTCCGTGGCCGCGATGAGCTTGCTGTAGTTGTCGTAGACGAGCGCCTTCTTCTCGGCGTCGAGGGCGCGGACCTCGCCGACGACGCGCGTGTAGAGCCGCAGCAGGTCCTCGAGGGAGCTCTCGGCGACGACCCTGGCGACGTACTCGCTCACGCAGAAGCCGGGCACGTCCACCTCGCCGACAGGCACCTCGGAGTCGGGCAGCTCGACGCCGATGCGCGGCGCGAGGCCCCCAGCGGCGGCGGCGGCGGCGGCGCGCAGGTTGTAGTACTCGCGCAGGGCGGCGCGGTTCGCGCGCTTGGCGGCGGGCACGCCGTTGTGGACGGGCGGCGACGGGACGGGGGCGGCGCGGGCGGCGTCGAGGGAGGGCCGGGTCGACGACGTCGGCGTGTTGGTGGCCGAGGGCACGCGGCGGCTCGGCGTCGACGCGTGGTCTCGCGGACTGGCAATGGTGGACATGATGGGCCGGGTGTGGGCAGAGGGGAGATGGGGGTGGCGCCCGGTGAGCACGGATCGATCGGTCGAGGGAACTAGGAGGTCGGCATCAGAGCGGGAGATGTGCGATGGAGTGGCGAGGGCCGAGACAGGTCTTGTGGCGTGCAGTTGTTGAAGACGAGGGAAGAGGCCAGCAGGATAAACGGTGTTTGCCGGGCCATGTACCTACCCGCAATAATAACGTGACGAGGTACCTATGCAGCTTTGAGGTGGCCCAACTTGAAGGAATAATAGTACAATCCGTACAGAATTCAGGTTAAAACAATCATGTAATGCAGATGAACTAGAATTCCCCTTGTTCTCAATTAAAGATCTGAAACAAGATATTCATGTACCTGGCATCTCCTCGTTGCGTCATCATTGTAGATGGAACGCCTTGGCCGTGCCTGCCTCGCTTATTCGTTAGTCTCCAAAGAGGGTTCATGTGAGACTTAGGGCAAGATAGAGCACCAGCATTCGTGTGGGTGCCCACCACTTTTGCTGGCGCACATGGTAAATGTGTGATAGTTATGGGCCCGCTTCGCTTCGCGCTAAATTGCTTCTTCTCTATCTGTGGGTCCTAGGTTCAACTCCCCATGACGTTGCCGGCTATAGGCTACTCCCTAAAAATAAAGGTAGAAGTAGAACCAACGGAACTCATTTTCACCTCTACAGAAGCCAGCTGCTTAGAAGCCCTGCTCTTCTGCAGAGCTGGGGGGATGTGTGAGACTTAGGGCAAGATAGAGCACCAGCATTCGTGTGGGTGCCCACCACTTTTGCTGGCGCACATGGTAAATGTGTGATAGTTCATGTGACTTCCAACGAACACAAATTTAAACCGACTGACGAGACCTCTCCCATATCCATGTATCCAATAGTCCAGGATTCACCAGCTATATCGCAGCATCGATCATTGCCGAGATGCCCGAGAGACCCATCCCTGTGAGCATCACGACTCGATAGGTCGCCATTCTCATGCCAATGATGCTACGCCAAAGACCAAAGACTGTCATCTGCAAGGCAACTTAGCCAAGGTTACGCATTTTTGATACAGCTACACCAGGATTCGGTGGGCGGCCCAAGTGTACCTGAAGTCCGGCGGGCTGCTGCTACCTCGTCTTCCCTGCCGTGGCTCGTCTTCCTTGCCTCGGATTGCCATGGACGTGCCCGTCGATGGAGCGATGGCGTGATTCTTCTTGCTTCTACACAGAGGACGGCAGTTGATTTGAAAAGCGGGCAACTAGTCTTCGGTGCAGGGCGGCGCGCCCATGCAGCCGTTGATGGCCTCTCCTGTACAGGCAATCCTACTCGGTGCCACGCTTCTTCCTCTGCAAGGCTCTGCCAAGATGCACGCACAGCTGACGGCGCAGACGCGACTCGTATCGCGCAGAAACAAGGTGCATGCCACGCGCATTCGGGAGCAGCTTTCAGCTCCAACTTCTTTGAAACCTCGGCTGTAGGCGAGAGCCGCCTTCTCTGATCGAGCGGACTTGCGCGCGCGCGAGTTTTTTCCCTTTTCTTTTTTTTTAAATTTTAAAAAAGGAGAATTATTTCTTTTCCCGACTTCTCAGAGGGGTTGACAAGACTGCGATGAACCTGCTTTTCCCGAAGACATTGACTATGCATGGACAGGCGTCTAAGAACAAACGGCAACTAGGAGACAAGCAACCGGTTCTGCAATAGCGCATTTTACTTCAGACGAGACCTTAGAGAAAGAGACGACAACATGATAAACTCTGTTGATACTCCTCTCACATCGGCCGGCGTTCGGCTCAGCAACCGGAGACTTTATGCCGATTGCCCCCCACGTCTTAGATGGCCACCCCTCCCCTCCAGAGGACCTTTCGAAGAATGAACGTTTTGAACAATGGGCGTCATGGACAAGACATACGGGACTCGGAAATCCCTCCGAGCAGATAAATATCCCTCTACAATTCAATATTGTAGTGGCACTGGTGGTTGTGCATCACCACACGCCACTTTGGTCTGGACCTAGCAGCCAAGTGAGACATGCAGCCGTATTGTATTCACTTGTCACGCTATTCGGTTCCTGACCCGGTGGTGCCCAAGCTGTTCTATTTCCCGCGCGTGGCATCTTGTATAACACATTCGTTTTGCCGATTCACCAGAGACAATGTCTCACTTGTCACCGAGGCCGTAAAGCCGACATGGCCCGGGCCGTCCGCAACGTGGCAGGGTTCGAGTAACGACCTTGCCGAGCGGACTTGGCAGCTAGATTGGGTCCCGCGTAACTAGTTGCAAATACTGATGGCGATACGAAAATTCTCGCCCCCCCCCTGGTACAGCGTGCATTGCATATTGCATGGGTAAGGGGTCCGTGAACAGGGTTTACCTACATGTTGCGCAGCCGAGCGGCCATCTGAGTTATAACCACCGCTGGCAATAGCGACACACAGCATGCAAGGGGACCGACCAAACACATGGCCATCGTGGGACCGGTGACAACAAGGTTGGTACAGCTGAAAGCGCTGCCCACTTTCCGTACAAGGCGGCTACACGAGCAGAGGGCGGCCTGAAGAGGTGAAACTCGGGATAGGATTCTTCTCACCCCGCATATGCGCAGCAGCAGCCACATGGAAAAGGAGGACAGTCGCTACCAGTCAAGAAAAGAAGATGTTGCGGGAATTCCGGCAACGGGGCCGGCCTTTGCGGCTGGGATTTGCCCACGGATGGGAAATATATGGTGGCGAGCCCATCCGGCGAGGCTAGCGACGGCCGTCTCCAAGGCCGTCACATCACTATGGTGTTGCGCTCAAGACCAGGTGTCATGGATGTCGGTTTGCATCCCTGGCAAGGGAAGAGGGCTGACGATCAAGCCATTCCCGCATTTAGCCTGCTTTGGTCCATTGTACATTGTAGATGCGGCATGGGGTCTCGTAAGAACCAGCAGGCCTTGGCGACGGCGTGCGCTTCTCAAACTTGCAGAAGTATATATTGGGCCTTTTTCAACGGTTACACTCTGCAAAGAAGCTTCTCTTGCGCCATCTTCGTCGTGCGGAAAGGACCCGATTGCTTAACACAATGAGTATGTCGCATCTACACAAGTGTGGCAGGACCGTGTTCTCATGAATAACCGTCGTCAGATGTACTACAGCAGCGACGGACGCCAACCCTCGAGTTTGACGCATTCGCGCACCTAGAGATGAGTGAGTTCCCGGCAGACAGTCTGCCATGGAATGCCTGCGACGTGCAGACCGGCCAGAGCTGGCCCGTCCCGACCAGCCATAACCCTGGCTGGCCTTACGACAACGACTGGAGCGAGCCGTGGTTTTCTGCGGCATCGATGCTATCAGAGACGTCTCCCGAGTACAGCGAGAATAGGACGCCGATGATGGACCCGTCGACACCCGCGAACCGCGCTCACTGCCCGCCACCGCAAGAACAGGCCGACGACTGGCTCGACTTGACCATGTGGGATGCCGGGCCGCCGAAACCACTCGGACTGCAGTCTTGGGACCCCTCGTGCCGAGCGCAGAGCCCGCCAGATGAGTGGCTGGACTGCACCACCTGGGCGGCGAATCCACTTGGGAATGCCTCGGCAGCAGGCAGCAGCAGCAGCCCCGTGGCGGCTGCTGTTCTCGGCACCCGCCGTCCCACATCACCGGTGCAGCTCGACCAACTGCCGAGGGACGTTACCTGGGACGCGGACGACGCTCTATCCTTGGCTCGCCGCCGGCACGAGACGCGCGCTGTCCTCTGGCCGGCCGCGCCAGCAACACCGCCCGACTGGTCGTGGACGACGCCGATGCCGCTGGACCAAGAAGCGTCGCCGGCGACGGCGGCCGCCGCGCAGCACACCAGCCCGTCGCCAGACGACGAGCGAGGACGCCAGCGGCACCGCGCGGGGTTGTTCAAGCCGCAGCAGCGTCCGGCCGTCGTCGGCGACCTGATGGAGAGGAACCGTGCGGCGGCGACGAGCAGCCGGTTGCGACAGCGCGAGATGGAGGGGAACCTCGTCGCCGAGGTACGCACGGCCAGGGACCGCAACCGCGCGCTGCACAGGTGCGTCGAGGACCTGACGGGCGAGGTGCTGCGCCTGAAGATGGAGGTGCTGCGGCACGCGCGGTGCAACTCGAAGCTCATCTACCGCTATATACACCGGACGGCGGAACAGCACCTGCAGAGCTTGTGATGCGTGCTTGTGCGGGATGAAGTTCCATTTGCGGTGTACGTTGATGCACTCACGATCGAGGACAAGGTATTTCTTTCCTAATAAAAGTAGAAAAATCCCCTCAAAGTTGAGGTGCTCAGAAGAATACATACTCTACTACATCAACTCGGACAGCTGCCTACGCCTAGAATCTAGAATATACAAGTAGGTTAACGCGTTTACAACAACGGCCTTTTTGCCTGTTCTTATGCATCTTTGGGGGGGCAGTTGTGAACGGCAGAGCACGTCATATGACGATCACTCTTTTCCACTATTAGTCCCTGAATCCCAACAGCAGCCTTGCTCGTCTTGACCCTTGTCAGCGACGGGGGCGGGAATGACTGCCCTCTTGGGTGCCAAGTTGCGCACAAGGGCGGTTCGGCCCGCCTTGTCTGTTCTCATTGGGCTCTTTGGGGCAAAAAAAAAAAAAAACTCCTCGGCAAAGAAGGCAGTCAAGCAATGCGCGTCGGGCATCAAAAGCTGCACTGTGACCAGGCGTGGCTATTATTAGCAACCATGAACCTGGCGATTGGGCCGGCGGGGGAGGAGCAAGATATACTGGTACAAATTACCAAATTACTCCATCAAAGTATGGCCGCCCCCATTCTATTTCCGCTAGTAGCTATAGTAGGTAGGCAAGTGGTGCTTGGGTTCCTATTGTCCCTATTGTCCATGGATGGGGGATCCAGCCAGTTAAGAGTTGTTCTGACAGAAACGATCCTGGACGGAAGCTGAACTTATCAACACTCTATAAGAACTAGTCTCCATAGGGAATAAACTTGCTCTTAGGAAGTTCACAGACTTACGGCTGAGACATGTACACATTATTGAACCAATCGCGCTGGCCGGGCACAAGCCGCTTTTAGAAAAAAAAAAAAAGAAAAAACAGGCACCATTTCTCAACATCCATTTTCTTTTCAACCTTTCATTCACGCCACCGTGGGCTTTGCTGTTGCGCTCAAGGACGTCGACTCGTGCTAACTAGAATGAAGCTCTCGACGGCTGCACAAGCCCGACTTATTCCCAGCGAGCCGCACGCCACCGCCCCCATGTGACTCGGATCGAGTTCCTGCTTGTACTGACCGATGCTAATACCGGAGAGAAGCGGATCCGAGGTTCATGCAAACGAGTCTACCAATTCCATTTACATCATCTTTCCATGTCCCATTTACATAGTCCAGGGTTGTGTCTTGTTGAGCTTCTTACGGGTTGAGCGCCACGGCTAGGTGGCTGATGATGCTGTCTCACCTGGACTCCAGGTGAGACAGCTGCTGTCATGTGCTACATCCATTTGATTGAGAAAAAGCAAACACCAAGCCTCTTTATTTTTTCGGCCATCTCTCACGGCAGTCTCGTAGACAAGAAACGTGTATCAAGACTCGAACAATACCGTATACGTGGGCCAAACCGCCTTAACTGACTTTTTAGAACTAAACACCATATTGTTTGTAGAAAAAAACCCAACTCGTCTCAAAACATTGCCAGAACAAAAATCGCACTAAAAATCGCACAAAAATCGCAGCACACACAATACACTAACACACACTAACACCTTAACCCCATCTCTTCAATCGAAGCCTCGCCATTTTCCGCCAAATCCAACACTGCTTTCTGGAGATTGTCCAGTAAACCCTTTGCCGAAACGCTGCCCGGATACCGGGACGAATACTCGAGGGACAGCTTGATTGCATCTTCTCCGCAGGCCGCATTCAGGCTCACATCGTACTCGGCCAAGCTCGTCGCCGACTGACCGTGCACAGAGACACCCGCATCGCTGCTCCGACGGCTCCCCGGGTCGCGCACAATCGACACCACCGTGTGCAGCATCTGCCGCTCCGACAGCCCCGTCACCTGCTCAATGTCGGCCAGCGATACTCGCTGGTACCTGAACGCTTCCATAAAGTCATTCTGCACCTGCTCAGCTGTCTTGGCAACGCTGCGCTGCTTGTCGCCGAGCCAGATGCGCGAGACCATCACGTTGATGAGAGGACCGGCCATGTGCGAGACGCCGTCCACGGGGGCATCGCGCCCGTTGGCCACGTAGCCGAAAACGACATCTCTCGACCCCGAGTGCTTGGCAAGGACAAAGGCCCACGCTAGCTGCAGAATGTTTGCAATTGTGATGCCATATCTATCCCGGAAACGCCAAAGAGGTTCCAAATTGCTCATTTCGAGGTGCGCATTGTCGCGTGATTGGCCGTCGCCGACTGTGGCCGATACTGGCAAACAGTGAGGCTGTGCTCCAGCAAGTCGCGAAGTCCAGTATTTCATAGACTCGGACACTGATGACTCTTGTAAGAACGCAATGTATTTGCTGAAGGATGGAGCAGCCGTGTCCAAAATGCCGTCTTCGTAAGCCAGTGTAACCTCATTCATAATCAGCTGAAGCGATGATACGTCCACAAGCGTATGGTTGATGAGTAGTCGGAAAAATACTTGACCAGTTGAAGTTAGACATAGAGTCAACTGGTGCTCTGGCTTCCACTTCGGGTATCTGAGTCCGCCCTCGTCTTTGAAAGCTTCGTCTACGTCCTCGGCTGTCTCGCAGCGAACCGTCGAGACCTGCGGCTCGTATTGCTTCAAAACGGCTTGGTAGAAGGATTCTCCGTCACAAGTTGGCGGCACACATACAGTTCTCAAAATAGCATGTCGAGCGACCACCGTTTGCCAGGCGCGTATCAAGGCCTCGGGGTTCACGACGGCCTCGCGCGCCCGGAATTCGCATGCCGACCGCACGTGGAACGTGGACGAGTCCCTGGCTTGGCTCCTCAGGATACTCTCTTGAGCTGGCGAGCAAGGATAAATATCCTCGATGCAATCTATATCGTTGATGCCAACAAGCGGAAGACGCTCACTTTGAAGTCGGTCCAAGTCGTCATACGTGATGTTGAGTAACGGAACATCAGCCAAGCTAAGAAAGGTTGGCAAAGTAGACAACTGGCAAAGAAGGGTCTTGAGACTGTCCTGATAAGCCTGTATCCAGCGGGTGATGCGCTCGGGGTTCTGCATATTCTTGCTGAAGCCCAATGTAACAGCCAAGTTCTCCTGTTGGATCGACGCTTCCACCTCAAACACTGCGATTCGTTTAACATTGTTACCGATTCCTGAAATGTGGGAACTGTTGAACTCATTACTCATACGGAATAGACTCCGTGAGTGCTTGTCGTCACGATAACGCCCTCCAAAATTGAACATGACTTCGGGTTGGTCATGTGAGGCGAATGCATGCTGGCCGTCGCGCGTCAAAAATCTCGACGTGAAGTAGGCGAAACCGCGCTCAGGGATGCTCCTTCGCAAGTCCTTGGTTCTCTTCAGTACATCAACAACATCGCTTGTGCCGACCGGTACGTGGATGGGAGTCATTGTAGTGAACCAACCAACAGTGTTGGAAAGGTCTATCGCGTCACTCCAGGGCTCGCGCCCATGACCTTCGTTGAAGACGGTAGGGACAGCACGATCCGGAAAGATTTGATGGAAGGAATGGAACAAGGCCGCCAAGAGAACTTCCACAGGCTCACTTCTCAATGGTTGCTTGTCGCCGAACAAGACGGATGCGCAATCCTCGAGAATGAACTGCTCATTGATGCGATGACCGTACGTGTTGTTTTCCGGAGTCACACCCCAATAGCTCCAATCCGCGATTGGCATTTGGGCGTGTACGAGTTGGTGAGGTGAGCCCACGTTCTGAGCCCGACTAGCTTGGAGTTGCAACCAGTGCTGAAAAGTGGTGGACTCAACAGGAGCAGTGAGTTTGGGGTGTTGGATCAAATTATCCAGATCGCGAAGAATGATTTGCCAAGAGACAATGTCGACCACCAGGTGATGCGCCACCAGGAACAACAGTTGACTGCCAGTCGTAGTAGTCTCTATACAGTGTACCGAGAAAACTCGGCCTTGCTCAACACTCAGGCTGCGCTGTCCAGCCCAAATAACATCTTCCAGCTCGGCCTGGTTTTCGACTTGATGAAAGACGACATGGCATGATGCATCCACGTCGTCCTCGATTCTCTGTCTCCATCGCTTCCCAGATACTGTGAAACGGGCACGTAGCATTGGGTGGGCCGAGACTACACCTCGCGCTGCGTGCTTAATCTGCTCTGTATCAATGTGTTTGTTGACAGTGAGGCATACGCTTTGATTGAACCGGAACTCGTCCTCGGATTGTAGACCGCGCGCGGCAAAGGATCGGAAGAAAAGTCTTTGAATGGGCGAAAGCCGGAACTCGCCGTCGGATGCGGGTAGCAGTGGCGCAATGGCGGCATCTGTCGTGGCTCTCTGGGCGAGCTGGGTGATAGACTTGCTTTGCAAGATATCACGGACATGGAGTGATAGTCCGTACCGTGACCGGCATTGAGATACCACTTGCATGGATGTAATCGAGTCACCTCCCATACTCAGAAACGAACGACCCATTGAGACGTCTTCCGGCGAGAGGCCCAGGACGTCGGCCAGGACGCTTTGCATCAGCTCCTCGGTTCGGGTCGTTGGTTTCTCAGGTGCCTCCTGCTTTGCTCCAGTAATGCGTCTGAAGTACTCTGCATCCAGAGACTGGACCCAGTCCATCAGCTTTCGACGGTCGACTTTGTGATGGGCACTCTGTGGTAGGCATGCCATTGAGATCCAGACATTGGGAACCATGTAGTCTGGCAAGACGTCAGACAACCGCGAGCGGATAATCTCGGTCTGCGTAATGGCTTTTGCTAGATCATCGGCGGAGGAGGGTTGAACTTCTGAGAGGTCTGTAGCGGACATGTGCTCGTGAAGAGTGACGAGGCCGATGAGTTGTGAGCGACAGGGTCCATTTTGGGGGTAGAGAACGACACCATCTTCAACTTCTGGTTGTAGTCCAATATGGTGCTCAATATCTCCGACCTCGACTCTCTGTCCTCGTATCTTCAACTGTTGATCTGCTCTACCAACAAAGATGAGGGACCCGTCTTCGTGTTGGACTACAAGATCACCGGTTCGGTACATGCGTTGGCTCTGACTGTTGGGAGCTAGTCCATGCTGCTTCCGCCAAGGTGGGTAGTCAATAAAAACTGCCGACGTTTTGGCTTCATCTCTCAGGTAGCCTCTAGCAACGAGGGGTCCTTCGACCAATAATTCTCCAACAGCACCGATAGGACACAGTTGGTTGCAATTGTCCTTGTTTGTGACCCAAACGGCACCGACGAGAGCGAGGCCAAGGCTTAAAGTGTCGCTTCCAGTAAATTCAGCAGCTGTAGATATGATGGAGCACTCGACAGGACCGTAGACATGCCACACTTTGGCTTGGGGCAGCCACAACTTGAGCTGTTCGGTGTCACATCGCTCGCCGCCGACCAGCAGGGTGCGTATTTCCGGGCATTCTGACGGCTTGATTGTGTGCAAGACTCTTGGAGTTAGCATGGAGTAGTTGACCCGAAATCTTCGCATGGCATGGGCGAGATTGTTGACTCTTTCCACCTCAGACGGTAGACAGACACATCCACCACCGGCAAGAGGAGTCAGGATGTCATGGAGGGACATGTCAAAGGTAAAAGAAGCAAATTGAAACCCGCGTGTATGTCTGTTAACCCCGAACCTCTTCACGTGAGATTGAATGGCGATTGACATTGAGCCGTGCTCAAGAACAATGCCCTTGGGAGATCCGGTGGAGCCCGATGTGAACATGATGAAGGACACGCTTTTTGTGCTTGGATGTTGTTTGACAGGCCCTTGGGGTATTTCAGGCTTCGTGACTGGCACTGAGTCCATGCTCACGACATGATCAGCAATCCCTTGAAGCTGAGAGATGAACTCAGACATGGTGACTACCACTCTCGACCCGGTAGCCTCCATGATGGCTTGTAGACGTGCCACGGGAGCGGCCCTAACTGGTACCACGGTACCGCCTGCTCTGAGTATGGCCAGAATTCCAACAACAGCCCATTTCGACTTGTCGCAGCAAATCATTACTGGCGATTCAATTGTCACACCCAGCTCGACCAGACGGTTTGCCAGCGCCTCCGACAGTTGGTCCAACTGCTGAAAGGACATCTCGCCATCCCACGCACACACGGCTGGGCGGTCGGGTGTGGTAGCAGAGTAGCGGAGTACGAGGTCATGCACAAGGCACGGTGCATCCGCTGCAACCTCGCGATTCAAAATGGCCAACTGCGCCACTTCCTCTGGGCTGATGTATTCGAGACCACCCATGAGCATGCTGGAGGTATTGTCATTATTTCCAGCAGAGACTTGGCTCAACTGCCCAAATATATGCTTGAAGCGGCTGAGCAGATGTTGAACTTGAGTGTGAGAAAGCACGTTATCGTCAAACCGAGCCAGAATCTCGATCGATGCCCCTTCTCGTGAATTAATGAAGCACTCAACGATGAGAGCGTAATTGTCAAACCCGTCCATAGGCAAAGTCAATTCTTTCATACCAAGCAGCTCTTCGAATGTCGCCTTACCCGGCGGAGCAGACTGGATGGCGAAAAGATGCTGTGGATTGATGTCTCGGCCCACCATGGAACGAACGTGATGAAGGCCAGAGTGTTCAAAAGGCACCATGTTGGAAGCCTGCTGTTGCACTGCGGCCAGGTAGTCGTGGACTGCTTGCTTCTCATCCACCTGGATCCGAACGGGCACTGTGGTGACTGTGGGTGCCATCATGTCCAGTATTCCCTTGACCGGTGCGTTTCGTCCCGACAGCGGCATCGCAAACAGCGCCGTCCCACCAGTATGTGACGAAACGGTCGCCGCCCATGCTGCGCGGAGTAGCGAGGCCAAAGTAACCAAGCGATTCACAGACTCCACGTTGATAGTACATCGAATGATTCTCGCTGGTTCGGGCTGGTACGATGGCTTGGGCAGTGCTGGGAAAGGCTCGCCCAGGTTTCCTTGCAGCTCCGATCGCCAGAACGCGGTTGCTTCTGCTAAGTCTTGTGCTTGTATGTATTGGATAAAGTTGGAATAGGGCGGAAACGACTCGGGAACCTCGTTAAATAAGTATATGCGCGAGAGAGCCTCAAGAAGCATGGGTAAGCTCCATCCATCATAGATGCTGTGGTGCGCAGTCCAGACAAAGTCGCGGCATCCGTTGCTGTGATTGATGTAGGCCAAACGAATCAGAGACGTTCCATAGGCCATAGATTGTGCGACATCGTCACTCAGATATTGGTCGAGGTCATGGCTCGTGTGCCACTTGCAGTCGCCTCGAACGACGACTTGCAATGCTCCTGACAGTCGTCCTGGCACGATGCGCGTCCGAAGAATCGGCACTGCTCGGCTGAGGGTCTGCCATGCACCTTGGAAGCGTTCGAGATTGATATTATCTGGCATCTGGAAGGCCCAGCGTGCAATGTAGGCGCGCGGCTGCTGGGCTGTAACCACCATGAGCCCCTCCTGCAGTGGTGTGCATGGGTAAATGTCCTCGACATCGTCAATGGGCACATCGCATTGAGCGGCTATCTGATCAAGTAAAGCTTTTGCATGGCCCGATTCCTGGCTTTTATTGAGTTCTTGATATTCCTTCCACAAGGAGAAGCGCGCCGTTTCTCTGTCTGATGCTCGACTATGTGTCGAGCGTTGATCGATAGCGTGCGCCAACTCCCTGATGGTCGGATGCTGGAGCACATCAGATACGGTAAAATGAACTCTCGAATCATCAGCCTGGGACGAGGCAACAAGACGCATTGCTAGATACGAGTCGCCCCCCAGGTGGAAGAAATTGTCTTCTACGCCAACTTGATCTAGTTCATGCTGGAGAACTGCCGCCCAAAGTGCGCGAACAGTCTTTTCCGTCTCCGAGCTCGGAAGAGTCTTGGCAGCATCCGCAAGAGTGTAGTGTAGAGCTTCCTGTTCTGAAAAGCTTTCGAGGGACTGGCGAAGTGCTTGTCGATTGACTTTGCCTGAGGCTGTCAATGGGAGCCGCGTAGTCGGAACATAGAGATTCGGTATCATGTGCGACGGCAGGACACCTGCAAGGGCCTTTTTCAGGAGAACCAGCTCCTTTTGAAACCCTGGTGAAAGCCTCTCAAAGTGGAAGCCAGCCACGTCGGCTTGCAGACCGAGTGTATCGCAGTTTTGTTCGAGGACCGCAGCGATAAGTGGCCCGCGTTGGTTGGATGAGACCAAGCATGCCGCAACATTCTGTAACCCGCTCAAAATTTCTTTAATGGCGTGCTCAATCTCGCTCAGCTCGACTCGGTTGCCGCGGATCTTGATTTGCCAATCCTTTCGGTCAACATAAAAGAGATCGCCTTTGGCATTCTGCCGCGCCATGTCTCCGGTTCGATAAAATCGTTTGCCCTGCAGGCCAGCGCTTGCAGCCCAGGGAGGATCAACAGGAAACCCCTTGTCTGTCAAGTCTTTCTTATTGAGATAGCCTCGGGCTACCAGCGGTCCTTCGACCCAAATTTCCCCGACGGCACCAATGGGGCAGATCTTGTCCGTGTCATCGACGAGCCAGACGCTTCCAAGCAGTGGGCGCCCAATTTTTGGGGCTTCATTTTTATGCTGAATTGGGCCATTGCAAGTTGTGATCATTGAACACTCCGATGGACCATAGCCGTTGAATATCTTGATTTGTCGCGCTTCGAGGTGCTTCTCGACAAACGCTGGCTTCAATGCTTCACCACCCAGTACCAGTGTCTCCAGAGACGGCAGCTTGGAAACGTCGAGCAAGGTTGCTACCGTGGGCGTCATGATGACGAGGGTTGCACCGTATATCTGAATGGCGCCTTGGATGTTGTTCATTCGGTCATCTTCTGACATGACGCACACGCATCCGCCATGGCTCAGGGTACCCCAAATGTCGCCAATGCTGAGATCAAAGGTGTAAGACACAAACTGAAGAGTCCTGGTTCGGGAACTCAAACCAAATATCTTCCCTTGTGCCTCAAGACTTGAAGCGATCGAGCGATGAGTCAACACGACACCCTTGGGATTGCCTGTACTACCAGAGGTATGGATGACGACAGCGGCGTTGTCTGGATTGGCCGTAGAGTGCACCCGCTCAGTCGGCATTGCGCCGTGGAAGAATGGCGAATTCGAGTCAACAGCAACGACGTTCGGGATAATTTCCAGAAATCTATCACCGTAACAGCTTGTTGTGAGCAGTGTACAGATTCCACTCTCACGCAGGATTGTTTCTAAACGCTGCATTGGCTCCATTGGGTTGATTGGTACAATTGCGCCACCTGACTTCAAGATGGCAAGTTGCGCAACGATAGCCCATCGCGACTTATCGAAACAGACGCCGATCATTGTCTCCGGGGTCACACTCAGATTGGAGGTCAGGTAGAAAGCAAGCTGCTCTCCAAGCTGATCCAGCTCAAAGTATGTCAAATCCCCATCCCATGCGCAGATAGCTTTTGCCGATGGATCAAGACAGCACTTTGAGTAAACAGTGTCGTGAACACAATGCTGTACAGTGACCAAGGGAACCTCACTGTTCCATTGGCAGATCTGACGGATATCCTGACCCGTCGTTGTGGTCACGTTGCGAAGCAAAAAGGCCTCGCTCTGTGTCAAAGACTGAACAGTCTGCAGTAGGCAATCAACAATGCGGGTCGCTGCGTCGTGGCCCATAAAGGACGGTAGATAGTCCAGCGTCACTGAAACCTTGTTGCTCGATGCCACAATGTCGACACCTGCATCGTACTCACTATCACCTAAAATTGCAATAGTATGTTGAAAGAGACCACTTCGTTGGCCGTCGGCAGAACTGAGTTGCCTGTAGGAGAGATAGGTGTTGAACAACCCGCGGCCGCCGGTCTTGAGGGCGTGCCAGATATCCACCAACGGAGTGCGCTGTTGGCCAAGATTCTCAAAGAACCGTTTCTGAACGCTCTGCAAACTTTCTGCAATGCTAGAATCCCAGTCCAGTTTGATCCGGCTCACTAGTATGTTGACAAAGGGACCAAAGATTTGATGTGCTTCATGCACGGGCACGTCCCTGCCACTCGACACGTAGCCAAACAAAACATCGTCAGATCTGACAAACTTGGACAATACCAGGGCCCAGGCGAGCTGGAAGACATTTGCCATGGTTACTGAGTGCTTCTCGCTGAATTTCCGGAGTGACTCCACGCCCTCGAGGCTTGCTGTTGTCGATTGTCTGCGAGAAGGTGCCGGGAGGCTGACAATGTCCGTTTCGCTTTCGTTTTGTATCTTTCGCTCCACCATAGCAGGTAGAAAGCAGGCCTCAGCACTCTCCAGATTGTTGATCCAGTATTGTAAAGCTTCTTTTGTGCTTCTTTGCTTGAGGAACGACAGATATGCGCTGTAGGGAGGCGCTTTGCTGTCGGGCGTGAGTGTCCCTTCGTATGCCTCCGTGAGCTCCTTTTCCAGCAAAGAGAGTGAGAATCCATCAGAGAGGGCGTGGTTGATAACGAGGTGGCCATAAGTGAGATTAGATGGAGTCGAATACACCATGAATTTGTGGTTGGGGCCGTCCCCGTAGTCAACGGCTGAAGGATTGGTCATAGTGGCCAAGAGGGCTTCGACGCTATCCTGTTCGCAAACCTGATGTACAACGTTGATCCTATATCGTCGGATAACGATCTGGTCAAAAGCACCATCTCCGGCATTGGAGGTCCGTGGCACAAAGATAGTCCTCAGCATTGGATGGCGATCCGTCAATGTCTGGTAAGCATGCATGATACGCTCCACGTCCAAATTTATGCGACTGTCTGGGGATTGCAATTGCCACACCACTTGGGTCTGATACATCCCGGGTGACCGCGCCTGGCTCATCAATATACCGTTCTGCATGGGGGTGCAGGGATACATGTCCTCGACGTTCTCAGGCTGCACTCCGACGCGGGGAAGAGTTTGTCCCTCGAGAATTTTCAACTTCTGGTCAGTTAACTCGACAAGTGGAAAGTCGCTCAACGTGAGCATAGAGGGCGTCTTTAGGAGGGTCGCTACTAAAGCACGCAGGGTCTTGGGAAATTCGCAAGACCAGCGCTCCACGTCACTCCCGTGGTTCATGCGGTGGTTGAAATGAAAGGCGACATGAAGCCTACTTTGTAAAATTGTGGCGTCAACATCAATCTCGGAGTGTCGTGTCTTTTGAACACCTGTGGATAACTTTTGGCGTCTGGGCAGAAGCTGTTGTTTGAAGAGTGTGCTTTGTTCTTGGATCTGCTGGCTTGAATCATCAAAGTTGAAGAAAATTTCCATCGTTTCACGATTCAGGCTCGAAATTGTCTCATAATTCCTGGCATTTCTGTTTTGCGAGTCGTGCAAGCGGCGAAATTTCGTGTTTCTTCGGGCATTCTTGATCTGTTTAGTACTCTTTACAGCATCATCCATGTTGGCAACGGGGAACCGAAGCGGCATTGTCGTAGTGAAGCAACCAACTGTCTTCGAATTGTCTATGCTACCGTGGTTCAAGCTTCTCCCTCGGGAACCTTCCAACAGTACGGGAATGCACTGACTTGGAAACGTGGTGGTAAACGACATTACCAGGGCAGCAAGTATCAGTTCCACTGGTTCAGTCCGCAAAGCCTGATTGGCGTTTCCAAGAAGCACCATGGTGTCAAATTCGTCGAACTGCAAGACTTTCGTATTGGTTTCATCGTACACAGGCTCGTTACTTGTCAGGCTTCCGAACTCTAGATCGAGCTTGGACATCAAAGGCTTGAGACCAGGGGTCAGAGACGCCGAGGTAGGCTCCGGCCCTTCTTCCTTCGTTGTTTTCGCGATACCCTCTACCCATGCCTGGAAGGAAGGACGCTCAACTACCAAGGCCACGGTGGAGTCTTGGTACAGAAGTCTCTCTAGGTCTTCAATGATGATGCAGAGAGAGATCTCGTCCATGACCAGATGGTGTCCTGTAATGAACAACAGCTGTTTGCCCTCTTCCTTGCCTGCATGAAGATGCATGAACTGAACGGAAAAAACAGGCCCATTCTCGATATTAAGGCCCTGTTCTGTGGATTCCGCGATGTCATGGATCTCTTCAAAGCCGTTTAGATGGCTCACTGCAAAGCCGTATGCGTCGTCACTGTGTCCAACGACTTGTTGCTGCCATCCATTGGCTGCGTCGGCCAGAAAACGAGCGCGCAACATTGGGTGCATAGAAACAAGAGTGCTGAAGGAAGTAGAAACATGCTTCTCGGCTAGTTTCTGATTGGCTTGCAGACACACGCTCCGACAATAGCCATGCCGAATGCCGGAGCCAAGAGGATGGACACGATCAAAATACCATTTCTGAGTTGGTGACAGTGGAAAAGGCTTGGATGCAGATGTGTAGCTCAGAAAATTCTCTTCGGGGACTCCAAGCTTTTCAGTCAGCTTAGCTATCGACTTACTTTGCAGAATGTCGGGGACGGTCAACGTGATGCCTTGTGTCCGCGCTCGAGACACTGCCTTCATTGCCAATATGGAGTCGCCACCTAGGCTCAAAAATGACCGACGGTTGATTGGAACTTGAGGGATAGATAAAAGTAGAATCTCAGCCCAAATGTCTCTAATCTGCAGCTGAAGCGTTGTTGCTTCGCGCTCTTGGGTAAGTTCCTCTCCGGCCGATGCAAAGGCCTCGACCCAACTCACATCTACCGAATCGACACAGCGTCCCAGCCTGACACGGTCCAACTTTCCAGAGTCGGTTTGTAACAATCTGCTCGTGACCGGGATCCACATTGTCGGCACCATGTATTCGGGAACTCTGTCGGAGAGCCAATCGCCTAAGATGGCCGTTTGGAGTTTGGCTCTTGCGATCTGCTGTTGGTCGACAGGCGACAGTGTCTTCGGATGCATTTCTTGCGAGATAAAGGCTTCAAGTGCAACAACTGCGACAAGTTGACCTTGGCATGGTCCATCAGCAGCTAGCACAATGGCAGCCTCAACCACTGCATCGTGATCCTTGAGATGTTGTTCAATATCCTCAAACTCGACGCGCTGGCCTCTCAGCTTGACCTGAGTATCCCGTCGTCCAACGAATGTGATGCTTCCGTCTTTATTTCTCTGCACCAAATCACCTGTGCGATAATAGCGAGTTGAACCGGAAAAGGCGTACTTGGATACCCAGGCTGGTGGAGGTACAAAAGCCTGTGAGGTCTTTTGCTCATCGTTCAGATAACCCCGGGCGAGATGGGAGCCTTGGATAAGCAACTCTCCTATGGCGCCCGTAGGTGCAAGACGATCGGGGTTTGTGGCATCAACCACCCAGAACGCACCGGTGATAGGAAACCCTATATTCGTAGTATTGCACTCGCGTGTGAGTAGCTTGCAGCTAGAGATGATGGAGCATTCAGACGGCCCATAGCCATTCCAGAGCTCCACGTGGTCGATCCATCGATGAAGGACACCGGGCTTGATTGCTTCCCCAATCAACATGAGATGTTTCAACGAGGGGACCTGCCCAGGGGAAATCATTTCGGCCATTGTTGGCGTCAAAAGCGCCCAGTTCACGTTGAGCTCGCCCATTGCAGGCTCAAGTCGGTTGATACGGTCGTGTTCGGACACGATGCACACACAGGCACCAATGTGCCAGGTGAAGAAGAACTCGTAGATGGCTGCATCAAATGTGTAGGCGGAAAATTGCAGCATGCGAGTATCCGGGCCTGGATTCAAGCGTTCCACAGAATGACGGAGACTGGTACTCACACTGTCGTGGGTAAGCATCACGCCTTTCGGAACACCGGTGCTACCAGAGGTGAAGATAACATAGGCGAGGCTGTCTGGGGTTGCTGAGCAAGACACTGTAGCGGCAAGGGGGAGTTTCGCCATAGATGCACCGTCAATAACAACCACATGTTTGAACAGTGTGACAAATCGGCTGGCAAAGTTGCTTGTGGTCAGAACAATGTCTGCACCTGTATTTGTGATCATCATCTCCAGGCGCTTCATCGGTTGATTAGTGCCAAGAGGGACTACGGCAGCCCCCGATTTGAGTACCGCGAGCTGCGAGATTGCCGCCCACTTAGACTTTTCGAAACACGTGCAGATCAAGATATCTTGTTGAGCACCCAGGTGTTGAAGGTACGAGGCCAGCTTGGAAGCTTCCTCGTTTAGAGCTCGATATGTCAGCTCGCCATCCCAGCCCTGCACGGCCAAGGCATCAGGGCAAAGTCTGGCTTGCTCGTCCACCTTGTCGTGTAAAAGACTTCCAATTTCGGTAGCTGTGTACGAATTGCGTCGGCGCAGCTGTTCAATCTCCTGTGTGCAAACGACATTTACATCGCGTAGTGGTATATCATCACTGCACATACAAGCCAGTGCCGTCTGAAAGCTTTCGGCAACGCTTTCGATGATCTCTTGGTCTATACGCGAGAGCCAATAGTCGAGTCGGATGTCAAGGCCTCCGTGACAAGGCTGGATATTGAGAGAAATATCGTACTATGGCATTGTCAGTTTTTATATGAACTCGGTCCTCGTAGGTTTCAGGCTTGTGGTATTTCACCTACATCGGAAGCGGTAATCTCATCCAGCATTACGATCTGAAGATCCGAGCCGGCCGACTCTTCATCTCTGACTCCCATTTGAAAGGTGATGATGGTATTGCCTCGTAAGTCAGATACTCCGTGGCCGTGCTTCTTTTCTTCAAATAGTAAGGAACCTGGATGAGACAGGCCCTGAATAACATCCTGCTTCGCCTTGGACAGCATTTGGGATATCTTGGCTGTTTCTGGGAGCTTCATCCGGCAGACCATGACATCTACAAACGCGCCCACTGCATTCTCGATACTACTCAGTGGAGCGTGGCGGCCAGAGTTCACATAGGAGAAGCAGACATCCTTGGAGCCTGTGTAAGAGCCGAGCACGACCGCCCAGGCTACCTGGCAGAGATTGGCCGATGTGGCGTCATATTCGAGGCAGACTTTCTGCAGCGCAGCCGCGTCTAGCTCAATGCGAAACCGAAGCGTCTTGAGGTCCTCCAACTTGCGGTTGCCGTTGGTCGGGAATCTGGTTGGCTGCGCACCGGCGAGATGGCTGGACCAGTATGCGCGCACACTTTCTCGGTCTATTTCCTCTTGGTAGGCCACGAATGAATCGTATGAGAAGGCAGTCGGGCTCGGCAGCTCGTTCTGAAGATATGCCTGGGCAAAGTCGTGGAAAATGATGCCAAAAGACTGGCCGTCCATCAGCGCATGAGAGACCTCAAGTCGGAAAACCGCGGAATTTTCTGAGCGTCTCAAAATCGTTGCTCTACCTGTCGTGCCTTTTTCTTTTGAGATCGAAACACGGCGTGAAAACATGCCCTCGGCAGACTCTTCGCATTGGGCACTGCTCAATTGACACTCCAACGGCACAGCTTCATGTTTCATGATGACTTGATCGAAATGGCCTGGTCTTTGAATGCTTTCGATGAATACGGTCCGGAGCGCCGGGTGACGTTGAGCTACACATATCCAGGCATTCTGAAGGCGGTCATCGTTAAGCGAAAGGCCGGGTTTCATACACTTGATCTCGGCGACCACGACACATTGATACATTTCCGGGTTGGCGTGTTGCGAAATGAGGAAGACTTCTTGGGTTCGCGAGCACGGAAAAATATCTTGTATATCTTCCAATGGCTCTGCAGTAATGTTTCTGACTTGATCCAATACAAGCTCATTGTTAAGCAGTGACAAGGACGTCGCAATAGGTTCGCCCGGTCTGTTGGGGTCGGGTACCGGGCCCTCTCCAGATGAAGAGATTAGCTGACACTCGGCAGACCTGGACAGCTCCTCAATGCTGGCAGTTTGAAGAATTTTGGCGATACTGATAGTATATCCAGCCTCACGGCAGTGTGCCATGAGTTTAATTGCGAGCAAAGAATCGCCGCCTAGGGCGACGAAAGACTTGCTCGTTCTCATCCGTGTAATTGGGCGCCCAAGCACTTGGGCGCACATGTCCACGATTTCCTGTTGCATGGCGCTCGGACTCGGTGCGCGATCTTGTGCTGGGGTTGGCATATTCTCTGAGCTTGCGAGATGCTTCATGTTGGTTGAGCAAGTGGTTGAGCACTGGGAGGAGTCGAGGTGTAGGGTACCGACGCAGGAGAGCAGGATTCTGCAGGCAACGGTCCTGTGCGGAAAGTCTGGTCTGTAATTGTCGTTTTCGATTTCTTCTTTTTGACAATATTGAGATACTTTGTCAATTGGTGTGCTTTCGTCCTTTGGCTTGACTTGTTAGAAACGACTTCCTTTCCATCACTAAACTGATTTCAACTCACAGTCGCGGCTCGGCAACAATTTCCCCAAGCTTACGCTATGCTGTATCCAGCAACGGGTTCCCGAAGTAAACACCAATATTTCGCCATGGTAGGGGAGCCGAAAATAGTCTCGGTTTGGCAGTTTCCGTTCCCGATCGTCACCGGCCGTCATCTTCCCTACTGTCCGGGCAATTGCGCGGCCCACCTCAATTACGAGATAGTTTCAGCTAACCCACCGGGATTATGCACCTCATGCATGTCTCAGAGTCGGGGGGTCTAGATTGAGCCGCGACCCAGCATTACTGTGTGCGCTGCACCTCATGAGGCTCCCGCGGGTCGCCATGACGTGTAATGACACGAGATGTGCAGCTTCGAGAAGTGAGGGCGTTTGTTGATCTGCCACCGGCTGTCCATCCGGTACTACCCCACCAATGTGGAGCGCTCGGACGGCCATCATATTCACACACCCCAGGGTCAAGGTCCAATCTTTACGTGAACATTGACTGTGCACCAGTGTGAGCAGGGTGGTGGCTTCGGGTAATTTCGCCCGAATTGGGAGAAATATTCAGTCCAAATGGGCAGAAATATTCAGGCAATGGCGTGACGCATTCATTCGCACAGACTACAGACATGCACTCCGCAGCTAAGCATGACAGCACATCTTACCAGCCGAGGAGAAAAGATAGGTGGACACGACCGTTTGCTTTGAGGCTACCAGGCTCACCAGCTGCTGTTCTCGCTCTCCCATCAACCAAGGAGTCGGATTCTCGTCAACAGAATGATCTTTTCATCGCCAGCATGGGTGCCGTCCCCGGACCAGAGCGCGCCGGACCAAGTTCCTATCGGAGACTACGTTCTGTCGAACCATGTCTTGTCGAAAAACGATGCGCCATTTGTCGATGCAATATCCGGTCATGTCTACACGATGGCGATGTTACGGACTAGAGTCGAGTCCCTTGCGCGAGGGTTGGCGGCGGATCTCAACTGGTCTCCGAATACTGGATCGCCAGAGGAAAAAGTGGTGGCCATCTATTCTCTCAATACTGTGGGTTAATTTTGTTTTCTGCTCTCTCTAGAATCTGTGCACTGCCATGTTTCTCTTGGTTTCTCTTGAGATCAGCTCTCTCGGGTCCCCTGCTGACGATCATGTACAAGATCGATTACTTCATACTCTGCTGGGCCGTCCATCGTTTAAACGGCATCTGCATGCCTCTCCATTCGACCTGCACCTCTGCGGAGATTACATCGCATATGATCACTGCAAGCTGCACGACGATTTTTACGTGCTCGGGGCTCATGTCCACCTGTTTGGAAGCAGCCAAGGAGTTGCAGCTACCAGCAGAGAAAATCTATACGCTGGCTCTGCCCAGCACCTACCTGGATAACGCGAACCTTGAAGATTCTCCTCGGCTTAAAACGCTGGAACAATTGGCAGATCAAGGCTCACAGCTCCCTCAATTAGAGCCGTTGAGATGGTCAGCTGGGCAGGGCAAGTCCCAGGTAGCATTTCTATGCTCTACTAGCGGCACCTCTGGACGCCAGGTAACTAACTCTGCCTTTGTTCTTCTTTGACAAAAACTGCAGCTGTCGAATGTGCTGACGAATGACTGAAAGAAACTCGCAATGCTTACGCACTACGGTATCATCACCAACCTCCTTCAAATGTCGGCGTTTGAAGGCTTCGCAAACGACACCTACGGACAGACAGTGGCAGCCGCGATTCCCTTCAGTCACAGTTATGGGATTCTTATTGGTCACGTTGGTGTCTTGCGTGGCGAATCTCACATAGTGTTCCCTCGCTTTGACATGCAGCGCATGCTGGGCTCTGTCGCGAGTTATCGTGTCAACAGGTTATACTTGGTAGGGCTGCATCCACATTCTCGGCAACCAAGCAACTCGATTAACTCTAATCTCTAGGTGCCGCCCATTCTAGCTGTTCTTGGTGCAAATTCTTTTTTGATGGAGCCTTTTGACCTCTCGTCCGTCACTTCAGTCGTCACTGGCGCGGCGGCGCTCGATCGGACTGTAGCCGGCAGACTGAAATCGCTGCAACCAAGTTGGGAGTTTCTCCATGCCTGGGGTACGTTGTCTGATACTCGGCGTCGTTTTTTATGCATAGTACGACGATAGCTGACAAAAAATATGTCCATAGGTCTGACCGAAACTTGCATCGTTGTCACTTTCACCAGCAAGCATGATGTCTGGTACGGATCGAGCGGATCTCTCCTACCAGGCTGTCAGTTGCGACTGGTCGATGCCGAAGGCAAGGATGTAGAAAACTATGACCAAAGTGGAGAAGTGTACTATAAAGCGCCAAACATGTTTGTTGGATATCTGGGAGACCACGAGTCCACTATCAGTTCGTTTGACGACGATGGTTGGATGCGTACCGGGGACATGGGCGCAATCCAAGTCAGCCCCAATGGCGTGGAGCATCTCTTTATTCGAGACCGAATCAAGGATATGATCAAGGTCAAGGTTAGTACTATTACGAGATGAGTGCAACTCAGGCTAACTTGTCATTTTCCTTAAGGGCATGCAAGTCATTCCAGCCGACGTCGAAGCGGCGATGCTCACGCATCCTGCTGTCGCTGACGTTGCCGTCATTGGCGTTCCTGATGAGCTTGCGGGAGAGCGAGCCATGGCCTTTGTGATACGCTCCACATCTGTGATGAGTGAATTTTCTGAAGATGATTTACGAGACAGCATTAATGACCATTTGGAGGACAGACTCCACGAGACTCACTGGTTGGGCGATAGACTTGAGTTTGTTGCGGAGATCCCGAAGAGCCAGAGCGGGAAAGTTTTGAAAAAGATTTTGAGAGAGAAAGCGGCATCGAATTGAGAGATGAATTTCGTCTTGCAAGAACAAAAGAAAATATAGCTCAATTCTTGTTTGATCACAAAATATAGGTCCTGAGACGATACGTGTGTGCTGTAAATACTTGCCTTTCCTTGTCTCGTCACCCACTGTGTATGCAGCCACTTACATTCCCCTTTTCTGTTTTTCCTGAAATACTAATTTGAAGTTGAAAGACCCTTAGTACTCAAAGCTGTCCTCGGCGTCATAATTTACTTTATTTTCATGCTGGTTGGAAATCATGCAATGTGTCGCGTACAAAAATTACAAACCAGGGAGCCGACTGGCTTTCTAAAAGAACGCATCGGATTTTCAAAATATTTGTCTCACATCTACAGCAATTAAATAAAGCGAGCCTAATCTCTCTAGGTTGACATTGTTTTTATGTCGTGATACTCAGCTGCGGAATTCGGCGTATTTGGTAAACAGACTGTCGTCCTTGAGCCTACCAAGATCCTCGGCCGTACACTGGAGCTGCACCTCGAAACCACCCTGCGCATCCTGCGGCAAGAAATAGGCAACACCTTTTTCGCGTGAACCAGACCGAATACAGACCGGCTGTCCAAGATCACCACCCCATTCTTGTCTCAGCGTGTCCATGCCGGACATGTCCGTCACGACCAGATCCGGCCCGGGAAAGGTATTGTAGTCCCAGTACACATCCGTCACGGACGACGACCCCTCCACCAGCCCGATAAACTCGCGCATCGTCTTTTCATCCATAGCCCCGATCGCTTCCCGCACCGCCGCGGCGAGCGCAACGAGCGACGCGGGGCTAGACGGCGCGCAGACCTCGGCGAGGCGCATGCGGGTGCGCGCGTTTGGCTCGTTGATGTTGCCAATGTAGCCGTCCGCAAACGCAGGCTTCGCACGGCCCCGGAAGTCGATGCGCGACGCGAACAGCGACGTCTCATGCGCCAGTTGCTGATGTAGAAGCCGGGCCAGACTCAGGTGCTTCCAGACGAGCGCCGAGACGGCCTCGCCACTGGTAAACTGCACCGCGTCGCTCCCGTCGGCGGCTGCGCGGCCCAGCTCGCCGCGCAGGCTGCTCAGCGCCTTCTTGCTGAAATACCAGGTGCTGAGCCCGGCCGTGGCGTTTGTCGTGTCCGGCCGGTCCAGCAGATGGGCGGCCGCGGGCGAGAGAGGGGTCCTCGCGGCCGCGTTGATCTGGTAGTCGCTGAAATGGCTGACGTGTACGTCGCGCGGGCCGCAGGTCAGTCGCCACCGGTCTCTGGTGGGCTCTGGCGCGGCGCTCGGCGAGCCGATGGTTCCCTGGCCTGCCCACATCTTGGTGTGGCGAGCCCACGAGGACAGAAGCGTGTTGATGCCCCGCGCGTCGCTGACGGTGTGGTGCCACGAGAGGCCCATGATGAGTCCGCCATCGACCACGCTGGCTTGCGCAAGAAGCCCGGGAAGACCTCGCGCACAAGCTAGCTCGGAGGCGGGCAGCTGGTTGAACAAGAGTTCGGTAGGTACACTTGCCAGAGGAAAGTTGTCCCGGGCCAGTTCGGCATATGTGCCGCCGCTCGAGTGCTTCTCGAGGTGACTAGCCAGCGCATCTTGGCGGACGAGCTTGAATGGCACCCCAGAGTCAGGCCCAAGACGAAGTTGCAGCTCATTCTTCTTCGAGCCCGGCACCGGCACGACAAGAGACGCAAAGTCTGGCACCTCGGTCAGCGCCGCTCCAAGTCCACGCTTCAGACTTGAGAATACATGGTCGGCGTCGGCATTTTGGCTCAGTTTGAAGACGAGCAGGAGATTGGCATAGGCGCGTTGCGCTTGTTGGTCCAGCGTGGACAGTTGGACAACTTCCTCGCCGAGGGCAACACTGAGCTTCACGGTCGTGCACTCCATGACTGTAAGTGATGTGTTACACAACAAATTTGGGGAGAATACTTCCGGGTATCTCAAGAGGGGAGTAGCCTAGGCTGAGGTGGACAATTCCTGCAGGTCTAGGGATGGGCCAGGTACCGATCACGTTGGGGTCCGTCAACTTCTTGTGACAAGCAAAGCTCAGGTCTACTCGTAAAGGGTCTTTTGGTCATTTCTGCATCAGGACCCCCCGGGCGGCAGCACGGCAGTGGTCCGGGAAAAGGCTGCGCTGTGGTACTTCATCTACACCCCCGGGTGTGGCGTCATCTGCCGATCTCATATCCAGAAGCAGCAAGTCAGCGAGCTAACTTGTTTCCCGAGTCGATAAACCCGAGTTTGTTTCCGCGCTAGCGCACCAGGCACCGAGGGTTGGGTGACATCGACAAGCCTGACTTGCAGGTAGGAGCATCACCGAACCTTGTTCTCTAAAAGCTTGTACTTCTAGGATGAGTTGATGTTTTGCAACCACAATCGCGCGGGATGCAGCCATGTCTGTCTCGCCGGCTATTGATGGAGTTCTCGCATCGCATCTCTCACCGACGTCTCGTATCGTTAGCCTGCCATAATTGGGCGCCAGGGACCTATAACAGCCAGAAGAGCAATTGCGTATTATGATTACTTGCATTTCAGTATTGTTAGACGTGCGGTCCCGTCATCTTTCGTCCATTGCCCCATCATGGCCCCGTCGGCCTACTCAGCCTCAGCCGTCCTGCAGCGACCTGCCCCTCGAGGTGGCATCATGTCTCAACGTCATGCAGCTGCGGCCCGCTCGAGGTGGTTCCATGTCTCAATGTCATGCATACTACGCTCCTGCGCTCCATCGGGAATTACGCATAAAGTTGAAACTTTATAAAAAAAATTGGTGGGAAATAGGGTGGCTTCGTCGGAGCAATTCGTTCCGGATTCATCTCTGGTGACTAGCTTACAAGTGCCAACAATTGTCGGATATTGATCAGCCGCACTCATTCATGAATTGAGCCCCACCGGTTCTCAAAGACCAACTAGATCTAAAGCTCGCTTCTCGATTTTGTTTCACAGTAGAACCATTGTTTCTCAATCTCTTTCCAACTCAAACTGTGCGACTTGTAACTTGATACCTACTTTCGTTGAACAAGATGCAGTCAGACACCAATAACTCGCCTCTCTCGTGGGAGGAGCTTCGCAGCGGTGCGGCAAGTTCTGATGCGAATAGCTCGCCTCCAGAGCCCATTGCCATCATCGGCATGAGCTGTCGACTGTCGGGGAGTGCCCAAGACCCCTCCAGCCTTTGGGAAATGCTCACTTCTGGCCGGACGGCATGGACTCCAGGACCTGGCCAGCGCTTCAACATGGAAGCGTTTCAAAGTTCATCAGCAGACACGTTTGGCATGGTAAGCCCTTGAAGCTGAAATTCTTGAATCGATGTGCCGCTAATGCATCTCTGCTCTTGCAAAGACCAATACCGGTGGCGGTCACTTTCTGAAAGAAGACGTGGCTGCCTTTGACGCTGCCTTTTTTGGCATCCACGCCGTGGAAGCAAAGGTGAGCTTTCCAGCTCCAAAACTGCCAACGGCGGAGCGCTTGTGTCTTGAGTAAAGGAGTTCTTCTAATGCGGACTAGGCCATCGATCCCCAACACCGCCTTCTTCTAGAAATCGCTTACGAGTGCTTCGACAACTCGGGGCTCAACATGGACTCATTATGGGGTTCAAACACGGGTGTCTACGTCGGCCAATGGGCCAATGACTATCACGAGATCCAGACACGCGACATTGACGCCCCGCCTCTCTACCTTACCACCGGCACCGGTCCGGCCATTTCCTCCAACCGCATATCCTACTTCTTCAACTTGCGCGGGCCTAGCTTCACCGTCGACACCGGGTGCTCCTCTGGCTTCGTCGCTCTCCACCAAGCCGTACAGAGCCTGCGGAGCGGCGAGACCTCGCAATGTTTCGTCGGCGGGGTCAATCTGATGCTGGACCCCCAGCGCTTTGTGTACCAAAGTAAGCTCAAAATGTTTTCTAATGAAGGTCGCTCTTTTGCCTTTGACTCGCGCGCCAACGGATACGGCCGCGGAGAGGGCTGCACGGCCGTGATGCTGAAACCGCTCTCGGCTGCGCTGCGGGACGGTGACCAGATCCGAGCCGTGATTCGGAACTCGGTCCTAAATCAAGATGGTAGAACGGCGGGAATTACCGTGCCCAGCCCGGAAGCGCAAGAGGAAGCCATCCTGAAGGCCTACGGAGACGCCATGCTCGAGCTCCGCGCCGACTATGTGGAGGCGCACGGCACGGGGACGAAGGTAGGCGATCCCAAGGAAGCGGGCGCGATTGCCGCAGCACTGGCACGCGGAAATAGTCCAGGGGCTGCGCTCCCGATCGGCTCGATCAAGGCCAATATCGGGCACACTGAAAGTGCGGCAGGCCTGGCAGGGTTGATCAAGGCTGTACTCATGTTGGAGCATGGCATCATCCCACCGCAAGCAAACTATGAGTCCCCCAACCCGGATCTTTGTCTGGAAGAGCGAGGTCTACGCGTGAGTGGAAGTCAAAAAAAATATCGCAAACCTCTATTGATAGATTCCGTTGCAGGTCCCTACCCAGCTGGAACGCCGAACGCTGCGCAGAATATCAGTCAACAGGTGTGTGAACACTGAAACCCAATCTGGGTCTTTTAGAGATACTAATTGCCCTTAAGTTTCGGTTACGGCGGCACCAATGCTCACGTGGTGGTTGATGCATCCGCCGACGCATTATGTGCTTTGTCCAGTCTTGGGCGGCATACCTCGGCCCAGCGTGTCTTTTTCATCAGCGGAGCGAGTGAAAAGGCGTGCCAGAGGATCTGCGCAAGATTGGCCAAGTATCTCGCGAGAAAATCAGCTTGGCCAGAGACAGACACGCCAGAGCTTCTGGCCAAACTTGCTTATACCCTCTCAAAAAAGTCCATCCACCCATACCGCCTGGCCCTGGTCGCCCAAGACATTAATGAACTGGTTCAGCAGCTTATCTCGGCAGCATATTCACCAGTCGCTCGTCAAGACAGAAAGGGCGACACCAGGATTGGTCTGGTTTTCAGTGGACAGGGGTCTCAGTATGCCGAAATGGGTCGTGAGTTGTTGTCAAGCTCGGCAGTCTTTTCTCGATCAATCGATCGAGCCTGCCAGCATCTCACTGAACTTGGCAGCGGTTGGAACATGAGAGAAGAGCTTTGCAGGCCTCAGGAGACGACGCGTATCAACGAACCTGCGCTCTCTCAGCCGCTGACGACGGCGATTCAACTTGCCCTGGTTGACCTGCTGTTCGATCTCAAAATATCTGTCAGTGCAGTTGTTGGACACTCTAGCGGAGAGATTGCGGCGGCGTATGCTGCAGAAGCAATCTCTTTCGAGGACGCCATGACTGCATCATACTATCGCGGTTCACTGACCAGCTCGCTGGTTGTCGGCAACCCGGAGTGCGACGGAGCCATGCTTGCCGTCGGTGCGGATGCGGATGTTGTGAACCAACGGATCAGTGAGGTTGGAGATGCGCACGGGCGCATGAGAATCGCTTGCTTCAACAGTCCCAGCAGCGTGACTGTTTCTGGCGACGCCAAAGCTGTCAATGAGTTGAGGAAACTCCTCGTTGCTGAGGGCACGTTCAACCGGATGCTACCAACAAATGGTGCCGCTTATCACTCTCACCAAATGGAATCCATGAACAAGGAGTACACGTTGTCGCTGCAAAAGAAATTGTCTCCCAAGAAGAAGACTTCCATCTCCGCGGCGCGGATATTCAGCAGTGTCACTGGAAAGGAAAACGACCTGCAAACGCCACTGGACGGGGTGTACTGGGCTGCGAATCTGCTCAGTCCGGTGCTTTTCTCGCAAGCACTCCGTGAAATGTGCGAGGCAAAGTACGATGGCAAAGCGCTGGACATGATTATCGAAGTCGGTCCACACTCTCAACTTGGAGGAGCAGTCAAGCAGACTGTCAAGGCCCTGAAGTCAAGCAGCGGCATTGCATACACGAGCGTGCTGAAAAAAGGAAAGAAAGCTCGACAAGCGTTTCTGGAATGCCTCGGCGCCTTGCATGTTTGCACAGCCACAGTGGACCTGAATGCCAGCAATGGGTTTAGCGCCACACATGCGCCGAAGCTCCTCGTTGACCTTCCTCCTTATCCGTTTGATCATGAGCGCAGCTTCTGGCACGAGACGCGCATCTCCAAAGACTACAGACATCGCAAGCACGCACCTCACGAGCTCCTCGGCACCTTTGCACATGATACAAATCGTGTCGAGCCGCGATGGCGCCAGTTCCTCAGCCTCAAACAGACCCCATGGCTCAAGAGCCACGCCGTTCAAGGGCAGATTGTCTTCCCTGGTGCTGGCTTCTTAACCATGGCCATTCAAGCCATGCTTCAGCACATGCACGCGACAAGTCCGCTTGTCAAAGTACACAGTCTCTTGCTGCGCAACGTCAGCCTCAGCAGAGCCCTCGTGCTACCCGCTGATGGGCCTGATGTTGAAATCACCTTGACCCTGCGCCCGGAATCGCACACGGCAAAGAGCTCTTCAGCCGTCTGGAGCGAGTTTCGCATTTTTACTGTGACATCGGAGAGTGTCTGGACCGAACACTGCCGGGGCTTGGTTCATGCTGAGACACAGGCCGCAGACGTGGACGAGATCGCAGCAGACGTGAAAGATACCCTTGAGGCTGGCGAGACATGCGTCCATGAGGTGACTCCCCAAAAGTTATACCACCTGGGCAGCGAAATTGGGCTTGACTGGCAGCATCCGTTTAATAACGTGTCTAACATCCGTACCAGTCGGGATGCGTGCGTCGCCGTCGCTCGCAAAACGGTTTTGGACTCCGACGTCGGCGGCATGGGTGACATCCTGCATCCAACTGTGCTGGATTCTTGCCTGTTCCACGGTCTTTCCGCCGTCCTTGTACTTGAGCGTGGTTCCACGTCGACATTTGTACCCAACTTTATCGAGCAGCTACAGATCTTCAACAGGACGCCAGACTCGAGCGCTGAGCTGCTAAGCACCTCCAAGCTTAGCCGAGACACCTCTACTTGCGATGTTGTCGTTCAGGAAAAGGGATGCAGTCCTGGCCAAGCAGTCATTTTCGCAGCCAAAGGTGTACATACAACGACTCTCCCAGGCGATACAGGACTGAACGAGGTGATTGACGACATCTGTCACAGCCAAGACTGGGTCACGTACGTCGACGCCTGGACGCCCGAACACTGCGATCGGGTATGCAGATCCGTGATAACTACCGCCAGCTCACTCGAGGATAACTGTCTGCTTGATGCCCTAACTCTGCAGTTTGTCCAGAAAGCTGTCAAGGAGGTAGACCCGGAGCGTGTGCCAGACGGACCACGTCGGCAGTTCTTCGAGTGGATGAAAATCTACGCAGAAACGCCACTGGACGAGCAGACTCTTCCACCAGCCTCGATCAGCGCTGATCATTGGGCCTTTTACGAGGGCGTCAAGAGACTGGGGCCGCACTTGGCCGACATTCTCGTCGAAAAGACGGACCCGCTTGCTCTTCTGACGCCAGACAACCTGCTCGGCCAACTGTACAATACGGAGCGTTGCCGACGGTGTATTGTACAGATGGCCGAGTACTGCCACGCACTGGGCCAGCAATCGCCGGGGCTCAAAGTTCTCGAAGTCGGCGCGGGAACAGCATCAGCCACATTGCCGGCCATTGAGGCTCTCAACGGCCGCGGTAGCATCAATGCGCACAGCTACACCTTTACCGATCTGTCACCCGCCTTTTTCGACCCGGCCAAGGAACGGCTCGGCAGTTTTGCGGACGCGGTCAAGTTTGACATTTTGGATATTGAGCGCTGCCCGCTAGAGCAGGGCTTCCAAGAGGCAGGCTACGACCTCATCATCGCAAGCAACGTCATTCACGCGACACAGCGCATCGATGCGGTCCTGGCCAATATCAAGAAACTGCTCAAGCCTGGTGGCAAGTTTATGCTGATGGAGCTGACCGTGCCGACGCCGCATTACAATTTGCTGTTTGGTGTCTTCAAGGGTTGGTGGGCCGGATATGACGAAGGTCGTCAATTGTCGCCGTTAATACCGCCGTCGGAATGGGTCACACGATTGACTCGTGCCAAGTTTTCTCCTGCCGAGCTGTGGTTCCAGGATTATCCGGAAGAGAATGGAGGCACCATCAGTGTCCTCATAGCCAGTGCGCCGTGGGATGTGGCCCAGGTTGAGCTCCCCGCCATTGACGTTGTCACGACCGAGTACAGCGCACTGGAGTCTGGCGATGAAGCAGTCTTGAGGACTCTTTCTTCGAGTGAAGAACTCCTCAACACGAACATTTCCGTTGGGTGTCTTTCGGATATCTCGTCAAAGGACAATATTGTCATTATTCTGCCAGAAGTGGCTAGATACTTGTGTCAAAGTCTTCATGGATCTGCATGGGAGCGATTTAAGCACTTGGTTCTCAATGCGCGCGCCGTGTTGCTCGTCGGCTGTAGTAGCTCCTACTGCTCCGATTTCGTCAGCGGAGGAATCTGGCTTGGTTTCGCACGCTGCTTGCGCCTGGAACTCCCCAGATTGCGTGTCATCACATTAGATCTCGCCGTCGAGCGCGCTCTCATGATGAAGAGACTGACAAGTGTGCTTCCTACACTCATGCGCTCCATCAAGCAGGGCCTCGCCCTTGACGGCCGCGTAGAGGTCGAAAATGAGTTCCGTGAAAGTGATGGCCAGCTTTACGTCTCCCGCCTCGTCTCCAACGACAAAATGAGCGAGTACGTGCACCGCAGCAGGCAGCGCGCACAGCCCAAGCTCCTCTCCTTTATGGATCCGCAGCGCCCCATGACAGCTGAGCTCCGCGTTCCAGGTCTGTTGGAAAGCATCCGATGGAAAGACGATGTCAAAGCGACCGCCGTCGGCCCTGACGAGGTGAAGCTGGAACTGCGCGCCGCGAGCATCAACTTCAAGGATGTGCTCATCGCCGCCGGGCAGCTGGAGGGCATCAATGAGATGCGCAACGATTGCAGCGGCGTCGTTATTGAAGTTGGTTCCAATATGTGTGACCGTTTCAAAGCCGGCGATCGTGTTTGCGCTCTATACTCGCGATCGTACACCAACTACCCCGTGGTGCACGGCGACTGCTGCCAGGTTGTTCCGGACAGCATGACCTATGAGGAGGCTACTGCCTTACCTGTCGTGTGGACAACTGTGTACTACTCTCTCGTGGATGCGGGCCGCTTGGAACAGGGCGACAAGATCCTCATTCACTCGGCCGCCGGTGCTGTGGGTCAAGCCGCCATTATGCTCGCCAAGCATATCGGGGCCGAAGTTTTTGCCACCGTGGGCAACAGCGAGAAGCAAACGCTGCTTCGTGAGCGATACGGCATCGCAGACGACCACATCTTTTCCAGCCGAACTCCTGCGTTTCATGACAAGATTAAGCGCTTGACTGGCGGCTATGGTGTCGATGTCGTCCTCAACTCGCTCGCCGGCGATCAATTCCGGCACTCGTGCAACCTCGTGGCTCCCTTTGGCCGATTCGTTGAGATTGGTCGCAAAGATCTCATGGACGATGCGCGCATGTCCATGGGCTTTCTGCTCAAGAACGTCACCTTTGCATATGTCGATCTCAGCTTGATCATGGAGGTCAAGAGGCCGCTCGCCAGACGTCTTCTGCGAGAGGTTGTAAATCTGGCCGCGTCGGGTGCCATACGGCCCGTCACACTTACCACGCTGCCAATCACGGAGATCGAAACAGCGTTCAGGATGATTCAAGCTGGAAAGCACACTGGCAAGATTGTTCTTCGAGTGGCACAGGACCAGATAGTCAAGGTGAGAAGCGCTTCTGTGCTTTGTCGTTTGGGGAGATGCTAACTTTTTGAAAGGCCGATCCACCTGCCCCTGCCCACGCAGAATTGAAGCCGAATGCTACATATCTATTGGTTGGAGGCTTTGGAGGTCTCGGACGCGCGGTTATTACGTGGATGGGAAGTCGGGGTGCAAAGAACATATTGGTCATCTCCCGGTCAGGCTCTCCGGACAAGCAAGGCCAGATCCTGATCAAGGATATGGAAGCTATGGGCGTCAAAGTCGTCGCTGAAAAGTGCGACGTGACGGCTGAAGATGAGGTGGCATCTCTGTCCAAATTAGCCGCCGACCGTGGTCTACCGCCCATCCGGGGTGTTATCCACTCGGCCATGGTACTACAGGTACGTACAACACATGTCGAGCCGGCATCAACTAGTTGTTATCTGCATGTTGAAAAAATAGGAAGAAATACTGACCAATTATTCAGGACTCTGTTTTGGAGGAAATGACAGCCGATGAGTGGTGCCGAGCGCTCGCTCCCAAATATGCCGGCTCCCTCAACCTACACCGGAGCTTTGGCAACGAGGTTGACTTTTTCATCTTCATGTCGTCGGCTGTTGCGCTGCGCGGCAACGTTGGGCAGTCCAACTACGCCGCCGCCTGTAGCTTCCAAGACGCGCTGGCGCGCTACCGCACCGCCGCCGGGCTGCCGGCCTTTTCCATCAACGTCGGCCCCGTGCGCGAGGTCGGCTTCGTGAGCGAGAACCCGCAGGTGGCGGCGGCGCTGCGCAAGCAAGGGCTCGGCACCATTAGCATGGCCGACCTGCTGACCCTGCTCAACTACGCCGTGGTGCACCGCAATCCCGAGGAGAGCGTCTGCTCCATCGGCATGCTGCCGCGGGACACGGACGAGAGTCTGACGGACCGCCGGTTTGCGCACCTGGTGCGCCACGACGTCGTGAGCCAGACGGCAGACGCGGGCGGCGTCCAGTTTGCGGATATTCCGCGACTGCTGGATGGTGCGGCGCCGGGGGCGCAACTACTTGAGAATATCAGCCAGCTGGTGCTGATGCAGCTGAGCAAGCTGATTGCGAGCCCGGTCGAGACGCTCAGCGCGGCGCAGAGTCTGGATAGCTACGGGGTTGATTCGCTGGTGGCTGTGGAGTTGAGAAACTGGGTGGGCGCGTATTTGCAGGCGAACGTGCCGCTGATGGTGCTGAGGGGGACGAGCAGTATTCATGAACTGGCCAAAATTATTGCCAAGGAGTCGCGGTTTGTCACAGCAAGTGCTTGAATTTTTGTGTTATTATTAGTATCAGGGCTTTGGATTTAGTATACTTTTGAACGCCGCTGTTGTGTCGCCGATATCCTAACGAGACAAGTAATGAATGCGCATTAAACCTTGTCTGTCAAGTCGCTATTACCGCTGAACGCTTTTCTTCGAAGTGCCTAAGGGAAGAATTGAAATACATTTACTCCTCTTCGAGTCAGCGTCATCGGGCCGCCTCGATATGTGTTGACGGCCCAGCGACAGGCGAAGACGCAACCTGCCGCCCTCGCTCCGCGTTTTGCAGCTAAGATTTTCTATAATAATTAGTAAATAATTTATTTAATTATAACTAGCAATTTTGTGCAGGCGGCCGTCGACGCTGCTGTGGCGCAGTACACTGCTTTACTCATATCCCGACTTGGACAAATTGCAACACGATATGCCGGCCCAAATAAGCTGGCCGGCGAATTCATAACGCGTTAGATGACACGCTTTACACGTTAGAAACCCGCGCGAAAGAAACTGCTGCGCCGAAGTCGAACTGACGGATAAGTCGAACCCGGGGCAGATGGTGTCGACGTCATGAGCCGTCCGTCACCACGGTGCACCATAAATCCAGTACCTACCGAGCCGTTGACCGACTGTATGGCTGCGATTACAAAGCAAGACAAGATAAGAGACAAGACAAGCATGTCATGCAGCATCGTTACAAAAATAACTTGGTTCCATGTCTCAGTCCCGTTCCACAGCTCCCATGCCGCTCCTTCACATCCTGTGTGCGCGCCCTAGCAGTCAGTACACACGCCACGCGCCGCCACAATCACGCCTGCCAAGACGAGGCGTCTCAGCCAAAATTGGAGAACCGGAATTCGGCGTAGATGGTAAACGTACTCCGACTGTCCAAGTTCTTGGCGTTGCAGCTGCTGGCCGAGGGAGACCAACCCCTGGACCTTTGCCGTCGCTCTGGCGAGGGGCCCAAAGCCGAGTTGATACTTTGCACGGCAGTCCAGAGGCGTTGGTTCGTCCTCGCACCCGGTAAGGCTGCCGAAGATGCCTGCCGACGATGATGCCCGTGTTGGGCGCCAAGGCGGCGATGCAGGGGCCGATGATGATGGAGGTATTAAGAGTCCTCGGGGGCCTTTTGAACGTAGGAACGAAATTCGTTTGCATCTGTCTCCCTTTTAACAAGGCTGCGGCCAAACTACCAAATTTTTCAACTTACAGATTGGCCGATAAACGCGTCATAAAGCAAACAAGGTCATTTTACATTCTCCGTGATAACGACCAAGATACGGAGTAGACTTGCCAGCTGATCAACGCCCGCTCGCGCAGCCCGCCTTGCCATTGGTTTCTTGACCGCCACCTCCCCGCGGAACAAATGCGAACGAGTAGGATCCTGCGCCTCTTTTGGAAACAAATGTTTTCCGCGGGTGGAGTACGCTGAAGTCGTTCGGGATTAATCAAGGGCTGGATGTTGCCGGAACCATCCCCAAGCGGCAAGGCTAGTAAAAACCTCCACCAAATAAATCCGGGGAGAACAAAAAAAAAACACCAAGTGATGATCTTGATGACAATGTCAGACACGAATGGCTAGCATCAAGGATAAGCTTCTCGCTCTTCGGTAGAACATGCCATCCCAAGCATGCCGTCCCAGCCAGTGTGGCTTGCTCCAGAGCTACCCTTTTTACCTGCGTCAGGGCTGAAGCCATGCTATCTCCCAATCACATCTTTACCCCGGACTCCCGGGAGGTTGCGCCCGCAGTGTTGCACTATCGGATGCGGGGTAGAGCAAAGTGTCTCAATCGGGATGAATTTCCCGGACCTGCGCTGAGTTGTATAAGAAGGGGAGGGTTCGGGCTGCATCCATTGTTCAGTTTGAACAAGCCCTTTTGTCTTGTCTTGAACAGCCTTTGTTTCACTCGACCAAACCATGGAAAAACAGGCAAGTGACGAGGGCCCGGCGCCGGTGGCTGCCGACCGAGCTCGCGATGAAAAGATCGACCCTATCGAACCGGCGACCATCGAACACTTTGACGAGGCAGACGAGCCCAAGCTGTCCAAGCCGGCCACTGCATTTGACGTCTTGACGCACACGATTCATCTCCAAGACGACCCTACTCTCTCCGCCATCACCTTTCGCTCCATCATCATCGGTCCGTCCCCCGCTTACTTCCTTTCTCCCCTCCCCTCCTAACCCTTTCCAGGACTCGGCCTCTCCGTCTTTGGCGGCGTCCTGTCGGGCATCTTCTTCTTCAAGCCGCAATTCGTCGCCATCCCCGCCGTCTTCATCGCCGTCGTCGCCTTTCTCCTCGGCGAGTCCATGGCGCGGCTGATCCCGCGCTCCAGCCATCCGCTCCTCCGCTTCCTCAACCCGGGCCCGTTCAACATCAAGGAGCACCTCGCCATCACCATCATGGCCAACGCGGCCAGCACGTCGGCCCTCGGCCTGGAAATCATCGCCTCGGAGCGTCTCTACTACGGCCGCCGCGTCAGCGCCGGCCTCTCCTTCTTCATGCTCCTGTCCTCGCAGTGTCTCGGGTACGGCATGGCCGGCATGATGCGCCGCACCATCGTCTACCCAGCCGCCATGCTCTGGCCGAGCAACCTGCCCATCAACACCATGTTGGAGCGGCTGCACTCGCGCGCGCCGAGCAACCGCAAGCCCTTTCGCGTCTTCCTCTACGTCTTCATCGGCATCTTCTTCTGGGAGATGATCCCCCAGTGGATCTGCCCGCTCCTGACGGGCATCAGCATCTTTTGCCTCGCGAACCGGAAGAGCCCGACCTTTACCAACATTTTCGGCGGCGCCTCGGGCAACGAGGGCCTCGGCTTGTTCAGCATCTGCCTCGACTGGCAGTACATCTCCGGCGGCTTATCGCCGCTCTTCTTCCCCGTCAGCAGCCTCATCAGCCAGGGCATCGGCATCGTCGGCTGCATCATCCTCTTTGCGGGGGTATACTACAGCAACATATGGGAAGCGAAAAAGTACCCGTTCCTGTCGCAGGCCATCTTTTCGGAGACGTCGATGGCGGATAGCGCGGTGCAGTGGAACCAGACGGCGGCGATTGGGCCTGACGGCAACATCAACAGTACGGCCGTCGACGACCTCGGCCTGCCCAACTTTGCCGCGAGCAACGTGCTCAACATCTTGCTGACCAACATGTGCATTGCGGCGTCCGTGACGCATCTGGCGCTGTGGTACCGGACCGAGATGGCGGCCGCGTTTCGCTTCCTTCACCCGCGTCGCATCCTAGCCAACGTCCAATCCGCAGGCGCTCGTATCGGCATTTCGTCTCGTCCGGCCGGCGCCGGTGAGGAAGCCGAAAGCGCCTCCGAGGCACATTACGACCCGCACTACCTCTTGATGCAAAACTACAAGGATTGCCCCGACTGGTGGTACGCCATCGTGCTCGCCCTCTCGGCCACCGTCGCCCTCATCGTCGTCTACAAGACCAACAGCACGCTGCCCTGGTGGGGGCTGCTTGTGGCGTGCCTCGTCGGCTACGTGCACCTCGTCGTCTTCGGGTCCATGCAGGGCATCAGCGGCGTGAGCTTCACGATCCAGTCCATCATCCAGATGATTGGCGGCTACATGCGACCCGGGTTCCCCATCGCCAACATGTACTTTTCGCTGTACAGCTACAACTCGCTCCTCCAAGGCACGCTCCTGGCCAAGGACCTCAAGCTGGCGCAGTACGGGCACCTGGCGCCGCGCATCACGTTTAGCATGCAAATGGTGGGCACCGTCATCGGGGCGGGCCTCAACTACGTCATGGCCAACAGCATCATTGACAACCAGGCCGACATCCTGCGCAGCGTGGAGGGCACCAATATCTGGTCGGGGGCCATGACGCAGCAGTTCAACGCGCAGGCCGTGACGTTTGGCGGCTTCCCGCACGAGCTGTTTAGCGTGGGCGGCAAGTACCAGTGGGTGCCGCTGTCAACGTTTCTTGGCTTCGCGGTACCGGTACCGTTTTGGTACGCGCATCGGCTGTGGCCGCGGTTGGGCATGGACCTCATCAACACGCCCGTGATATTGTTTTACCTGTGCTACCTCAACCTGGGCATCAACTCGTCCGTCATGAGCTTTTTCGCGGCGGGCTTCTTTGCGCAGTGGTATCTGCGACGGCAGCACCCCAACATCTTTGTCAAGTACAATTACCTCGTGTCGGCGGCGCTCGACGGCGGGACGTCAGTCATGGTTTTTATTCTGTCTTTTGCTGTGCTGGGGGCGGCCAAGGCGGCCGTGGCGTTTCGTAAGTACACACCGATTCCGTGGCTGACGACTCTGTGAATGATGACTAACTCGGCTCAAACACCGTAAAGCAAAGTATTGGGGCAATCCTGCCAACGGCCATATCGACTATTGCTACAAGGCCCCCTCGGAGTAGAGCGACTTTGTGTTGAACCCCCTTGTTGGTCCTGCATCCGATCCGCCCTCTTGGCACTTGGGCAGCGACGGGTGCCCGAGGTCGTTGACCAGGATTCTGGGTAGCGTGTATCTGTTAGTGTTTTCATGAATTACAATGTGTTTGAATCGCGGTGAAGCAAAGGCAGTCGATGACGTACCACATGATTGCTGGAATGAAGAGCACCATGAGCAACACCATCATTGTCGCAAGCGCTACGGCGCCAGCGGTGACGACGGCGAGTCTTAGCATTGCGCGTAGTTGTGACGAAGAGGGACGCGTGTGTGTGAGAGGTAGGTTGGAGAGGTTGGAAAGTTTGTTGTGGGAAACAAGACTTTGTTCTTTGTTGCGCTTTTAATATGCCTGGATCAGGGGGCACGTACATGGCCAAATCGGGGCGCAGTATCCGTATCCGTACTCCGTAACTAAGGCTGGCGAATCTACGCCGAGCACCCGAAATGATGAACAACGCTAAGCCCAGCTTAGCTTGGCCAAGTGGGCAACCGGAGCCACTCCGATCGACGCTACAGAGCAGGTAGGTACATTAGTAGTTACAGTAATAGGCTAAAGGTCTGCAAACACGTGGACGCGTTGAGCACTACAATTTTTATGCTAAAAAATGAAGATGCTATTATTAAAACGAAATATACATCGTTTTATACCTTACTGCTACGGGGCTAGCTGGGAACAGAGTAGAATCAGTAGTGGAGACTACAGTGAATGTCACCTGTAATTCGGGCAGGTACAATGCCAGTGTAGACCAAGGCTCAATGAAGCACAAGTCGGCGTTTTCTCCTTCGTCCAAACGCAAATCAATTACAATGAAAAATGACTGGCGCGTAAAGAAGGGTTTATTATTTTTTAGATTTACTTTTCACCATGTTTCAAGCAGAAATACCTGCAGACCGCCCCAGCTGATTCACCAAAACGGGTAAGGATGCGCTGTGCTACAAGGGGGTATCGAAACCGTCAACTGCACGCATACCCTGCTGCGGTGCTTCACAAATAGGAGACGGCAGAGTACAAATTACCAAATGTACACAGAGGCAAAAGAGGGGTAGGACAAACAAGAGAAAAGAGAAAGAGAGCAAGTGCCGTGAGCGAAGAATCGACTGGGTGACCCGGTGACGCACGCATTAGTTATTAATTGAGGGTGTGATTCCGCCAACATTATTAAAGCAGGGCGGTTGAAGATGTACAAGCCGTATTCCATGCGCGGGTCTTGTCACAGCCCGCACTCACTGGCCACAGCGTTGCTTGCAGTTATCCCGTGGTAGAAGCATAGTTGTGTGGTAACGAAAGTCACAAGAAGGAAAATTTTTAACCTTTTGAGAAGACGCACAAGTCTGGAGGCAAGGACGATTCCTCTGTCGAGCCTGAAAAGGGTCCCTGTTGATTTCTCCCCCATAAAGCCTGAGCCGTCGGGAGGGCCGCGTACCTCGAACGACGGGCCGAGCTTCGTTGCAGGAAGGGGTCGAACCCGCTGCAAAGCACAGTTACATACTGGAACGCTTCTTCTTGGTTCCTGGAAAACCCTTTAGCACAAGGTCTTTCCTTCTCAATTTCGCTCCTCTAGGCCCTGTCAGCGTACGCGCAGTTCCGTACAGACCGCGTGCCAAGCCTCTCCAAGACTGGCGCAAAGGACATCCAGCCATGAGCCTTTTCCGTCTGAACGAGTAGTATTACAAGGCGACAATCCCCCTCCCTTGCTTAGCGTCCGTCGATCCGTCGATGAACGAAACCCATACGAGAACGAAAAAAAAATGGGCTCCTTGACAAGCTCTCAGCGGCTTCCGCTGCTGCGTAACTGCTTGCGTGTTGGAGAACCCTCATTTCGCTGACACGCATTGCTTGGTAAGCTGGCTTAAGCCCTGGGGCGGCGCGAATAAGGTCTCATGAATTATATAAGCAGGCTAATATAGACATTAGATAACTAGTCATAACTAAGAGCAATTTTATATAGTAAAGTTAAAGAATAATATATATTAGAACTTATAGCTATTTTTACCTTATTCTTTCTTAACTAGGAGGGGAAATTCCTCCCTTCTTATATCTATTTTCTAGCTTAGCTAATTAGCTTAATTATACTCCTTTAATATATCTTTTTTATTATTTAATTTTATTAATAATTAAGATTAGTTTTTTTAAATTTAACTTTTTTATTTATATATTATTATTCCTTTTTAGCTTTTTATTATAAATAAATTTTTAGTTAATTATATATATTATAATCTTTATTTAAATTATAATATACTTTTTAAATAGATTCTTTTTTTTTTTTTTATATTATTTTAAAGAAGTATTTTAGAATTTAATTAAGAATAGTATTTTTTAATAAATTAATCTTTTATAACTACTTTTATTAAATTAAAGAATATTTAAATTCTTTATATATATAGTTCTTTTTAATTTTATTATAATTACTTTATTCTCTTTTTCTTTTTATATTTATTAACTTATTTATATTATTTTTTTTAATTATCTAAAAGTAAAATAATAATAATTTTAATAATATACTACTTTTTAGTAATATAATCTTATTATAATATATAAAATAAGGTATTTTTAATAATTATATAAAAGTATTTAAATTACTTTTAATTCTTTAAAAAGCTAGTTTCTTTTCCTTTATTTATTATCTTTAATATACTTTATTTTTATTCTTTTTTTATTTATAAAAAAACCTTTAATCTTAATAATATTATTAACTTTAAATATAATATTTTTATTTTAAAGTATTTATAAGGTATTAATAACTTAAATCTAGTAAAGTAGTCTTAACTTTTAACTTCTATAAAGGTTTAAAAGGTAAATAGTATATTTATTATATTTAATTTTAAAAGTATATACTATTCTTTTTAATTATTTTATTTTTTATTAACTTTTAATTTTAATAATATAGATTTAAATAATATTATTATATTATTCTTTACCTTTTTAAGCTTAAATAATATTAATAACTATTTCTTTACTTTTAATTTAATTAAAAAGGATACTTAAGTATCCTTAAAAACCTAAAGAAAGTTTATAGTTATAATTTAAACTATTATATATACTTTTAATAGTCTTTATAAAATCTTATATATAATATATATATATTCTTTTATAAAAAACCTTTAAAGTTATAAATATTATTATATTATAACCTTAATTAATATTACTTCTTTTTATTATAATAAGCTAATAAGTTATTACTTTAAATATTATATAAAAGGAACTTAGTATTAGGCTATTAAGTTTATACTTTCTTTTTATTTTTTTATTTTTAATTATATTCTAATTAAGTCTTTTAAGAATCCTTTTTTTTTTTATATTTTACCTTAACTTTTAACTATAAAAATTAACTTTCTAGATAATCTTAAAACTACTAGTTTTTTAATTATTAATAAAATAAATTTCTTTACTTCTATATTATTAAAAATTATAAAAAAGCTTATAATTAAGGCTTTTCTTACTAAATAATACTAAACTTTAATAGGTTTTAAGGCTTATAAAAAAGAATAGAATTCTATTTAAACCTTTTTTAAGATTATAATAGCTATAAGTAAGTATAAATCTTTTAGCTTATTTTATAAATATAAAATTATATTTAATACTTATTTAGTTAAATTAAAATAGTATAAAGCTATTATAGATTATTTAGTAAAAAATCTTATTAATAAATAATAAGATTATTTTATACCTTTTTTATATCTTTTATCCCCTTTTTTTCTATTAGTATTTAAAGATACTATTATTAGGTTTTAGTTTAAATTAAACTTTTATTACTTTTAAACTTTATAATCTTAATTAAATCTTAAAAATAAATAAATAACTATAATAATAGGTTCTTTATAAATCTATTTATTAATATATCTTTTATTAAAAGATATAATATCTTAAATAATCTATATTAATATTCTTATTAAAGCTATAAATAATAAATATTAATATATTATAATTTAATATTAATTCTTTAATTTCTAACTATAACTAGATAAATTATTTATTAATTATTATAGAAAATTTTATAAGGTAGTTTAGAAATAATATCTATTTCTTAAAAAAGATATTTAAATATAATTATTTCTTTTATAGTATTCTAGAAAGCTAATAACTTAGCTTCTATAGTAAAAGTTATTATTATATTTTAATATAATATTTTCTAGGCTATAATTTCTTTAAAAAAGATTATAATAAATCCCTAATTAAATCTCTTTATATCTAAATTATTAATATATAAGGTATTACTTACTATTTATAAAATAATTATCTTTTTATTCTTATTATATATAATATAATAATTCTTAATATTAAGAAGATACTAAATAATATAAATAGCTATATTAAAATATATTTAAGATAGGTTTATTAAATAATAAGATAGTATTAATATTATAAATATAATATCTATTTTTATTATAATTAATATATATAAGATTAACTTAATAATTTCTTAATATCTTTTTACTTCTTTTAATATTATTTATCTTATTCTTTTAATAAATTACTATTATAGTAAAAGAGTTTAGACTTAATTAAGACTAATTACTTTAAATTTAGTTATAATCTTCTTTATATATACTTTATAAAAAAGCTATATTATTTTCTTCTTTTAATTATAAATAATCTTAACTCTTAAAAACTATAATACCTCTTTTTAATTATATATTCTATATTTTTAAAGTAACTTATAAGTAAATTTATTCCTTTCCTTTATAGCTTCTTTCTTATTTAAATAATAATATTATTAATAAAGAAAATAATATATATTAACCTTTTTTTATTAAAAAAAAGGTATAATTCTTCTTTATATTATATAAGCCTTAGCTTTATTAATATACTAGTAAATTCTAAATACTAAAAGAGTAGTAAGTCTTATAACCTATAAAGTATTTAATTTAATAGGATATTATAATCTACTTCTTTAAAATCTACTAATAAATTTATTATTTCTTAAAATCCTAATAATAGCCTATATAGGACTTTATTTAATAAGTCTT